AGTCTGCATCCTCCGTGGCTGCAGCGTTCTGACCCGGGGCAGCTGCGGCCACTCTGGTTGTGCCGCTAACAACAACACGGCAAATGGCACCGCGGTAACGTGGTCATATCCAAGACCATACAGCACAGAACTATTCTCTGCATGTTGTGTGCGTGTCTTTGCGTAATCTGTGTGTAACCTGTGCACGCAAATACACCGCTGAAGCTGAACTATGGAGCCTCAGGAAGTGTCCGTGTCTCCTCCATTTCATTAAGATATTCTGACCCTTCAAACAATGCAATCACACTATTTATTGGTTGATATTATTTTAGAACATCTTGATGTCAAAGTCAGATACAAAAATACAATTTTGCTACAAGCTCACGGCCACACTGGTTCAATGTTTATTAAAACATATTAAAATGATGCATAAAACCTATTGAACCAAGACAACACAGCGTATCATATTTTGTTTCATGATTAAATGAATAATCCAATATTTTTGTACGGCTCTGTCACTAATTTAAAGTGAAAACATTATTCAACAGCTCACAGACTTCCTTCAAAGACAAAACACATGTCTGAACATTAAATTAATAATTACATATTTTCTTACGCCTCTGTACGGGCCGGTTTTATACTAATCAAATATCATCCTGGGGGCCAAGATAATTCATTCGCGGACCGGATTTGGCCCCTGGGCCTCGACTTTGACACCCATGATTGAGTTAACCTTTTTTCCGCTTATGGACCAACAACTCTGTGTTTTTTTTATTGTTGCGTTTCTTGTGACTGAACTGTTTGATTTTCTGTGTCGACAAATCAACGGTTTTGTAAATTCCTCCGTGATAACTACTGTTATGATTTAGGGCAATACAAAAATAAATTGAATTGAATTGAACAGCGCCTCAAAGTACAATTCCTTCTCGAGGATCAGACGTTGAAAGACAAAGTCAAGATCTGTCATTGAAATTGAAAAAGAACTTGAACTGGTAAACGGACTAAAGTGAGTTGCAATGACACCAATCTTTCTGCCGTCCACGTGAGGTCGTCCCTCAGTCCTGCTCTTCCCTCCGGCCCCTGTCCCACGTAACAGGCCCGGCTCGGAGCTCTGTCCTGGGGGTGGAATTACAGCTCGATTGTCTGGAGTTTGGAAGGGCCGGATTTGTTGGACACCTGATCGAGGCTGCACTCTCAGCAGAAGCAGCAGGAGTGTGCATTATACATTAGGCTGGGAGAGAGAGAGGGGGCTCAGGTTTCACCCTCTGCACCCAAACCACCACAGAGGAACCCAAACCGGAGCATGCCAGGAAACACAGCGTCCTGCTCGCCCAATCAAACACAGATGAATGATTAAAGACCACAGAGCAAACCGGAGACTGGAGCACAGGTGCAGGGCCTCGCTGCTTTCTGCTTCTGCATCAATTTAGTTCAATTTATTTTTGTATTGCTTACTTACTTTTACTTTTGAACGCGCTGGAAAACGGCTGCAAGTCCTAAGTAGCTCTGAAACAGCTGTTGTTTTGTGCTTTACTATTTTTATTTTTATTGTATTTTTCTCGTTGTGTCCTTGGGCAAGACACTTAACCCCACTTTGCCCAAAGCCCCCACTGAAAGATCAAGGCTATGCTCACACTCAGAGAGCAGCCGTCCTCCTGTGGACTCACCACCTGCAGAGGGTCAGTGAGGGGCTGGTGCTATGAGACTTGGGTGGCATCTCTGACTGCCACCCCCCTGACCCAGAAATGGATTAAAGGGAAGAGGATGGATGGATGGATGGATGTATTTTTCTACCTGAGATGTTGCTGCAGTACAGTGTTCATGGTTTTACACTGGTCCAGACCGGAGCAGAGAGGATTCATGGTCCGAATCAAGTGGATCAGGTGAAAATCCACTGGACTAATGCTATCACAACCCACATAACATCATGCATAAATCATCAAACATTAGAATTTAAATAAACATAAAAAGACAGATTAAGAGCACAAGATAAAAACATAAAAAATAAAATCACACAAGTAGTTAAAAACCGTAAAACATTAAAATCGCATAAGGGATTAAAATCATAATGCGCATTAAAAAGATTAAAGATAAAAACAAATATAAAATCATGCACTTGTATGCACAGCTAAAAAGAACTGTTTTCAATCCAGTTTTAAAAACTGCCAGAGAAGACGCCTGTCTCACATTCTCGGGAAGACGGTTCCAGACTCTAGCTGCATGAATCTGAAACGCAGCCTCCCCATGTCTAGTTCTGACTCTTGGCACTAACAGGAGTCCAGTCCCTGTGCTCCTCAGAGCCCGTCGGTTCATATGGCACCAACATGTCGCGGATGTACCCTGGTGCGAGGCCATGGAGAGACTTGTACACAAGTAAAGCTGCTTTAAAGTCTATTCTCTAAGGAACAGGAAGCCAGTGCAGAGACCTTAGGACCGGACTAATGTTGTCGTACTTCCTGGTTCTAGTCAGGACTCGAGCTGCAGCATGTTGGATGTACTGCAGCTGTTTTTTGTTGCGACTGGATACCTGAATTTCTCCTACAGGGATCAATAAAGTATCTATCCGTCTAAATCACAACAGTAGTAATCTCGGAGGACTTTACAAAACCACCATCACGGCTCAGAGAATCAAACGGGTCAAAGTCGCAATGATAAAAAGGACGTAGAGTCATTGGTCCATAAGGGGTAGATGACCGATGTCCATAATTGTTGTTGAATGTGGAGTGTCCTGGATCATCACCACTGTCCTTAGACCCTCCTGCATCGGCAAGGAACGACTCTAAAAACCCAGTGGTAGAAAATGAGAAACATCAGGGAGGCCTACATTTAGTCAGAGATCCGCTCCCATCTACAAACAGGCTGTAGATCCAGTCCTGCCTGAATTGCGTGGCCTCGGTCCTCATTCTACAGCCTAAGACCCAGGTACTGGTGGTGGCATAAGACCCAGGTACTGGTGGTGGCATAAGACCTAGGTACTGGTGGTGGCATAAGACCTAGGTACTGGTGGTGTCATAAGACATAGGTCAGGGGTGTCCAAACTTTTTAGTGAGCGGGCCACTTCAGTTCACCAGACTACTCCAGGGGCCGACATCATGGACTGAAAAACTGTCTTGATTGGCATCGGGCTGTTCTGAGCTTTAGGATGATCTACAAAAGAGCTGAAGTTGGCTGAATGAAAAATGACCATCTCACCAGCTACATTAGCAACACTAACGGAAGTGACACAATCAAAACCCACAGTACAGTACAGTATACTGTCAGTACAGTATGTGTGAATAAAGTCAACGACGTACTGGCTTTAGCACGAGGCCTATATTGGCTGAGCTGAAGTTGGATGGATGACAAAGTGAACTTGTGTTTATGATCTCAAAGACTACTTTAGGTTAGCAAGGTAGAGGGGCACATAAAATGACACTGAGGGCCGCAATTGGCCCCCGGGCCTGAGTTTGGACATGCTTGACCTAGGTACTGGTTGTGGCATCAGACCTAGGTACTGGACCTAGGTACTGAACGTAGATACTGGTGGCATAAGCGTAAGGTTCTGGTGGTGTAACTTTAATTGAATGTACTTTTTTTTTTCGCGACCTTGAATGTCAAGAAAAAAAATGTATTATTGTTATTATTATGATTATTCTCATAAGGCTGGCGGGGAGGTTGGCAGCGCTGTGTGATGGATATTGGATGGGCTGCAGCCTACCAGAATGCTGTATATTACACTGTGATGCATGACATTTATTATGCACAAATTCTGTGTTAGTTACAAAAGCTATTTTTCACATATGCTTGCCTCACGCCGGACTCTTCAAAGATCACAGCAAAGTTGCGATCTCTGTCTCGCTCATATCTTCTCTGAACCTTGAAACGCTGCTGGAGCTGGAGAATCATCACAATTAAACTCATCCAAGCTCCACTTTTTACAGTTTGATTTTTTCCATGTATTGGCTTTCCCCTCACAGTTGTTTCTTGCTTTGTTGTAGTCTGAAAGTATAAGTATAATGTGGTTGATATTTGTTTATATTTGAAGAGGAGAAGGCGATACAAGCCATGCATTCTACTCACTTCAAAAATCACTGCAGCCAATCAATACAACTTGATATTCCACACTAAGATGTAGTGTGTATCTGCAGAAACTAGAAGGTTGTATGTTACCAAAGAGGCCTCACACAGGTATTTGTTTCAGAATCTTCCATTACTATTGTTAAAGTAGCATTATGTAAGAATTTAATGTTAAGTCATCATTAAAGGGCCCTAATCTGTCAAAAGGCATTAATAAAACAGGCTCTTTCCAAACACTTCTTTCACTGATAACAGTAGTTAGATATTTGAATTTCATAATTAATTAGTTTTACAGCTCCTAAATCTTGCTATTGTTTTCATTTTGATGAAAAGTCCGTGATCCGGGTTGCTGGAACTCACTGCGTCGAGCTAATCTCACTGGTAAAGTATCATGTGGCCGCAGAACTAAAAAAGGTCTTCTTATAATTCTCAAATTAAAAATGACAAAACAAGGAATAAAACAAGAATTTCTATCGGGGCCTTCGTGAAAAAGGTGTTGGTTATAGATTTGTTGATGACAAAACTTGTCTATTCAGATATTATGGTCCCAGCTGGATTTGTCTGCATATCTGGCAACCTGAGTTAGGGAGAGGACTACAGAATATTGACCGTGACTGCAGAACCACTTTTGGCCAGATTTGTACATATTGCTCATAAGTTACTGTGATTTTCTTTCCATTTTCTACATGATTCTCTGAAATCTCGCTTCTGATGTTGGAGCTCCTCTTTTATCCGAGGGGATTCTGATTTTTACATGAACCTTGTTTAGATAGTTTGGATATTTAGAAAGCTGTGACTCAAGCTTGATAAAACCCCGCAGGCAGGTTTAGTAAAATATCAAATACATATAAAAGTCTGGGCAGCCCCAAGGCAGTGGTGTCTGCAGTATAGTTTACTCTGAGAGCTGTATACAGGAGTAAACACTGAGGAACTTAAGTAACAGAAGGTTTTCTTGTGGCCCACAGGTGACATCATCAGCCATCATCATCATCATCACTGTTAGCCGCCTCCTGTGCCCCGGCTGGGCGACCCATGCACCCTCACGACACCATGGGTAGCTCCCCTGAGGTGCTGTCCTGGACGTCCTGCCCCAGTCTGCTGGTGGGCAAGCTCAAGGAGGAGCTCAAACTGTCTGTGGGCGATGCTGGCAAGAGAAGCTCCACCTCCCCCCAGAGCCCCGCCCCTGCCCCGCCCCCTCCTCAGATCATCACAGACCTGGCTCCGCCCCCTCCTCAGATCACCACAGACCTGGCCCCGCCCTCACAGCTGTCCGTCATGCAGCAGCAGACCCCGGACGAGGACTCTCTGGGGGGCATCAGCCCGCACACCGTGGCCCTCAGCGTGGACTCCACCCGAGGAGAGTTTGAGAACACCGTCCTGCAGCTGCGCGAGCAGGACGAGGGCCCCCCAGGGCCCCACAGAGGAGACGAGCTGATGGGCCCCGAGGAGCCAAAGTGGGAGTGTCCCATGCACCATGAAAGGGAGGGGGAGAGAGAGGGGGACGAGGAGAGGAGGCAGCACAAGCATCCACACCCGGACGATATCAAGCTCCATTTCCAGAGAGCGGGGCCCGGGCAGGGGGGCTTCCTGGAGGGTCTGTTTGGCTGCCTGCGCCCCGTCTGGAACATTATCGGAAAAACATACTCCACCGAGTACAAGCTGCAGCAGCAAGGTACACACTGAGGGGGGAGGTACACACTGAGGGGGGAGGTACACACTGAGAGGGGTGGTACACACTGAGGGGGGAGGTACACACTGAGAGGGGAGGTACACACTGAGGGGGGAGGTACACACTGAGGGGGGATGTACACACTGAAGCGGGTAACACACACTGAAAAAGCAACCCCACCCCACCCCAAACTCAATACATCAGACAATCAGAATTTATATCACATTAAAATAGTACAGAACAAGGACACAAAACCAACTACATCTGCACATCCTGGACTTCCTTCAGGCTCAAAGGCCAATGCTCTTCCAACTGAGCCACTGTCACCCTCAGAATAGATCATACAATTAACAATGTCTTATTGAATGAGCCTCACTGGCCAGAGAGAGAGACCAGAGAGCCTCACTGACCTAAAGAAGATAGATGTTACAGTTACAGATCTTATTAACTCATTCACTGCCCATGACGACAAAACTCGTCATGTTGAATAGTAACGCTCACTGCCCATGACGAGTTTGACGAGTTTTTCGTGTTATTACACGGGAGGCTGCAGTAATGTCTGGCGCACCTTGTGAATGACCCACAACACTGATATATAGTGCAAATGTACCTGTAATGATAAATCACCACCAGTAGGATGCAGTATTGCACCACAGGAGAGGTCATAAGTCAGTGGAGAGAAGGAGGAGGAGTGTGGGAGTGTTTGGAGAGCGTGCTGCTGTAGCAGAGCGATGATAGCGTAGCATTGAGACGGATCAGCGATCTAGTTTAGCGATAGTATAGCAAGAGTGATGGCGAAAAAGAATTGTTATAAGCAGCTGACACTGCTTCAGAGATTGACTCGCGGATCAGTGAGTGAGGTCGAGAGGGGAGAGAGTGGAGACCCCGGTGGAGGTCCGTCTCTGCAGCCATATTTGCGCGGAGCAAGAGCCCCGAGCAGAGACACACCTTCCGCCTCTCCAGCGTATCAGCTGCTGTTGTTACTGATGCCTCGGATTCGTTCAGCAAACCTGATCATGATTTATCGGACACACTCACAAACACTCACACGCACTCACTCACTCACTCACGCACACAGACACTCACTCGCACACTGACATTCACACACACACACACAGACACTCAAATTCACATGCTTCATTCTATTTTATACATCTATAGTTTTATTGATCTTTGTGTTGTTGTTGTTTGACGTTTTGGTTGATGGTATAGAAGAAAGTTAAATTTTCTATCTGTGAATAAATTGCAATTGCAATTTGCCATCAAAAGTATTATTTCAGAGTCATGTTTTTATAATTTTTGTAATGGAACAAGTGTGAAGATGTTTTGAGTTGTCACTAAAGCAGCACAAATGCATCTAAAAGTCTCTTTTCTGCTTGATATGTTCCTGTTTACATACAGCTCGTTTCCTCTGTTTTCTTGCTCAGACCAGGTGTTATGGGTGAAAGTATGCTTTGTTCTATGGCGAATAACGCAAGAACGGTAAGAGGTAAAAACAAACTGTTTTTTTCAGAGTAAAGCAGAGAGGTGAATCTTTAATTTGGTGCCCTTGGTGTTTACATTGTCTAAAAAATGAATATTCTGTGGCACTTCAAAGTTGGGTCAAATCACCTGAAATTGCTGGCAGAATGCACTTCTCAAATCTGAAAATGCCTGGCAGTCAGTGAGTTAACAGAGGAGTGACATACAACTACATTTTTTTTAAGTCAGATCTGTACAAAGCAAGTGACAAAATGTCACCACATAATTATACTCACACACACACACACATTTTTGTTACCTGGTGGGTCCCTAAGACAGGGCCGTTCCTATGGGACCCACAGACATGGTTTGAACTCCTGAAATCTTGCTGTATTTTGTGAATACTGGGGTCACTTTAGGATTACTCTGCACTGATCTTTTTTTACTGGGACTACTTTAAGTAATACAAAACATTCCAAAACAGTCAATACAAAACAGACAAATCCTTTGAAATGAAAATATATTAGCAATATACACTCCCAGGGTTAGGACCAAGCAGCCTGGCTGTAATCCCCCACCTGGTACACTTACCAGAAGGGGCACTGCCACTACCATGGGGTGCATCTGGTTGAATGGTTGAAGGTCCTACACTTGAAGTTTCTTTTAGCCCGTCCGTTTGTGAGAGGAAAACACAAGTGTCATTTAGGGGAAAAAATAAATAAAAATAATAGATATTCAAGAATTACCTTCAGGCTCAATTTGTATCTGGTCGAGGCTCTTTTCTTTGAATTCCGTCACTCTTCCCTGCTCCATGGCCAGAGCTGGTGCTTGCCTTGTTGGGCCCTAAGCAGAAGTCAGCATAGGGGCCCTACACCTAATTCAAGAAACCATAAAAATTACAGCAAGCAGAAGTTCCATTACGCATATATATTACAAATAAATAATTCACACTAATCAAGCAATATAAGACTTGCTTAGTGATTGATTCAACACAAGTTAAAATAACATTTGAACTTTTCACACACGAGAAAAGATAAGATTTGATGAGATAGACTTTATTGATCTCACACAGGAGAAATGTACATGTCACATTTGGCATGGATAGAATCACTCAGATTTGTACAAAAGACAGAAGTGTGCAAACGTGTTAAAATACAACAATAAACAAATATTATGTATATATATAACTAGTTTCGTTATTATCACTACTAGTAATAACGTTAGTATTATGTCTAAATTAAATACTTCCGATTACCAAAGGAAGAACGTTTATTTTGAAGGTGTCCACCTTAACCACAACAAAGAGCTTGACTGACTTTTTTCATCACTCCGCTTCATAGCGTTTCAGGCTCTGCTCGCGACTGACAACAACAAGGTGAAGGGAGGGTTGGAAGTGCGACGTAAGGACGTAAGGAGACAAAAAGTGACAACTGTAACAACCAATCAAATGGGTGATTCCGAATAAGAAGAGCCTCGTAACTGCAAGAGTGAGAGCGATCCAAAAAAAAAAAGAGTCCACACTCCGGGGCCCTTTCAGCTACGGGGCCCAACGCATACTGCGTAGTCTGCGTATAGGAATCACTGGCTCTGTCCATGGCATTAATACTTTGCTGATTTTGGCCAGCTCCAGTGTCCCCTCTGGTAGTCTGTAATATTGTCTGTGGATGCGAATGTCATGGCCGAGGAAGTTGGCTAGTATGTCCATTTCATTCTCTTTCATATTGAGAACTGTAGACATAGTAGCTATGTGCTTTCTAAGGGTGCATTCAGACCTGCACATTTGCTCCACTTTAAACGGACCAGGATTCGTTTGGAACTCTGATCCGAACCTTTTATGCAGGTCTGAATACACACAAACGAATCCTGGTCTGGACCAAAGAACCGAACCGAGACCCACTTTTTTAGGTGGTCTCGGTCCGCTTCCAAACAAATTCTGGTCCAAGTCGAATCAGGTCTGAATACATCCGGTGTCGATCCGACACAACTCCAAGATACGTGCGCATTTTTTGGGCAGAAACTGTGAGGAATTAGCCATGCAGCGGCTAACTATGCTGCTAACTATGATGCTAACGCTACAACAACAACAATGAGCCGTGTGCAGACCTGGAGCAGTGAGGAGACGCTGTGCAACAGGCTTATGGAGTTAAAACTGTTCACAGTATACAGTGATGTTAATGGCAGCATCTTTAAAAGCCTGACACTGTTTGACTCACGTCTCAAAGAGCAATATTCCGCATCATGTAGTGAATTGTGTTCTTTGGTTCCTACCTGATCCTCAGCGTCTGTTTGTCCCGTGGTTATTATAGATCCATGGTTTATCCACATGCTGAACAGGGCCGTTATTATCATAGATCCATGTGTGGGACAGGGCACGGAGCGCTGACAGTCTCCTTCGGCTTTCTCCTCACGCATTCTCCGACACTGTTCCAATATTTAAAACAACGTGTTTCGCCTGCGTCATATGAGCTGCTGCTGTTGATGTTGAAGGTGGTTTTGCTCTAAAAAGAGCAAACACAGGCAGAGCAGACATGCTGCACATACGAGCCCTCAATGTTTTCCTCTGGTTCCGCGTCTATCCTCCGTGAGCTCTCGCTGTCCAATAGGAGCGCCGATCGTCACACGTGTCAATATGTTTATATAAAATAGTTCACTTGCAAAAAGTACAGTCTGAATACGAACGGGAGCAAAAGAAAAAAAGTTTGGTCCGCTTTTGATTCGGATCAAGCAAGTGGACCAAAGGACTTTTCAGGTCTGAATACACCCTAGTTTGGTTGAGGATAGCATCTCTGGATGCACCGCACCACATTCTTTGGCTACCTGGCGTAGGGAGTCTGATCCCCTGATGTGGGTGTCTGCGCCCGGGCGGGAAAAGAAGTATGGGTTATGGTCAGAGATGGACCAGGCCCTTCTGTTCTCCACCAGCACCTCCATCGAAGCAATCATTTCAGGAGTCAAAAGAACCGGCACTTTCCGACTTCTTTTCCCTTTAATTTCAATGCGTTGAAAATGCTGACACAGCTTTTTCTCAAGTTCAGACAGTCCCAGAGCAATGTCAGAATGGATCCCAGTCTTACTTCTTAAGATAAACGCTGTCAGTGGCATCTTTGAAACCTCACCTTCCCTTCTTCGATTGAAAATGATGACCTCACAAAGAGTCAAAACTGCCAGTTTAGACCAATGCTTAGACGTTGGCTCACTTATTAGGGTTTGCACATATTCAGGTCGACATACCTCAATATGTGCATGCATGGCTCTAACGTCCTCAGTCAGAGGGAGCAGGTCCGGAGTGTTCCACTTGGCTTGCCGGAGGGTCTGTAGGGCAGCAGAAGAAACAGACGTCCCACCTCTTCTCAAAAAGCAGCCGGCTTCGTTGGAGGTTTTTTATAAACCGCCAACGAAGGCTCCATTTTTGAGTCGCATTCAAGAATATCTGCTAGCTTTTTGAGGCTATGGCCGAGTTTGAGGGCCAAGGATGGAGTCTTGTACAGATTTGTTTCCTCATCATATCCAGCCACAGACCTGACTGCATCAATCACATGGTTAAAGTTGGAAGGAATAAAGAAATCCTTAATTGATTTTAATTTCCCTGCCGTTTTTGCCTTGTTAATTAACCTACCGACTTCTCTCATTTTCTGCCTATGGACCTACGGTCCGGTGTTCGGACCCCACAACGTACAACCAGTCCCCATGACATGAAGTGAAATCTCAGGTTATGGACCCCACCAGGAGTTGAAAACAAGTGCACACACACACATTATAATGATGAATGATTGACCATGACCATAATTATTTATTCCACGGGTTTGAAAAAAAAATGCTGTTTTGTAACATGGAATGAAATCATAATAATTGATTTGTAATGATGATTATCCATTTTAAAGGAAAGAAATAAGTTTTAAAGATTTGCGGCTCCTGAGTGGTTAGGGCCCTCGCCTTACACTTCGAGTGGAACCTGTGCAGAAGATCAATGGCCTCCAGAGGGCGCTCTAACTTAACTCATACTACTATAGAAGAAGCCACAAAAAATGAATTATCATATACAATTCTATTCAAATAATCACAACAGCAGTAAAGTAGGTAAAGTTTGTTGCTAATGGTGATGTGTTTGGTGTTCAGACATGTGGGAGGTGCCGTTCGAGGAGATCTCCGAGCTGCAGTGGCTGGGCAGCGGGGCGCAGGGGGCAGTGTTCCTGGGGAAGTTCCGGTCAGAGGAGGTGGCCATCAAGAAAGTGAGGGAGCAGAAGGAGACGGACATCAAGCCCCTACGGAAGCTCAAGCACCCCAACATCATCAGCTTCAAGTAAGGTCCTCAAGCGCAGGGCTCTGTCTGCTCCACTCACACTGTGGGTCTACAGTTGTCTCACGAGACGGAAATGTAGCCTGAATTTTAATCTTAGAAAAGTAGAGAAGATTAAGAGATCCTTTATTCATGCCACAGCAGGGAAATTTCAGTGTTGCAATAAAAGTTACAGAACAGTAGCAATGAGGAGCACACAGCACAAGATAAGTGAACAATAACTATACTAATTAAAATAAAATAACATTAAAGACACAAGTATAAAATCTCTATATTTAACATAATAAAGTATAAAATCCCAACCATCAGACTCCACAGTACTGCAATAGATATTTATAATAGTTAAGTCCAGATAATAGTTTGAGCGTAGATATGTAATCCTCCATTTGGAAATGAGTCCAATGAGTTTTAAAAAGCAAAACAAAACGCGTGTGTCCTCCATAAACTCCTGTGTTTTGCTAGCTGCAGCCGGGTGCATCCGATTTCTAAAATCAACGGTCTTACACTTCACCTCTCTTTCTTATCATTCCTATAGTCATTGAAAAATTACCCGCATTTTAAATTATCTTAAATATGTTATATGTATGTTAGCCAAACCTGTTGCTGTCCTCAGCAGATAAACCAGGAAGAGAAAGGAGCTTATCGATGGAATTGTATGCAGCCGACTTCTGCGCTCACATGAGCTCCTCTGAGGCTGGCCTCACGGTGATACAAGCCGTGGTAGAGTGTGATTAAGACCCATATTTGTTTCAAAAACACAATTTATGAGCAATCCTCTCAACTGTAGACATGTAGATTGTAAAGGAAATATGTTTTACATCAGCCAATAATTGCTGAGAGGTTTTCTCATCCTCCCTTCTCTCATGACAACACGCGCACGAGTCCTATCACAAAGGAAAAAGAGAAGTTCACTGTGCGTCTTGAGTAACGCGCAGTAACGGGATGTCGGAAATGCTAACGGCGTTATAGTTACAGTCAAAGTAATTAGTTAGATTACTCGTTACTGAAAAAAGTAACGCCGTTAGTAACGCCGTTATTCCCATCACTGCATATAACTATGTGTAGGGCGACAGTAGCTCAGTTGGTAGAGCATTGGCCTTTGGGCCTGAAGGTCGTGGGTTCAAGCCCACCGTAAGACCTACTTCACGACTCCCACTGACGACTGCTGTCGTTGTGTCCTTGGGCAAGACACTTAACCCTACTTTGCCCAAAGCCCCAACTGAAAGATCTCAGCTCCTGTGGACTCACCACCTGCAGGAGGATCAGTGAGGGGCTCGTGCTCTGTGTACTGGGTGCAGCTCTGACTGCCACCCCCCCGACCCAGAAATGGATTAAGGGGAAGAAAATGGATGGATGGACATATAACTATAACCATCAAACTCAGAACAAAGATAAATTGCTCTTGTTTCCAGGATTTTAAAGTGAACCAGGACAATTAGAATGGCTTTGAATCTTTGAATTTCACAGTTAATTACACTTCCAAAGCTCTGGGAGTTTTATTCTCTCACGTTCTAAAACACAAAAGTAAGGATCTTGAGAATGAGAAGAGACGACGTGTCTGACTGTGTGTGTTTGTGTGTCTACTTTGTGTGTGTCTGCAGGGGTGTGTGTACACAGGCTCCATGTTACTGCATTATCATGGAGTACTGCGCCCAGGGCCAGCTCTATGAGGTGCTGAGGGGGGGCCGGCAGGTCAGCCCCTCCCTGCTGGTGGACTGGGCCTCAGGCATCGCCTCCGGAATGAACTACCTGCATCTGCACAAGATCATCCACCGAGACCTCAAGTCCCCCAAGTGAGTCCCCCACCTGTCTCACACCTGTCCCCCACATGTCCCCCAAGTGAGTCCCCCACATGTCTCACTCCTCTCCCCCACCTGGTTGTCTTCATGGTGCTCCTCTGGTTGCAGTGTGCTGGTGACGCAGAACGACACCATAAAGATCTCAGACTTCGGGACGTCCAAAGAGCTCAGTGACAAAAGCACCAAGATGTCGTTCGCTGGGACGGTGGCCTGGATGGCTCCTGAGGTCATCCGCAACGAGCCGGTGTCGGAGAAGGTGGACATCTGGTGAGACACGCTCCTGGTCCCCCGGACCCATGTCCCCAACCCTTCTGTCTATGAGCTTCAGATGTTAAAGTGTACTTTTACCGTCCCAGTGGGAGTGTCCTCTAACTCGGTACATTATGACCAATGACTATTCCAATATTATCAATATTATTGGGATTAAAAATGTCTACTTTGAATGAGAGAGAGTTTGAACCATACAAAGTTATTTGGTTGTTCCTTGCAGGATAAATGAAAAAGACAATTTGACACTTTGTAATTTGTAATAACATTATTTAGATTCCCAGGTTCTTACATATTGGGTATCAGCAGATGGTGAAAGCCAAAGTATAGTATCATATATGCACAAACTAAACTGTTCTACTAGTCCCTTTGATTAATGTGATTAAACCTCCTGCTGGTCCCTGTGAGCCTGGTCTCTAATGCTTCTGCTGGTCCCTGTGAGCTGTTCTCTAACGCCCCCTGCTGGCTGCAACAGGTCCTTTGGCGTGGTGCTGTGGGAGCTGCTGACAGGGGAGATCCCGTACAAAGACGTGGACTCGTCTGCGATCATCTGGGGAGTGGGCAGCAACAGTCTGCACCTGCCGGTCCCCTCCACCTGCCCCGACGGCTTCAAGATCCTCATGAAGCAGACCTGGTGAGTACCTGAGCTCCAGATCCTCATGAAGCAGACCTGGTGAGTACCTGAGCTCCAGATCCTCATGAAGCAGACCTGGTGAGTACCTGAGCTCCAGATCCTCATGAAGCAGACCTGGTGAGTACCTGAGCTCAGATCCTCATGAAGCAGACCTGGTGAGTACCTGAGCTCCAGATCCTCATGAAGCAGACCTGGTGAGTACCTGCCCCTGTCTCTGATCTAAAATAATGTTATGGCAGAAAGCAGGGTTCTCCTCAGGACTTCATTCTTATGTTGTGTTATAACAGCGTAAGTTGAAAACCTTTTTGTGACTCATGGAAAGTCGCCATAAGGTTTCATAGGAGTCACCTGCAGTGGCTCTGAGGGCCCTCAGGAGGCCCCAGGACACGCCCCAGGACAGGCCCGAAGACAGGCCCCAGGACTGGATCTTAGTCCGTAGTCCTTCAGGACGTTTGCGTGTGTTTGGTTCAGTCGAAGGGCAGTAGAGGGCACTGTCTTCTCACAGACTTCACTTTAAACAGAAACATTCTGTGTCCGGACCCTGGAGCTCTCATGTGTGTAGGACACTGTGTAGAACCATGTGTGTAGGACCATGTGTAGAACACTGTGTGTAGAACCATGTGTAGAACATGTTGTGTGCTGTTGTGTGTTCAGGCAGGGGAAGCCGCGGAACAGACCGTCCTTCAGGCAGATCCTGCTGCACCTGGACATCGCCTCAGCAGATGTGCTGGGGACCCCCCAGGAGACCTACTTCAAGTCTCAGGTTTGTGTCCTCCTCGTGACCAGATGGTTATCATGCACTGCGTTTACATGGTCCACTGTCCCATGCCGACTTCACCAAAGATAATCAACAAAAACACTCACTAACAAGTCCCACACATCATTGTTTCAATTCATTTCAAATGCAATTATTTTTTGTACTGCAATACTGTAAATCACAACAACAGTTCTTACAAAGTTGTTGATTCCTCAACAACAGAGGTATCCGCCACAGACGGACAGGCTAGCCTGGCCTTATCCATCCGTACCCTCTGCTCAATCAACATTTCACTGCATGTAACGTCTTGGTCTGGTCAACATGTCAGTGATTACAATCGGTTGAATTTTGACCGACCAATCAGAGAGCGCGGAAGGTGGGTGTTGTAGTTAGATGTGGATGATGTCAAGAGTTTGCGTCGAACGGGAAGGTCATAGTTTGGTAATGGCGAAAAATGCGATAGTAAAGTAATCCGGTCTGGTTCTATCAAGAAAATGAAGCCGGAGCAAGAGGAATGTTCAGCAAATGTAATCGCTGGAAAAAATTGTGGCGCTACTCCCCACGGGCTCCGTTAGCGGCAAAGGAGATGGCTAGGCTAAATGCTAAATGCTAACAACAGACTCGGGCGCATTACATACGCGACGGTAAACTCAGATCCAATCGTTTCAATCTGCAAAAGGAGTTAACCCCTCCCACCTGTAAACGGAGCTCAACGGAACACCTGCAGACCTTAGTATGAAATGTCATTTGTACTATGGTGTGGTACGACCAGGCTAGGACAGGCAGAACTGGACCAAAAACAGACTCAGAATCAAGACTAGACGAGGACCCAGACCCAGGACTAGACCAGGACCTAGACTCGACAGCATTGTGGCAGTGTGGTGCTGACAGCGGTTGTGTTGCAGGGAGCCTGGAGGGAGGAGGTGAAAAAACACTTTGAGAAGATCAAGAGCGAGGGAACCTGCATCCACAGACTGGACGAGGAGCTGATCCGCAGACGCAGAGACGAGCTCAGGTGTTTTAACTCTTTCATTTCAATTCATTTCAATTCAATTCTCTGTATTTTTGTAGTTTTCTCAGAGGACTTTACAAAACCGTCAAAATCACCAACGGAGATCAGTGAATCAAACAAAACACAAGAAATGCAATGATTTAAAAAGACACAAAAATACATAGAGCCCATTGGTCCACAAGGGGCAGAGACAAGACAGAGACCAGAGAGAGAGACCAGTGAGAAAGACCAGAGAGAGAGACCAGAGAGAGAGACCAGAGAGAGAGACCAGAGAGAGAGACCTGAGAGAGAGACCTGAGAGAGAGACCAGTGAGAGAGACCAGAGAGAGAGACCAGAGAGAGAGACCAGAGAGAGAGACCAGAGAGAGAGACCAGAGAGAGAGACCAGAGAGAGAGACCAGAGAGAGAGACCAGAGAGAGAGACCTGAGAGAGAGACCTGAGAGAGAGACCTGAGAGAGAGACCAGAGAGAGAGACCAGAGAGAGAGACCAGAGAGAGAGACCTGAGAGAGAGACCAGTGAGAGAGACCAGAGAGAGAGACCAGAGAGAGAGACCAGAGAGAGAGACCAGAGAGAGAGACCAGAGAGAGAGACCAGAGAGAGAGACCAGAGAGAGAGACCAGAGAGAGAGACCAGAGAGAGAGACCAGAGAGAGAGACCTGAGAGAGAGACCTGAGAGAGAGACCTGAGAGAGAGACCTGAGAGAGAGACCTGAGAGAGAGACCAGAGAGAGAGACCAGAGAGAGAGACCAGAGAGAGAGACCAGAGAGAGAGACCAGAGAGAGAGACCAGAGAGAGAGACCAGAGAGAGAGACCTGAGAGAGAGACCTGAGAGAGAGACCTGAGAGAGAGACCAGTGAGAGAGACCAGTGAGAGAGACCAGAGAGAGAGACCAGAGAGAGAGACCAGAGAGAGAGACCAGAGAGAGAGACCTGAGAGAGAGACCTGAGAGAGAGACCTGAGAGAGAGAGACCAGAGAGAGAGAGACCAGAGAGAGAGACCAGAGAGACCAGAGAGAGAGACCAGAGAGAGAGACCAGAGAGAGAGACCAGTCAGAGAGACCTGAGAGAGAGACCAGAGAGAGGGACCAGTCAGAGAGACCTGAGAGAGAGACCAGAGAGAGAGACCAGAGTGTATTCCAATGTGGTTTTTCTGCAAATGGCAAATATACGGAATCTGAATCTGAAATGAATAATGAGGGAGAAATGACCTTTTCCAGACACGCCCTGGACATCCGCGAACACTACGAGAGGAAACTGGAGCGAGCCAACAACCTGTACATGGAGCTGAGCGCCATCATGCTGCAGCTGGAGGTGCGCGAGAAAGAGCTCATGAAGTAAGTCTGTGAGTCCTGGTCTGGCAGCTGTGATCTCACATGTGTTTGTTTATGACACACACTATGAAAACATGGAACACACTAGGACTGGGCGATATAAACGGTATGCGATATAGATTTGGCCAGAGATTTTTGTTCTTCCGACATATTGCGATTGGTCATTATGTAATTAAATGGCTGTGGCAGGGTTGCACGGGATGAAAGTGCTCCGAGGGACAGGAAGTACATTTCCCCACCAAGAACAACATAAACATTCACTGATTCAGAGTTAAAATGCTCTTTTTCTGTGGCGTGTACAGTTGTGGCAACTGCTCATATCAAGTGGGGAACTTATGGAGTCTCTACTTTGCTAAAAAATATTTCTCTAACGGGTGTCAATTTTTAGGAAAATGCCTAATAAGGAATGGGAGAAATGCGCTAGCATTAGCATTAGTCTGCGTAGCATCTGCAGCCGACAGTACGGTTCGCTTACTTTCATAGATACAATTAAGTATTTTATGTGTGGTATACGGTTATAGTAACCGAGGCAACAGAAAGAAAGAACTGTTAAACACATTTTCTAATTGCAGCCCCCGCTGTTAGCTTTCTGCTGTTAGCTTTCCGCCGTTAGCTTAAACAAGTACTGTGCTCCAGGGGGAGCTCCGTACTTTTTGTTATGTACAGCTCAACAAATCACCGAAATGACAATAAAGGGTCATATTTCTCGCTTCAAATGTTGTCTAAAGTAACATTTGTGCCATATTTATTGTGTTATTGATCAGAACTATCATCTCAGACGTGTTTCTGTTGATACCAGAGTGACTCCACTGTCGTCACTATAACAGCCTTAATCTTTCTCATTGTTGAAAAAAATGGACTCATTCAAACACTACAAAGCGTACGCTGCATTAAAATAGTTTTCACTCATAATAAGAGTGATACTAAGCCGCGAAAAGCTCCTATGTCTGCGTTTTCCAGCATTGCCCATTCTATTTATTAGGAGGAAAATACTTCCTGTCCTACGGACCCATGCCCCGCCCCCTTTTTGTCACGTGGTTGAAACCCGGCAATGCTGCTTGGAAGTTAAAGTTTTATAATGATCTCTATAATTGCAGTTTTGCACAATACATTTAAATAAGTAACAATCTTGACTATTTCATTCAAGAACCTGCTAGACCTATATTGAATTTCACACACCAAATTATACCGCAATATATACATCTACCGTCTGTGTCCCAAATTATACCACAATATGAATTTTAGGCCATATCGCCCACCCCTAGGACACACTTACAAACCACAGATATCATTTCAAACCCTCCAGCCTCGATGGAAACGCTCATAATGATTTCCTCATCTCAAACATTTGGAAGGAAAAGTGAACCTTGAGCTTCAGCTATAGTGCTCATGTTACCCCACTCCGGCTGAAGGGGGGCCCTCAGGTCCCTGAGGTTCTGGGGTACAGTGAGGGGCCTCCACATCTGGTCTCAGGTCAAGTATAGGATTTAAAGCTGGAGAAAATACATTTGTTACATAACAATGGAACCTCCATGAGCTGGAGCGCCGTGGTCCATAAAGATGGAACAAGACCTTTCTATTTGAGAACCGTGTTTGTCCTGCAGGCGCGAGCAGGCGGTGGAGAAGAAGTACCCCGGGTCCTACAAGCGCCACCTGGTCCGGCCCATGGTCCGGCCCAACGCTGTGGAGAAACTCATCAAAAAAAAAGGAAGCATGCCCCACAAGGCCGGCCTAGCCCCGTCCAAGAGGTACGGGCCCCCTTTTTTTTTTTTTTTTTAAACCAAACCGCTGTTTATTGTCCAAAAAAAAAAAAAGTCAGACCACAAAACACATCAGAATATGAAGCTTTTGCTGCATTATGAGGAAAATAACTTTGTCCCTGCACCGCGGCACCAGAGAGTGGGCATTGGGCTAGTGTCTCAAAATGATCAATTATTGGTATTATACTCAATTCTTTATTATGCTAAAGGTTTAAATGTTGTACCTGCTTCTTTTTTATGCTATAGCTCGACATTTTTAAAATTTCCCACTGTGGGACGAGGATAAACTTAATCTTATTGGTTGAAATTTGTGTAAAGATAGACTTTGACTTTGTTTCAGACCGGACCTGCTGCGGTCAGAAGCCATCCCCAGCCTGGACCCCCTGCCGGCCCATTCCCCTCTGCTGGCCAGCCCCAAAGTCTCCACTCCTCCAGGGAAACCGCGCTACAGGAGCAAGCCCCGGCACCGGCGCGCCAACAGCAAGGGCAGCCACAGCGACTTCCCTGGGGCCCTCAGACCTAGCCACAGTGACCTCCCTGGGGCCCTCAGACCTAGCCACAGTGACCTCCCTGGGGCCCTCAGACCTAGCCACAGTGACCTCCCTGGGGCCCTCAGACCCAGCCACAGTGACCTCCTTGGGGCCCTCAGACCCAGCCGCAGTGACCTCCCTGGGGCCCTCAGACCCAGTGCAGGGCTCCCAGAGGAGATGCAGCGGCCCGTTCAGGAGGCCCCGTTCCTCCCCCTTCGCCGACGAGAGGAAGCCGTGGTCAACTGTGCCAATAACCTGCGGTACTTTGGCCCCGCAGCGGCCCTCAGGAGCCCGCAGAGCGACCACATGCAGCGGCAGGTGTCTGAGTCTGGACCAGACGTCATCCCCTCGGCCATGGACACAGCAGGGTAGGTGCAGGTGAACGTTTACCTCAGACAAAGACGGCCAACAGTGACTTTGCTTCAACCCGCCGCCGCATGGTCGTCTGTGAACGCAGCTTATCAGCTCTACTACTTACTTTTCTTCCACTGTTTCTTATTTTCATAAGGTGCTCATAACATTAAGAACCCGTGGGGACATTTGAAGCATTTATACAGCCGTGGGAACAAAAAAATGCACTTATGGTCTCTCCATTACTGCATGAGGACAAACACATACATCTTGTCTTGTAAATCCAAAATAGTCCCAAATTTGCTGGTTTTGTTTCTTTGTATGCTCCACTCTAGCGTGTGGCGGCACTAGGTCGCAGCAGATTCGTCACAGTGCGCGTAAAAGAAATGTATACATAAATATATCAAAATTGTTGCACATCTTTTAAATATGGATATCGCACGTACTCAAATCTCAATGTGGCCTCCCGGAGAAAATAATTGCCTGCCCCTGGTCTAAAACAACAATTGGTTCAACCATTGCATGAGAAATAATATTCAGTGAGTTACTTAAAGTACCAATATGTAATATTTTCATGGAAAGTCATCATTAAATGGACCTAATGTGTCAAAAGGCATTAATAAACCATGGTCTTTTTTGAAATCCTCTTTAACTGATAACGGTAGTTTACCGAGATATTTGTATTAGAAAATTGGATTTACAGCCCCTAAATCTTGTTATTGTTTTCATTTTGATGTCCCGCCCTCCACCGTTTCACCAATCAGAAAGTCTGTGATCCGGGTTGCCAGAACTCACCGCATCGAGATAATCTCACTGGTAAAGTACCATGTGGCCACAGAACTGAAAAAGGTCTTGTTATGATTCTCAAATCATTAACGAGAAAACAAGGAATAAAACGATGATTTCTATCGGGCCTTTGTGAAAAAGGTGTTGGTTATAGATTTGTTGTTGACTAAACTCTTGTCTATTCAGATATTATGGTCCCAGCTGGATTCGTCTACATATCTGGCAACCTGAGTCAGGGAGAGTGGGAGAGGTTGCAGTTAGGGCTGGACGATATGGCTGCAAACTATATCACAATATAAGTCTTTTTCGTCTTTGTTTTTTTAACCTAAATAAATAAATTTGGTGTCGGCTAACGCACGTTAGAAGTATTGTTTACAGTCACGGAAGAACAGTGTCCCCCATTGTTAGTCCTGGTTTAGTCCTGGTTTAGTCCTGATTTAGCTTCTGTTCTGGCTGTTTTCAAGTGTCTTCTGTCACCGTGACGGCTCCGTGCGGCTCTCTGATAGCCGCATGTGCTTCCAGAGATAAAAGTTCATCTCTTGCTTTCGCTGAATGCTTCGTGTGTCCACTGCCTCTCCCGCCGCACGTGCTGTTCATCGCACGGACGTGCATAACCATTGACACGGCATTGAAAAACCATCTATAGATCCATGGACGCTACTTATGGTGCGGTTGTTGTTTTTGCATTTCCCAGAATGCATTTCCCGGGCATGCGGTTCATGCCCGGCTGTGATAGGTCGAGAAGCCTCTGACTACGTCTCCCAGAATGCAGCGCTCTGATGGAGTGAAGTTGAACTATCGAATATTCTATCGACCTTGTTTTCTTTTGATATCGAACACGTGTCTATCACAATATATATCTTTATCGCTTTATCGCCCAGCCCTTGTTGCAGCACCACTTTTGGCCAGAATTTTTACATACTGCTCCTTTACGCTGCGAGTAAAGTGTTTTTGTTTCTTAACACATGTTCGTCCCATCAGAAAGAGTCTTGTAGAAGTCAAACCACAACATGTGTAACAGTTTCTCATGCAAAGTAAGAATCTATTTTAGTATCATCTTTATTGGAGCTAAAGAAGATGCTGTGTGTGTTGCAGAGCACACAGACAGACGGACCCCCAGACCGGCCCCCAGACCACGACCAGCTCTCTGTGTGCCTGCCAGGAGAACCCCTTCGCCCCGTCTTCCGACCTGCTGCAAGTGCCTCCCAACACCTACCCCCAGGAGGCCTCCCCTGCCCCCCAGCCTGAACCCAGGACAGACGGGGCGTCAGAGGGAGAGGGGTGCAAGCCGTCCTGCCCCGTGTCCACCCCCCTACCCCGCACCATCCGGCCCCTCAGGAAGGTACGGCCCAAACCCTGCCCCACACAGATTCAACACAAACAATAGGGCTGTTTATTTACTTTATTGACCCCTGTAGGAAACAAACACGTGATTATAGATTATAGATTATAGATTATAGAAGTGACTAACAACATTAATAAAGCAGCAGAGGTGGTGTTGGCGCTGGTGATGAGCTGCTTCCTCTGGGTGATGTCTGCTTGGTGCGGACCATTTTCTCTGCTCTGGTTCAGAGTGAAATTATAAATTATGGGGGATTTTCAAAAAAGTTCCTCATAGTGCATGTGATCAAAGTCAAGGCCCGTGAATACATTATCTCGGCCCCCGCGATGATATTGGATTAGTATTAGAACCGGCCGCACAGAGCCATATGAAAATATTGGATTATTAAATTAATGTAAACTTTTTTTGGAAAAATGTTTTCACTTGTAATGACTGACAGATCCATATTAACATATTGAATTATTCCTTTAATCATGAAATAAAATACGGTCCACTGTGTTAGGTCTGGGTTCAATGGGTTTTATACATCATTTTAATATATTTTGATAAACATTGAACTAGTCCGGCCCTCAGCTTGTTGCAAATTGTTTTTTTTGGCCTCTGATGTATTTGACTTTGACATCCCTGACCTAGAGGATTTTCTCTTGATCTGCTTGGTTGGGACCATCCTTTCTGCTCTGGTCTGGATCAGTGTAAAACCAAGAACACTGCAATAACATTTACAGCTAGAAAAAATCCAGAAAAATAACAATCGTAAAAGTAAAACACAAAATATCAACTGTTTCAGAGCGACTTAGGACTCGCCGCAGTCGCCACTGTTTCTGGTGGATTCAAAAGAGAAAAGAGGAATCACACTTTTGAATCTGATTAATCACAATAATACTATTAAATGTACAGTGATAATGTATTTCTTAAAGCTAAAGAATGATTAGAATGATGGATTGGAGTTTATGATCCTAAACCTGTGTGATCCTAATGTTAGGATTCAGCAGACAGAGACGGATCGTGGTGTGCCAAACTCTGGAAGTTTATTTATGTTTCTCTCAAGTTCCACTGGTTTACTCTGTTTCTTTCTCCTCAGACAGAATAAAGGCAGTACACAGTTTATATAGTCATTGTCACGTCACACATCGAAAGACATACGTGTCACAAAGAGACAGTCACATCATAGTCATAACATGGAGTCCTTGTAGAGTCCTTGTACAGTCCTGCACGTAGGCCATATTGCTATCTAATACTAATACCCTCCCCTTTGATCACATAATCACATGTGATCACTCAAATCGATCAATCAATAAAATGGAAAAAGAAAAAAAAAAAAAATCCAAAAAAAAACTTTAAAAAATTATTAAAAACAAAGAAAAACTATTACAAAAATGAAGTAAATAAACAATCAAAAAAAACAACAAATCAAATAAAAACAAACAAACACTATTGGACACACAAGAACCTCAGCAATTCGAGTCAAAACACAGACAAAAAGAGCTGAGTCTCAATTAAAAGCTTAATTTCACTTTTATTACTCTATACTTTTATTCTAATGTAATTGTTTACACTTTCATCTTCACTGTATTGTTTTTCACTTTTCAATATTAGACTGTGTACTTTACTCTCACTATTCACTATAGTTTAAACTATTCTAATCTATTCACAAATATGTTTGCATTTGCTTTATAGAGCCATATTCTTCAACATACATTTTCATCTATATAAATCTGTCTGTGGTATTATACTTCTCATTATTTATTGGCTTATTATCAGTGGGATTTTGTTCCATGTCTATTCTCATTCTCAGGATTAAAACTGAACACTGTTAGGCATATGGTCAACATTTACACTTCTATAGTGGTCAGTGATTTATTACTTTTTATTATCTCAAGATATTATTGTCAGGCAGTTTGGGATGAATGAACATCATTTAATCAAATTAGTATTATCTTACAGAGCTAATCTATTTTAGCAGGTTTGGGGTTGGGGGTCAGTTATTCTACAATGCTGTTTGAATTCTGATTCTAATCTGTGCTGGCGAATCTACAGCTTTTTAAACTTCACAAAGATATCCAAATATCTAAATATCTACTATTGTGTTTTTTGTGCTTATACACAAATACATCCAAAATGCTTTTAAATGCTTTTGAATCTTTGTTGGTTGTAATCTATCTCATTGGATCTGGCATTAATCTAGACTACACTCATATGGAATTTTGCATTGTCAAACATTCACTCATGTGTGAACACAAGTGAATTTGACAAGTATATAATAAAACTGTACATAAACTGTACGTAACTTTACTCTACTTTTGAAGTAAATGTTTGTGAAATGGTCCCTTTACCATTTGTTATTTGCATTTATCTAATTCTATATTTACTCTATTTTTTAACTCCAAAGCTCGGCTGCAGCTTGAGCAAAGGCATATTCCTAGTTTGTGACTTCTGTCACTTTTAATGGCTGTAACATAACTCTGATTCTAATATTATAGCTGATCTATCAAAAGGATAACATTGTAGGGTACTATTTTAACTCTTATGTGGAAATGTGTTTATGAACAACAAAGAAAGGACAATTCTACTTTTTTACTACTATTTAACATCTACTAAAACGCTAAAATACTCATACTTTATCATTTTCAAAGTTTTTGTCTGTCAGATGTCTGAATACTTAACATGTATATTGCATTTGGTCACAGTTGTGGTTGTAGCAATAGCATCGGCAATAGACGTCTTTCATTGGTGGTTCTTGTTCTGCAAATGGCTGTGTCCAATAGATCATCAGATGTCCAGAAGCTAGGGACAAACAAAAACAAAAGAAGAATCATGAGTATCTCTCTCATTTAGCACTCATCAAATGTATGATTTCAATAATATAATACATCAACTCCCCAGTTTTCTCTCTCAGGTCCTCAGATCCTCAGGGTCCTCAGGGTCCTCAGGTCCTCAGGTCCTCAGGTCCCCTGAGGGTGAGTCTCAGTCGTCATCAGGTCAGGTCATATAGAGATGTCATCTTGGACATCAGTAGGGTCCAAGCCATGGTTTTGGTCTCTCCAGTTGGACATCAGATCTCTAGATACTGTCTTTTCACTTGAAGCACATCAGGTCATTTGCGATGCACTTCTGGTCAATGGTGCAGTGTCTCAGTTCCTGTACAGACTTGTTATGCAGTAGTTACTCTCTATGGTTAGTCACTTTGATTCTACTTTAACACAATTTCTATTAATGCTGTTGCTAATGTCTCTCAGACAAAAGCAAGCGCAATGATTCAGTTTACTTCTCTAATTTGTGTTTTTATCAGATCTAATTCTCATCAATGTAATTACTTCACACAGTACAAAATCAACAAATCAAAAGTGTCAGGACAGAGGTCAATTATGTCCATGACAATATAGAATTCAAATGAACATTTCTGGTCTCAAAAAATACTGATTCAAATAAAGATTCAAGTGATAGACAATTAAAAATATGTTTACATTGGAGTAAACTTTTAAAATGCTTTTTTCTCATGTTCTGCTTTTTCATGTATCTATATGTAAATGTGAATGTGTGAGTGTATGAGTGTGTGTGTGTGTATGTGAATTTTGGGGTTGTCTCCAGACTCCTCGAACCACCCGTAGGTGTCAAAGGTCACACTGTGGTGATGTAAACCAACTGGACACACTTTCAACTCTCATTCAGGTCTCTCCCTGACGCTCCACCATCACGTCTCCAGACACCTCTCTTTCATGGCCCCGGTCTCACTCCCACTTACTTCTGTAGTGGGGGGAGGGGCAAGGAGGTGGCATTTCCCTTTGCTCTTTGATCTGTGACCTGTGGCTGGGTGGGCTTTGGTGTCCAGTGTCCAGCAGTGACCTCTCGTACAGTGAGGCAGAGTCTGAAAAACAATCCTTGAGACGGCCAATTTAAAAAACAATAGATATCAGTATGCGAATGAGATTGTTTTTCTCTCTGAAGTCAAAACAATTTTGGAGCGCTTTGGGTTTTCCCACATGCGCTATGTAAATAAAAGATTACTTATTATCTTACTAATGATGACATTTTAAAACCAGAAACTCTTAATATAAAAAAAACAAGACTCAAATCTCAAAAAACCTTTAAACTTTAAAAAATGTATTCTATTTTGTACTTCTGTACTGTGTGATGTTTTTAATCTTGGCTTGCTTGGATTTCTTGAAATGCGCCATAAAATAGAATTAATTATTATTATTACTCAAATTGCAACTAAAACTGTATGAAAAATCTCTGTAAAAATGAATTTTGAAAAACATTAAAACAAAACTTGAAAACATGAAGTCAAAGCAAAAAGATTAACTAAACTGGATTAATCACTTTATGGAATTTCCCTTTTACACTTGAACATTTATAGCATATATTCTAATTTAAAATAATTGCTGCATTCTTCAAATGCACTCAATAAACTTTTAAAAACATTTTGAATTGGAAGACACTATCAAACTCTGCTCGCCCTGCAGTGAGCAGCAGCTGCAAGGCCAGAGCTATAGACAAAACAAAACTCACAAAACTCGCAACTTTTAGACTGTAAATTGGGTCACAGTTTAACTTAATAATACTTTTACAGCTATCCTGTTCTATTCCTAATTCCCTCTTTCTTTTTAGACGAAGTCTACAATCATTAATCACTTTTAACTCAGATTCTAATTTAAATGTTTGAAAAACGGCTTTTGTAACTAAAATAAAAACATAAAAAAAAATTCTCACAAACAGCTATGAAATATATCAGAGATACAATAATGGACTCACAAAATAAGCAGCAGATTTAAAAAGAAAAGCAAAGCTTTTTGTACTAATCTTTGGGTTTCAAAAACATACTAATTCAAAACTTATATTTACTAAATGGTGTTTAAAAACGTTTAACTGTGTCATAACACAATGTTCAAATGGCAAATTTCGCAAATTTAACGGAATAACTACTATGAAAAGCCAAAATCCTAAAGCAGTAGCTTTGCTCTGATTCAGAGCAGCGAAGGAGGGGGCCGTTTCCCTGACAACGGCAGCAGATAGAGATGTGCACACACAGGCAAAAAGATACAGAAGAATAACTTTCAAGATTACTTTGTTAAGCGAATATAACTTATGTTGTTCTTTATACTTTTGTCATCCAAGTCTAGAAATGATCACTTTCCACACTAGTAACAAAAGGCACTCTTGTCTTTAACGTTTACGCTTCTATTTTATCGAGGTAGCTAATTTAAACTCAAAATCTCTTTCTAAAAAACAAAAACAACCTGTTGGATACAACCCTCTCATAGCTCAACTGTAGATAAAACTCGGCAAAAAAAATGTAAATAACTCACGAAAGCTCTCATAGCTCAACTTTAGATAAAACTCTGCATTCTCCGGTGAACTCTGTTCACTCCAAAAAACAAAAACTCCCTTTTTCTGTATGTAATTTAAACCGTGATCACTGAAATATTGTTGCTTCTTTACTTTTGTCATTTATCAGCCTGAAATTCGTCAATTTCAAAGCTTTTGTAACAAAGGCCTCTTTAACACATTTCCCTTTTTATTGCTTTTCTGTTTACACCATGGTTTCTCTCAAAGGGACTTTAACCCTGAAGCTTCTTCTCAAAGGGACTTTAACCCCGAGGCTTTTCTCAAAGGGACTTTAACCCCGAGACTTTCTCAAAGGGACTTTAACCCCGAGGCTCAAAGGGACTTTAACCCCGAGACTTTCTCAAAGGGACTTTAACCCCGAGGCTCAAAGGGACTTTAACCCCGAGACTTCTTCTCAAATACAATTTAGAGAGTTTGACAGACCCCAAAAACAGACCAAAATTTAGCTAATATCCAATTATGCAGACTTTACATATAAAAAGGTGTCTGCTTACCTTATTCTTGTCAAACCGGTTCCAAGGACTGTCCGAGAGGTCTGCCAACCTCTTTTCCGCGTCGGAATATTCAATTTAAAAAACAAAAGTGACAGAAGCGACAAGAAGCATCCAGGAACAGCTCTTCCAGCCTGCTGGAATCTCCGCTCCCAGACACAGCATGCCGATCTCTCACGCCGAGGAAAAGAAACAGAGCAAACTCCCCCAAAACAATCCAGAGAATGGCACAAACCGAGCCGCGCATTCTCCACCAAATCTGTTAGGATTTAGCAGACAGAGACGGATCGTGGTGTGCCAAACTCTGGAAGTTTATTTATGTTTCTCTCAAGTTCCACTGGTTTACTCTGTTTCTTTCTCCCAGACAGAATAAAGGCAGTACACAGTTTATATAGTCATTGTCACGTCACACATCGAAAGACATACGTGTCACAAAGAGACAGTCACATCATAGTCATAACATGGAGTCCTTGTAGAGTCCTTGTACAGTCCTGCACGTAGGCCATATTGCTATCTAATACTAATACTAAGCACAGGTTTAGGATCAGAGCGTTCAGACTGGCAGTGTCTCTGCATACGCCACATGTGACCTTTATCCTCCTCACAGAGCTCCTCTCTGGGGATCCCTCAGAGCCTTCTGTCGTAAACATGCGTCACACATGTGTAAAAACATGGATGTGCTCTAATGCTAAAGAACATGGCAGAACGTCAGGGTCAAGTTGGTGACCAGATGTAGCACCTTTGAGCAGGAGGAGGCTAACACACACACACTTGTTTGAAAAGTCCCTGATGTTTTACTCTTTAACAACTTTCTGAGAAGAAGCTTGTGATTCTTGTGTCGCAGGGCGGAGACGACTCTTCAGAAGAGGAGGAGGGAGAAGTGGACAGTGAGGTGGAGTTTCCACGACGACAGAGGTCAATATTAACATCTTAACTTTTTCAACTCTTCTTCTGACCAAAATACAGATGGTTTGGCTGCTGTACATGTATTTGCGTTCACTGCACCATGAGTCTAACACAGGAGATCTTACACAGGAGGCAGCATACACATTAGTTTGAGGAATTGTTCATCTATCCATATTTTCTACTTACAAAATGATAAAACATGAAAAAGGAAATGCCAAAGCAAAGACTCTCCGGGTGCTATTTAGTAGTTTAATAGTGGCATAAGGCATGTTTATTTGTATTGCACAGTTCAAAAACAGCAAATGAACTCAACTTTGCCAACTGAGAAAGAAGGGGGCAAGCCCTGCCCATTTTGAAATGTCTAGATTGGCCAAACATTTGGCAGGAAGAGTAGATTTAATAGACCTGGAACTTTCCTCTCCATTAAAGTTAAACAAAGATAATGTAGAAAAGGTCCTTGTACTTGTTCCTTATCTCAGTCCTGTGTCTGCAGACCTCACCGCTGCATGAGCAGCTTCCAGTCGTACTCCACCTTCAGCTCAGAGAACCTCTCTGTGTCTGACGGGGAGGAGGGCAACACGAGCGAGCACTCGCACAGCGGGCCCCTGGAGCGCCTCAGTGCGAGTCAGGAGGAGCACCTGGACGAGCTGCTGTCCCACACGCCCGACATCCCCATCGACATCTCCACACAGTCCGACGGTCTGTCCGACAAGGAGTGTGCGGTGCGCAGGGTCAAGACGCAGATCTCTCTGGGAAAACTGTGCTCCGACGAACACAGCTACGAGGTCAGCCCCCCTCTGCATGTGTCGCCGTACACACTGCTCTTTTGTTAGTACCCTGTTACAATCATTAAATATAGATGTTTTTACATTTCTAGGGTTACAGTGCTTCTCGGAAGTACTTTGAACATTTTGTCATAGTTACGACATGTAAACATGTATATTATATTGACATTTTTTACTGAAGGTTCACACACAAGTAACTGACAACTATGTAGTGAATGCAAAATGATGCATGATTCTTATTATTTTTAGAACATAAAAAGGTGGGGTATAAAGGTGGGGCTGGGGTATTATATTGCAACTATATAATACAGTGCCTTGCGAAAGTATTCGGCCCCCTTGAACCTTTCAACATTTCGCCACATTTCAGGCTTCAAACATAAAGATATAAAAATTTATACAAAATTCAAGAATCAACAACAAGTGGGACACAATCGTGAAGTGGAACGAAATTTATTGGATAATTTCAACTTTTTTAACAAATAAAAAACTGAAAAGTAGGGCGTCCAATATTATTCGGCCCCCTTGCGCTAATACTTTGTAGCGCCACCTTTTGCTGCAATTACAGCTGCAAGTCGCTTGGGGTATGTCTCTATCAGTTCTGCACATCGAGAGACTGGAATTCTTGCCCATTCTTCCTTGCAAAACAGCTCGAGCTCAGTGAGGTTGGATGAAGAGCGTTTGTGAACAGCAGTCTTCAGCTCTTTCCACAGATTCTCGATTGGATTCAGGTCTGGACTTTGACTTGGCCATTCTAACACCTGGATACGTCTATTTGTGAACCATTCCATTGTAGATTTGGCTTTATGTTTTGGATCATTGTCCTGTTGGAAGATAAATCTCCGTCCCAGTCTCAGGTCTTTTGCAGACTCCAACAGGTTTTCTTCCAGAATGGTCCTGTATTTGGCTCCATCCATCTTCCCATCAATTTTAGCCATCTTCCCTGTCCCTGCTGAAGAAAAGCAGGCCCAAAGCATGATGCTGCCACCACCATGTTTGACAGTGGGGATGGTGTGTTCAGGGTGATGAGCTGTGTTGCTTTTACGCCAAACATATCGTTTTGCATTGTGGTCAAAAAGTTCGATTTTGGTTTCATCTGACCAGAGCACCTTCTTCCACATGTTTGGTCTCCCAGGTGGCTTGTGGCAAACTTTAAACAAGACTTTTTATGGATATCTGTGAGAAATGGCTTTCTTCTTGCCACTCCTCCATAAAGGCCAGATTTGTGCAGTGCACGACTGATTGTTGTCCTATGGACAGACTCTCCCACCTCAGCTCTAGTTATCTGCAGTTCATCCAGAGTGATCATGGGCCTCTTGGCTGCATCTCTGATCAGTCTTCTCCTTGTTTGGGATGAAAGTTTGGAGGGACGGCCGGGTCTTGGTAGATTTGCAGTGGTCTGATACTCCTTCCATTTCAATATAATTGCTTGCACAGTGCTCCTTGAGATGTTTAAAGCTTGGGAAATCTTTTTGTATCCAAATCCGGCTTTAAACTTCTCCACAACAGTATCTCGGACCTGCCTGGTGTGTTCCTTTGTCTTCATGGTTCTCTCTGCGCTTTAAACAGAACCCTGAGACTATCAAAGAGCAGGTGCATTTATACGGAGACTTGATTACACACAGGTGCATTCTATTTATCATCATCAGTCATTTAGGACAACATTGGATCATTCAAAGATCCTCACTGAACTTCTGGACTGAGTTTGCTGCACTGAAAGTGAAGGGGCCGAATAATATTGCACGCCCCACTTTTCAGTTTTTTATTTGTTAAAAAAGTTTAAATTATCCAATACATTTTCTTCCACTTCACGATTGTGTCCCACTTGTTGTTGATTCATGACAAAAAAATAAAATTTTATATCTTTATTGTTGTGGCAATTCTTAATGGTGTCTTTGCCACTGTAAGCAGCCTGGGCTATGGCTTTAGCTTGACTTGTGTTCTGGTGAGTAAAAAAAAAGAAAAAAAGTCGATGACCAGACTTACAGAATAACGGTGAGGTTGTTTTAATGAGGCACAGGTTTCAGTCGACAGGTAACAGGTCAAATTCCACATACAAGTTTCCACAAAAAGTTACACAGTCAAAAAACTGTTGGGCCTCAACCCAGGCCAGCTTCCACGCTACCACACTGCCTCACTGGTTCCCCCTGGTGTACATAAAAAGAACTGCATCATACCTGGCCCCACCCCAACACACACAAAATAAAGCATATTAACTTAAACTTAGCATTTGTTCTTTTTTTTTGATAGGAAACAAAACGGCCTTAACAATCCCGGCCCCTAATTATAAGGTCTTATAATTACCATAACAACATAAACACTGTACATTTTTTTTTTTTTTTGATATGCTCACAACGTCCATTATGGCAATTCTTGTAATGCGTCATCATAAGTTCATGCCTGTGACTTCAGCAAAAGGCATAATTTATCCACTGGTCTTTCAAGTATATTTGTTTTTGTCTTCACCAGTACTCGTCGTACCAATCCTTTGTCATCTGAAATTGTTTTCAGTATTCTTCCAAGCAACCAGGAATTTCTTGGTGCGTTTTCATCAAGAATCAGCACAACATCATCTGGCGCAAGATTTTGTTTTGCTTTGGTCCACTTTTGTCTTTGTTGAAGGCTAGGTAGGTACTCTCTTACCCACCGCTTCCAAAACAAGTCTGCCATATATTGTGTCTGTTTCCATCTGCGCCGTGAATAGGAGTCATTGATGCTGAACAGACCTGGAGGCAGCACTGGTTGTTTCTTTAAGAGAAGCAGGTGATTTGGTGTGAGGGGCTCCAAGTCATTTGGGTCATCCGAAGGTGTGGTTATCGGTCTGTCATTGATTATGGCTTCAACCTCGCAGAAAAGTGTCTGTAGGCATTCATCATCAACGCTTTGTTGTTGAAGGACAGACTTCAGGATTTTCTTAACCAGCTTTACCTGGCTTTCCCATACGCCACCAAAATGTGCTCCTGCAGGGGGGTTAAAGATCCATTTAATGCCTTTGTTTGACAAGACGTTTTGAATCTTTTCTTTGTCTATATCACGGAGTGATTCACGGAGCTCTCTTTCGGCTCCCACCATATTCGTGCCATTATCCGACCTGATGAGTTCTACTTGCCCCCTTCTGCTTGTAAAAGGTGAATCAGTGTCCATAGAATGGGCACTCTATGCAGAGCTCGGAGGTTGTCAAATCAGACATTTTTTGTTCTTGAACTTTTGCATGATGTTTTCTGCACGTAACACAATGAGACAGGAGCCTTCTGACTGCAGAGTTTGCAGCAGGGATCCAATAGCGCTGGCGAAGGCGAGAGAGCATGTAATTACGTCCAGAGTGTCCTGTTCTTTCATGTATGTCTTGCAGTAATAGCGAAGTGACATGGTGGTGTTTTGGGAGTATAGATGGGTGCTTTTCCTCTTCTGGCAAAGCAGACCGGCTAAGACGCCCCCCAACCCTCAGTACGTCATCCTGCAAGATAGGGTCAAGTTTGTAAATTGAGCTTTTTCTTGACACTTCGGCATTACCACTTTGCAAAGCCAGACTTTCGTCTTTGAAGGAAACAAGCTGACAATGACGTACAGCAGCCTTTTCAGCTCTTTTTAGCTCATCCACAGTTAGTGGCACACGGAGTATTTTATCACGTTTCCTTCGAGCTCTGGTTTGTCTTGAAGCAGAGTCCTTTACTTTGTCCTTCTGTATAGAAGCAAGCAAGTAGTCTTTAACTCTGAGAATCCAGGCAATAGCTCTTCTGAGACGTGTCCAACTTGAGTAATGACAAATAAGCTTTTCCACAGAGCAGCCGTGTGTAGACGCCTGTACAGCATTAACTTTCACTTTCCGCACTTCAGTGTCGTCTTCGGCGAGTGTAAAGCGTTCAGCAGTGTCCCTCTTTCGATTAATGTCCTTCAGAAAGGAAGGCCCTTCAAACCACGTGGAGCTATTCAGGAATTGGCGGACTGTCAACCCGCGTGATGCAAAATCAGCTGGATTGATTTTTGTGTTCACATGGTTCCACTGATCAAGACCTGTTGCGTCTTTAATGATAGCAATTCTGTTAGAGACAAAAGTTTTTAATCTCAGTTCATCATTTGCTATATATTTTAACACTGCCGTGCTATCTGTCCAAAAGGCGGAGGGTTGAAGACTTAATGTGAGTTCTCTTCTCAAAATCTTGTCCATATTGACTGCCAGTGCCGCTGCTGTTACTTCCATGCGTGGAATTGTGGTTGCTTTAAGTGGAGCGACTCTGGACTTTCCCATCATAAACGCACAGTGAACATGCCCCTCTTCATTTGTTAATTTTAAGTAGGACACTGATCCATATCCACTTTCACTGGCATCTGAAAAGTGGTTGAGCTGAGCAGATGTGATTTGTCCAAAGTTTGTAGGTTTTATGCATCTTGGTATTTTAAAGTTGCATAGCTCAGACAATTGACTCAGCCAGTCAGACCACAAATGAACGAGGTGTAATGGCATGTCTTCATCCCAGGACAGTTTGTCTTTAGAGAGCTTCTGCAAAATGTTCTTAGCAGGAAGGACCACTGGAGAAAGGAAGCCCAGCGGGTCATATATTGAGCTTACGATTGATAGGACTCCTCTTCTTGTATCTGGTCTTTGTTTTATGCTGACACTGAATGTGAAAGTGTCTGTGTTTTCACACCAGAGCACTCCAAGGGCTCTCTCAATTGGAAGTGCGTCTTTCGTAAGATCCAGATTCTTTATTTCTTTGGCTCTTTCCTGTTCAGGGATTGTTTGTAATAGAGCCCGACTGTTACTCGTCCACTTGTTGAGATTAAATCCTCCTGATGCACATAGCTTAGTAAGGTTTTCTTTGAGCGAGATAGCATCTTCCTCACTTTTAACTGATTTTAAAGCATCATCAACGTAAAAATTTCTCATCACTGTGTCCACGATTTCGCGCGATGAATTTGTTCTATTATCTTCTGCTGTTTTTCGAAGGGCGTAATTGGCACAGCTGGCCGATGAAGTGGCCCCAAAAAGATGAACAACCATTTTGTATTCTGTGAGTGGCTGTGTAAGGTCCCCTTCTGGCCACCACAAGAATCGCAATAAGTCAGTGTCTTCATCAGGAACCCTGACTTGATGGTACATTGCTTCAATGTCTGCCATTATTGCCACATTTTCCTCCCTGAAGCGAGTAAGTACTCCAACAACTGAGTTAGTGAGGTCTGGGCCTTGCATGAGTACTTTGTTGAGAGAAACACCCTGAAAGCTAGCACCACAGTCAAATACAACTCTGAGTTTTTTCTTTTGGGGATGATGTACGCCATGGTGTGGTATATACCAAAGCTTTCCATCTTCTCTGCAGAGCTGTGACTCTTGGACTTTAACAGCATATCCTTTTCTGATCATATCTCCCATGTACTCTGTGTATTCTTTGTGAAATAGAGTGTTTTTGCTTAGCCTTTTCTTTAACGCTAGGGCACGGTGAACTGCCATCTCTCTGTTGTTTGGCATGCTTAAGTGTTTTTCCTTTATTGGCAGTCTGATGAAATAATGTCCATTCTTATGGTGAACTGAACTTGAGACAGATTGTAAGAACTTATTATCTTCTGTGGACATTTCAGTTTTTTCATCATGATGATGTTCAGGAAAGTCAGCCTTGTATTGCTGCATTAACAGGTTTTCAACATTTGTTAGAGATATTCTGTTAGACGTTATACATTTTTTATCATCATTCTCTTTTACAGGCCCATTCACAATCCAACCCAACATTGTTTTTATAGCGTAAGGGCCATCATCCTTGCTGTTTACCACCTTCCATGGTTCAAAAGCCTCATACACGTTGTTACCAATGAGTAGTCCAATGTCTGCGTTGATTTGAGGCAAAGTAACTTCTTTGAGGTATTGCCACTTCTCAATGTCTCTTTGGTAAGGTATATTTTCCCTCTCAACAGGTATGCTTTCTTGGATGTATAGCTTGGGAACAGTTATGTATTTGTTTTCATTAAGACCACTGATTTCCAAGTTCCTTATGACGCTGCATTTTGTTTGTGTCATTGAGTTGATTGTTTTCAACACGATCATTCCTTTTGTTTTTTGTCCACAGATGTTTAACTGCTTTGCCAGAGCTTCAGTACAGAAAGACGCAGAGCTTCCAGAGTCCAGAAATGCATAAGTTTGAATTGTTTTGTTGCCCTTTTGAGACTTGACATTGACAGGAAGTATTGAAAGAACACAGTTGTCCCCGGCCCCATTTGAAACAGTAGCAACATGATTTGCATTTATCGAAGCCTGAGAGGACCTCTGTTCTGTACCTTTAAGGTCTGTTTGGCAGACTGCATTTACTTGCTTTCCACTTTTATATATGTGCAACAGTTTGGGATGCTCCCAAGAACACACTGAGCAGCTCAGTTTCTTTTTGCAATCTTTTGCCATATGCCCCTGAACTAGGCAACTAAAACAGAGTCCAGCCTTTTTCAAAAAGTCCAACTTTGTTTTATGTAATTCTCCTGCAAACCTGTAGCAGTCGATTAGGGCATGAGCCTTTTTGCAAAACAAACATGGTTTGGTTAGAGCAATATTTTGCGATTCTGGATCAGGCTCTTTTGTTTGGTTGTTTGGCTTTGTCAGAGCGGTGGCAAAGCTACTTGCACTTGATTTTTCTCTTTTTGGCAAATAATCAGAAAGGACCGGCCTTTTCTCTTGCTTTCCCAATGGGGTAACTTGTAAGTGTCCAAACACAGGATCATTTACAATTTTTGCTTCACGTTTGATAAATGAAACAAGATCCACAAATTTCACACGTCTTTTGTGTTTTTCTGTTAATTCATACGCACTTGTTCTCCACTTGTCCCTTGTTTTATATGGAAGCTTTGAAATGACTGTCCTCATATTGGTTGGGCTGTCAAGCTCGTCCATATAGTCCACGTCTTGCATTGTGTTCTGACAAGAAACCAAGAATAATGAGAAACTGTTTAGTGCCTTTGCATCCTCAGCTTTAATAGTTGGCCAATTGTAACGCCTTTCCAATAAACCAGTAGCAATAGTTAATGGATGTCCATAATGTTCCTCCAGTAAAGACATTGCATGTGCAAAACCACTGCGTTCAGGCATATGTTGGCAACTTTTCACTAAAGTTTGTGGTTCTCCCCTGGTGTATTGCCCTAGAAAATACAGTTTATCAGTGTTGCTGCTTGTTTTGGATTCAACAACAAGTCTGAATGCTTTTATAAAAGTTCTGAAACTGAGCGGGTCACCTGTAAACACTGGTATTTCACGCCTGGGGAGTTGTGTTGTTTGTTGTTGTGACACAAGAGTCTTTGATATTTTTGTTTGTTCTCTCAGAATGTTACATATGTCTCTTTTGTAGTCATTATCCTCATCAATTGATCTAGAGGTTGTTGTAGGATACTGCGCTTTGGGTCTGGCCCCAGTACTTAAGGTAATGGGCGGAGGACCACGCTCTGGTACTGGTGCGGCAGCATTGTCCTGATAGTTTGTTACGGATGTCATACTGACACATGATTCCAAGTCATCTAAATCATCTTCTGTGTCTGTATGTGCAGTCCCTTCATACACTTTAAGTTTTGCGTCGGACATTGCAAGAGCAGTTTGTATCTGAAGTTCCTCTTTTTCTATAGTTAGAGCAGCCTCCTTTAATGCAATTGTTTTCCTTTGTTGTATAGAAGCTGCTTGGGCTACCAACGCTGCCCTCCTTGCCTCCTCTCTTAGACGTATTGAAGAGGATGTAGAGCAAATTGAGCGGCCACTTTTGGAGGAAAGTGAAATCGAGGTGGCTGCATGGCATGGCTTAGTCAATGCCAGCACCTCTGGGCACATCTCATGGCTGAGCAATACATTTTTCTCTTCCTGTACAATCGGCTCGGTTTGTTGGGGTGCCCATTTCGGTTTTGTATCTGCATTTCTTTCTTTAGTGATAACATCCTTTTGTGCACTTAAAGTGTCCATTCGCTTTTGTTCCACGTCTTCATTCATTTCATCCACATCTTTATTTTTATTTTGCATCAGCCATGTACACATTTGTTTCTTAAACTCCACAAGATTTTGAAGTCTTGGTTGAAACCAATTTTCTTGATCCACTTCGTGCTCGTCTTTATTTAAGTACTTCAAAACAGACAAGTTTAGTTGTTTAAACATCACCAGAGTTGCTTCAAAGTCTTTAAATCTTTCTTGTATTTCATCGTAAGGTGGGTTACCATTCAGCAGTTCTTGTGTAACCTTTGCCTTTATTTCCAATTGCCGGTATTTGACTCTCCTTCCATTGAGATATTGGTTTAACTTTGCTTCGATGGCCTTTTCAGTGAGCTTTGGCTCCCTCTTGTGGGCATGTTCCGCCATAGGAAGATCTGACATATTTTCAGCCATTAAACATTTGGGTTAATCCAACAGCCTGAGTCCTCCAGGAATCATGTAATTGTATTCTTCACGGCAGAACTCACAGTAGATGGTTGGACAAATGATCAGCGTAGAATAACAAAAAGGACTTCAGTCGGTTTGTACAAAATGTGTATCAAACACTGTAACTGCAGAAAAATAGTCCACACAAAAGCCATCCACAGCTGTGATCATGGTATTCCAGCAGGTTTATGGAAATTCTTGAAGGTGCACGAGTTTTTTGACCAATTGTTGTGGCAATTCTTAATGGTGTCTTTGCCACTGTAAGCAGCCTGGGCTATGGCTTTAGCTTGACTTGTGTTCTGGTGAGTAAAAAAAAAGAAAAAAAGTCGATGACCAGACTTACAGAATAACGGTGAGGTTGTTTTAATGAGGCACAGGTTTCAGTCGACAGGTAACAGGTCAAATTCCACATACAAGTTTCCACAAAAAGTTACACAGTCAAAAAACTGTTGGGCCTTAACCCAGGCCAGCTTCCACGCTACCACACTGCCTCACTGGTTCCCCCTGGTGTACATAAAAAGAACTGCATCATACCTGGCCCCACCCCAACACACACAAAATAAAGCATATTAACTTAAACTTAGCATTTGTTCTTTTTTTTTGATAGGAAACAAAACGGCCTTAACATTTATGTTTGAAGCCTGAAATGTGGCGAAATGTTGAAAGGTTCAAGGGGGCCGAATACTTTCGCAAGGCACTGTACCCCTTAAAACTAATGATCGCCTTAAATAACAATGATAATACATCTTTTTTGTATAGCACTTTTCAAAAATAAAAGTTTACACAGCGTCATAAGAATACAAAGTCATAACAAGTCGATAGAATAGAACAGTGTTTCCCAAAGTGGGGTTCGCGTCCCCTTGGTGGGCCGCGAGGGTATTGCAGGGGGCTGCAAGAGGTCATAAAAAATAATAATAACAATATGATTATTGTATGTTAAGTTAATAATATTTTGTTTGTAATATTAAAATATTCGTGTTCATTATTTGACTTGAATTATCAATTTGTAATCATTTTTGTATTAAAAAATAGGTTGCGTCATTTACATGTTTGTAACAGAGCCTATTTCCCCCAAATAAAATATCGAGAAGAGCCTAAATTTAACGTTATCTTCTTGGTTAGTGTTTCGGGGGGCCGCACAGACCCGTCAGATTTTTAATAGAAGATACAGAAAGACAAGTCAAACAGAGGAAACGCAGAAGAAAGACAAGAAAAAGACAAAGCAGACAGTAAAATACGACATGAGAAATTTAAAGCTGACAATTAAAAGCTGTTCAATAAAAGTGGGGTTTAAGAAGTGATTTATTAGAGGATACTGATCTTGCTAGCCTTGTCTTAGCCTCATTAATGATTCATTAGAGCCGTCATGTGGAGTCTGTTCCTTGAATCACAGATAAAAATAGTTTTCTGTATATTGTGTTGAGTGCAGACATGTTAAGGCAGCACACTTAACCTTCTCCGGTCTGCTCTTTCAGAACCCTCTGCAGTTCGGAGACTCAGACTGTGAATCGTCCGAGGCTGAGTGCTCTGACGCCACCATCAGGAACAACAAAGGCCCCCCATCCTCGTGGTAATGGGGCCACCTCCTGCTTCCCCTCATGTCTGGATGCCCTCTGCTTTTCTTAGCAATAACTCACCCCAACGACTCACAATCAAGCTCCCGAATAACAAGACCCTGTGTACTCGCTTCTATCGCCGCAAAAACTACATCCAGCAACCCCATGGCAGGGTTTGAATGATACTGTACAGTAGATAGAGATGCATTTTCATAATTTATTTTTGTCTGAGTTTTGAAGGATAATTCAGGATAATCTTGTAAATAGAAGACTTTGAACCATAGGCGGTCGCTGGGGGAAAAGTCGTGAACAAGGCATTTGAATCCCCGACTGTGACTCGCCTGATCAACCATGTTTATCTTACCATGAGCTTAGCTAGCTTCCCAAAGCTCTCCTACATTTTGCACAGAGGCTCGGGCCCCGGAAAAGTGAACGCTTGAATTAACAGTATAAACACCAGCATGAACAAAAGCAGACGAAACAAAAATGAAAACTCGTGGCTGTTTTGCCTTTCTTTTATTTTATGATGAGCTGTGCTAGCATGGCGCGTGGATGCTAACGCTAGCGCACGACTGCATGGAGAGCTAAATTGCACCATTCCTATATGTTTTGACAGAGTAAAAACAAAATGATTTTTTGTATGTATATTTTGAGACATCTCAGGATCAAACCAGGACTTTGTCCAAGTGGAGCGGACCAACTCTGGTATTGTAGGCAGAACGCACCGGATCAGGGAATGAAGAGCCCTTTATCACTGTAACCACGTGAGGTGTGTGTGGTGTCCCAGGACCTTACACATAGCCACCAAAGCATTTCATTTTTCCTTGTACATTTCTAATGGATGGTTTCCAGATTGTAGAATGCCCTGAAAAAGTATCCATGTATTGTAAGTTTTATCCATTAGACAAAAAAAAAAAAGATCAATGAGGTGTTGTTTAAGAACTCTCCTTCTATATTTATCCAACTTCATCACAATCTCTGCAAAGGCTCATCTGCCTACATACATGTAGGACATAGTGTCTTGTCAGGAAAGAACTGAGAGAAGTGTGATGATTCACTGTGACACTAACAACAACACAAACTCCATAGTCCTCTTGACCAATGTTTATATCAATGCTAACTAGGTAGATATCAAATATATAGAATAGATATAGATAATGCCATGTGAGTCATCTCTGAGTGTCCAAAAAATCACTGATGCATTATTATTATTATCATTAGATAGAACTTGTTTTTTGCCAAAATAACTTCCCAAATGAAAAACTAGTATTGTTCTATTGTTAGTAAGGCTCTCATTAACTGTGGCCTGTGCCGCTGCCGAAAAGGCAATAAGTGATACTTCTCAGGGGGAGGTGCCCAGGTCTGCAGGCTCCTCAGTCAGCTGGTCCAGAGACAGCTGGTCCAGAGACAGCTGGTCCAGAGACAGCTGGTCTAGAGTCAGATGGTCCAGAGACAGCTGGTCTAGAGTCAGATGGTCCAGAGTCAGATGGTCCAGAGTCAGCTGGACCAGAGACAGATGGTCCAGAGACAGCTGGTCCAGAGACAGCTGGACCAGAGTCAGATGGTCTAGAGTCAGATGGTCTAGAGTCAGCTGGACCAGAGACAGCTGGTCTAGAGTCAGATGGTCCAGAGTCAGCTGGACCAGAGACAGCTGGTCTAGAGTCAGATGGTCCAGAGTCAGCTGGACCAGAGACAGCTGGTCTAGAGTCAGATGGTCCAGAGTCAGCTGGACCAGAGTCAGATGGTCCAGAGTCAGATGGTCCAGAGTCAGCTGGTCCAGAGACAGCTGGACCAGAGACAGCTGGTCCAGAGACAGCTGGTCCAGAGACAGCTGGTCCAGAGACAGCTGGTCCAGAGACAGCTGGACCAGAGACAGCTGGTCTAGAGTCAGATGGTCCAGAGTCAGATGGTCCAGAGTCAGCTGGACCAGAGAGAGCTCAGGTTCACAGTCCAATGTGTCTAAAATGACCAAGCTCAGGTTTATTCTGTTGCATCTTGAGTTAAAAGTAGAAATAATATACGTTGTTTTTGATGCTGCTGCTGACCCTAATGAATTCTAGCAATATTAATTTAGTGCATTGATGGTATTTTGATATGTATGATTTCTGTTACTTTTATGTCATTCATTACATTAAAAAGCAGTCAATTACTGTGCCCTTCAACAATCAGGGACAACATTGAAGGTCAATACATAGTTATTCTATATGTTTAATACTAGAACAAGAATTAAAACAAATCTAGGGAGGACAAATTGAATGTGTAAATCACTGTTGGCATAATAGCCTTTGGAAAATACAATAATATTGACCAGGCCCGTCCCAAGGGGGGTGCGAGGCCCTGTGCGAACTCGAAACGCGAGGCCCTGCCCTGACACTTTTTTCCCAGATCTGAGGAAAGTTTTTCCTGTTATAATCTTTGACATGAATTCAGCACCACCTCGCGCGGTGCGTGAAGAGATCAGCACGCGTGTAACCGAGTGTCTTCGCTCCTATGCAGCGTTTGGCGCGCGCACGTACACACGCACACACACTCTACGTGCAATATTGGTCGCGGTCTTTTTAGCTGACATGTCTCTTTCGTCCTGTGGCAAAATGACAGAGCAACTCAAAAGATTGAACCAAAAGGAGTCTTTTTCTTCTAATAGTTAGATTTGGGCAAAATGCGCCAAAATGGCTATGAGGCGGAGTCAATATTATTATTTTCTCATCAAATAACGTTTTTGCCATGCCTCCACACACTCTGACAACATACACTCCTCCTCCTCCACACTGACAACAACAAAATACTCTTCACCTCCTCCTCCACACACTCTGACCACAACAAAAACACTCCAGCTAGCTAAAGCTAGACATACAGTGTGTTTGCTAATGCTTTTAAAAATATGTTTTTGATGTGGATATTCGGACTAAACATTGGCAATAGCAGCGCTCACACACCTGTCACACCGCTGATCCTCCTCCTCCTCCTCTGCTCACACAAAGGGGTCTGCTCCTCTGCTCACACCTGTCTCACTGCTCCTCCGCGAGTATCCATCTTCTCCTACACTGCGATCATTCCCGTTACTTTCTTTGTATCTCACTCAGACACTGCTAAAGTTATCTGACAGTTTTTTCGGAGGACCCGTTGCATACATAGCTGCCCGCGCGCCTGCCTGTTTACAAATCGCTTTTGGTGAAAATTTGACTTTACTTGTAAAAATGTTCTTTTGATCAAACGAAATCAAAGAGGTCCAGAGAAAGGGGTTTAGGGTTCCAAATTTGGAGTGCAGTCTGCCCTTTGGGGACCCTTGAACTAGTGTATTTATAAAATAAAATAAAAGGAAGGAAGATTGCGAGGCCCCTGTGTGGTGCGAGGCCCTGTGCGACGGCACAGGTCGCACAGCCCTTAGGACGGGCCTGATATTGACTTTCCCTTAAAAAGAAAATAGTTCGGTAGAAGACAGGGTTGCCCCACTTCCCCGCTATTGTCTGTCACTAATCAAAGAATCCATAGAGTTCCATTTTTCTTGCTTTGACCTGGGACACTGCACTGTGTGAGTTATGTCTCCCTTGTTTGAGGATGTTGCGTTTACCTGTGAATCTAAAATGTGTTTGTGTGGGCTGGCTGCTCACAGCCCCCCCTAGTGTTAGTTTGGTGTAATAATTATGATGATGTGTTATGTTTCGTGGACTGTTCCATTTGACCGTTAAGTTCATTGAATCACACATATTTGACCTTTTCCATCAAGCAGTATGTCTACTGGATTTGTATTCGTAATTTTTAGAGTTTGGAAGATGTCCTTGTGCTTTAAAACATTTTCATAAGAAACTGTTGAGCACAATACGCACACAAGCCAGCCGTAAGTGCTTCACAGTACACAAAGGCATACATTAAAACACACACAATCAAAATGTCACCGCTTTAACACAAGCTTTTTATTCTTGGATCTGAGTAGTACTTTCCAAAGCACGTTTGAACTGAGGCTTTTCCAGTTCTTTTAATAAAGCAAAGAGTGTAAAGAAGCTAGTTCTGTTCTGGTGGTAGACTTTCACCTTAGTCTTAATGTCATGTACAAAATCCCATGTAGAACCTGTAGAAGCACACATTGGAGAAACAGGAAGAACTTTCAGCACCAGAAAAAAAGGAACATCAGTACAAACGTAAAAAAGAAACGGCAGCACAACAACAAGCAACACTGGAAAACCTCAAATCAGCAGCATCTGACCACTGCAGAAGAGAACACTGCAAACAATAGTTGGAACGAAAAAAACATAAATAAGATACACTTTTATTTGTCCCTCAGAGAAATCCACAGAGACGAGGGGGCTACACCTTGGCTCACATTTGGGACTCACTTTTCCCAGAGACCACAGGGGGGCGTTGTCAGTCTGAGGGGGTGTGGTCAGTATGAGGGGGCGTAGTCAGTTTGTGGGTGTGTGGTCAGTATCTGAGGGGGTGTGGTCAGTATTAGGGGGCGCAGTCAGTCGGAGGGGGCGTGGTCAGTCTGAGGGGGTGTGGCCAGTATGAGGGGGCGTTGTCAACAGTCTGAGGGGGTGTGGCCAGTATGAGGGGGTGTGGTCAGTCAGAGAGGGCGTGTTCAGTCTAGATCTGTCAGACTGACTGCATTCAGAGATGGTGCAACAAAATGTAATTAGCAGAATTAGCTTCTCTACACTATTATTATTATTATCTTGAACTTAAAGAAGACATGACAAACTTTTTACATTTATTTAAAGTATATGTATCTCCACTTTTTTGTATTTTATTCACATTTCAAATTACACTAGAATACATAAATAAGACAAAAACATGAAAACAAAGCAGTATTAATCAATATTCAATCCATCAGTACTTTATTTAAACGAACAAAGCAACACTGGGTGACATTATCGCTGAGTGGTCATTTCCAAGTCACATACTGCCTGGTGAAGTCTAAACCGTCTCGAACAAATTTCCCTTATGTTGATTCATCTGAAGAATTCTGGATGCATTGGTTTGTAGCTGGCCTACATGATGTCTTACACTGATCTGTGAGTGTTTTTCTTTTGTGTTAATGGCAGCTTTTGTTGTGGTGACTTCCCCTGACAGAGACCAGAGACGCATTGTGGACCGGACAGAGATGCACTGGTTCCATTCTTACATAAAGCAGGGTATTAAAGGGGTCCTCTCCCGTTCCAACTGTGACTCCATGTGGTTTTTAGTTCCAGGCCTGCCCTTCCCCCGTGCTGAATTCTGTGTACAGTGCAGCAGGACGAACCATGAGCCAACAACTGCATGGAATAAACGCTGGTGTGCTGTACCCAACCTTCTGTGTCTGTTTCCTTTTCAAAATCAACTTAGTTACTTTAAAAATCCAAACAGAACCAAGAACATGGACAGATATTGACAGGAACAAACAATGGACCAGCAATTGATGAGCACAGGTACATGTAGACTCAGACAGAGCTTAGTTTGTAACGTGACGGCCCCGGAACGCAGCGGATGAGTTGATCTGGTGAGTCCCGAGGGGGTGTGGGGTTGGGGGGTGTCTACTGCTTGTTCAGAATTTGCAGTGATTACATTTGTCCACTAGATGTCAGCGGTATAATGAAACGCTCTATACCAAGCCCCAGCGATCCAAGATGGCGCCCTATTCAAATGAATGGTTGTGCTCAGTGGCGCTTTGTGACGGCACGGGGGCTGAAAGATTAGCGGAAGTTGCCTGAAACTCGCAAAGATCTATGGGAAACTCGCCTGTATTTGGGCATCGTCTGGTCCTCCCGGTTCTGCGCAGTGGATGATCTCCCATAATGCGTTGCGTCAAACACGCGTGTGTGGGTCTCACACCAGGTGTCACGCACGTGCACAGAGGGGCTCGGCCGCGCTCTGACCAATCAGAGCAGTTCATCAGAGCGGGAGGCAGAGCCAGAGGAGCAGAGTTTGTGGCACTAAAATGTGGATTTAAACAAAACCGAAGGATTTAAGAAGAAAAAAAGTTCAGGATGACAAGGGACACTAAAATCCCCACAAAATACTATCTTTAATAAAGCTGTAGGTTCTCTGTCAGCTGAGGTCGAGCTGTTTTAATATGCATTGAGTCCTATGGGAAAAAATTCTGGGTAGCCCACGTGAATTTAGTCTGGTTTAGTCTGCAGTACCGCGAGAATCCCCTGAGCACATGAGTTATTCAGCTACAAGCTAGTAATACCCTATCCAGTTATTATAATAGATCCATGTTCGATACACAAAGTGAAGCAGTGAAGCTACCCGGAATATACTGCAGAGCAAAATATAAACGATTCTTTTGAAAAATTCAACATTTGATTAATTTTGAGAGTGAACATGAAAATCAAGTCGCCGACATATAAAATACTTGAGCAACATTTTGAATAAACACCCTAGACCAAATGAATAATAGGACATTTTATTTATTTTTACCGACCGTGACTGAAAGGGCTCTTCCGATGAAGGATTATACTACTGGGTCTTTATCACCACTTTAAATAATAGGCAAGGGTCAATGTGGCAACTTGGACGCAGTACATTTTAATGAATTGATTAATGTTTTGTGATCAGAGGTTCATGTTCTGGCTCAAATTAACTGGACACAGAGAGACACACGTGGAACACATGAGGGCGGGGCAGATAAAACTACACAATCCACTACTACACAAGCAACACGCACGACAAAAGAATAATTGCGGGAAGCTTTTACACTATTACACAGCAAACCTTTTAAACAAAAAAGAAGAGACTTAATGTGAGAATTGGACAGAGGGACATTACTTTGCATCATGGGCCAAGAGTGAAGCTCTTACCGTTGGAGTTTGGGCTTTTTTTTTTTTTTACGATCTTATAAAATTCCTCTGGTTCTGGCTGCTCTGTGATTTTAGAAGACTCATTTTGAAAGTGGGAAGTTTGTTCGACAAGTTTGTGGTTTCTTTGTGGTGACACGGGTCCTAACAACACGACCAACTGTTGTCCTCAGTTGACACACATTTCAACACAGGTCTGTTGTGTATAAGCCTTTACATTACTGCTGTCTCAGAACAGAGTATTTATGTATGTGGTGATGGAGACAATGGGAGCGGCCCTGCTTTGATCACGTCTTTGAACACAATTTTACAATATTCTATAATATTTACTGAAGAAATGAAACCAAACTGCACAGTGGCCTTGTGGCTGGTGTTCACAGGTTGGTCTACAGCGCTCTCTGCTGTTTGTTTGAAGGGACTGCACCCTTTTGCCTCACATGAAGACTTTATAACACACACTTCAGATCGCAAAAATGAATATAAACGTATGAACGTCCTCACAGGCATTTTTCTAAAGTTAGATTCATGAACCATGCTTTTTTTCCTTTAATCCACTTCTAAACTGTATTGAGTATATCTTCTTCAGGGCGTCTGCATATTAAAGGAGAGTGGACTGGTCTAAGCTTACTCAGGATCTCTGTGCATACTCAGAGAACACATGTGAATCTATTTATTATTTTGTGATATGAACTGTTACTGTACAAACCAAGAGTATTCTACCCAACTGCATCTGTTTTACTGTAAGATTCTGCATAACACCACAAGAGGTTTTTAATGCAGTGCGCAAAAATAAAAAGTAAAAACACAAAGTAATGAGTATAAAGTAGTGGGCCTGTGCTACACTGGCTTCATGGTCCAGTCTGCCTGAATCTCTTCTGTCAGTTCTGCTAGTCTCTGTCATTAAATACAAAGCAGGTAAACTGGCTCTAGCTTAGCTCACTATCGTCCTATAGCTTAAGCCAGCATTGATAAAGCTAGATCTTCAGACTGTGATTTTAAATAGACTTTTTATGTTTTAACCAGTTTGGTTTTAAATTTGGCCATGGTACGAACACTTGTATTTTTATTCTGAAGGAACTTTTAGATAAATATCATAGTCAGGGCTCTACCATGTTTGTGTGTTTACTAGATTTCTGATGAAGGGCCTCAGTCCGAAACATTACAACGTGATATGTAAATATAATACACTGATTGGGAGCTACATAGCTGTGCGGATTCTTTTCACTGTTTTTATGTTATCTAGATGCCGCCAAGGCTTTTGACAGAATTGATTGTATAGTAGTAGTAGCAGTAGTAAGAATTTCTTTAAAACATTATGCAAAAGAAAACCATACAAACGTTAAACAAGATGCAAAATAAAATAAAAACAAGACTCTAAATTATCAGAAATAAACCGTTTGAAAAAGAGGCTGGACAAAGCAGACGCATATTTGGCTCCGTTGGACATCTTCATAATTTTCATTATTGTGGAACAGGTCCTTTTTAAAACTCACTGTCAGTTTTTCCAATGTGGTTTTACTGCAAATGGCAAATCGCTGAAAAAATATTACTTACTAACTTAAATAAAGTCATTGTAATGTAAAAAATGCTTCTTGGACTGGAGAGGACATGGAGGCGTGTGTGCAGAACAAAGATAAAGAGGACTTTTCAGAAAGCTCCACTTCCCTCTGATCTTGAGCACTCTCCTCCTTTCTACTTTCTCTGTCTCCATTATTAGAATTTTGACTGTAGTCTGTTCATTGCTATTCACCCATTCATTGCCCCATTGTCTTTTTCATGGTGCAACAACAGAACCCCTGAACCCGGCCCTCTCCATTTGCACCTGCAGACAGCCCCGACTCGTGGCCTGCACCCCCTTCTCGCCTGGGAGCTGCTTCAGTCCTGTCCTCGTTCTACAAGCTGAGTCTTGCGCCGCGTGGCTTTGGGCCTCCTTCTGTAGCTTAGATCAACACTCACGGACATTGGTTTCTGCCCATGGTCCAATACCATGTGTTCTCTATATTTCTGTGTTTGAACTGTTTGATTCTCTGATCTGTGATGACGAATTCAACAGTTTTGTTAAGTCCTCGGGGATATCTGTGATTTAGAGCGATACAAGAATACATTGAATTGAATTGTTCCAGAACCTTCTTCCAGACTCTGACAACACTGAGCTGACGAGGAGAAGCCTGAGACCTGCGCAGAGATGTTGGACATGAGAGAAAGGATTACTCCCTACAAATCCTGCAGCATCCAATAATCCGCCCTAACAGTTTGTTTTGACACACATCAAACGTTTTCGTCTGTAACCGCAAGCAGCGATGAACGGCTCTAATGGAAATGAACTATAGATACATTCCCTAATTAAGATCAAATTTGAATAAAGATAAGTCACAAAAACGTTATTATCAAACACATGTGGTCAACATTTTGTCTGGTGGTTCCTTACACATGTTAGTCTCCTTTGGACCAACTCGGACTCTGCTCCTCAGAGTCTGAGACTGGCCTCCTGATAGTGGCCAGGGTCAGAACTAAACATGGGGAGGGTGAATTTCAGATGTAGCTGGAACAATGGGAGACAGGCTTCTTCTCTGACAATGTTTAAATCTGGGTTAAAAACAGTTTCACAGGGATTTTATATTTAGGCCCGAGCCCCAGCTGGGGTAAGGGTCTATTGCTTTCACAAGGGGTGGCGGTGCGTGACGGACGCGTCAGCGCCCGTCATGCACCACAACATGACGGTTGCGTGTGTAAACTCAAACGCTTTAAAATGATGTATCATGTGCCATTGAAACCTATATTGTTTTTGCTCGCAGACTTCTTCTGCACTTTGAACTTTAATTAAACCCCCTGAACATGAATGAAAACTTCCAAAATGTTGCCCAAAATTCAGAACCGGCAAAAAATTATCTTCTTTGGTGTTTATTTTAAGTGACAAAAAAAATTCTAGAACAGCGCCCCCTACAATAGTTAGTTTACATTGCGCCTATGAGAAAGGGTCCGAGGTCAAGTTTGTCGTAGAGCCACAAAATTCGGTACACATGTTCCTCAACTCAAGACATGAAAGAAATGTTATTATGGCCATGCCCCCTGACAAACAGGGAGCTCATTCATTTCATTGCAAAATGGAAAAATGAAAAATTATCCTTTTCACACATGTCGGTTGGAAAGCGACTCCTCCTCGGCCGTTTAACAGATTTGAATCAGAATTCGTCTAAACACATGTATCATTTTAATTTTGTGAAATTATGATCAGTTAAACGTTGTTTGAGCGGCAAAATGTTCCAGTTTGCACAAACACAGTCTGATTTGTACACAATTTTAATCCATTGTTCCACTCTAGGGTTTAGGTCATTTGAAAGTGAAATAATTGAAATTGGCCAATTAGCGCCCCCTACAGACTTTGTCAAAGTTTTAAATGGGGACAATAAACTTTTGTATTTTCAAAATGTTTGAAATTTTGCACATAATTCTGTTTTGCCCTCTTGATTCAAAAAGTCAATCACACTCAAGAACTATTTTTGCGCTCCCCATTCTGTGTCAAGGGCAAATGTACACCTCGCACAAACATCAAACCAGCCACGGCCGTTTCACAGATTTGGCTGAAACTTGCTCCACATCATCTCAACACATGTACCATCAATAGTTGTTTGATTAGTCACATGTTCATCCAAAGGAGAGAATTATATATATATATATATATATATATATATATATATATATATATATATATATATATATATATGGACACACGCACAGATTATACATGTGCTCCTGTTTACACATAAAAGTCTGATTTGTACTAAACTTGACTCGGTTGTTTAACTCCTGGTTCTATAGGTCCCCTGAAGGTGTGATATATTAAATTAGCTCTTTAGCGCCCCCTACAGACTGAGCCAAAGTTTTACATGGGTAGCCAAACCACCCCCACCCCACCTCTTTTCAGCGGTGTGGCGAGGGCCGTTTGACGCTGCTTGCAGCTTTAATTTTATTTATACCTTTATATCCATTTTTAATTGTTTGATAACGTGTATAACTTACATTTATTTCACATTTAGGTAACGCTTTAGATTATCCCTCACTAATTAAGAGCTAATAAGATTCTGATTAGCGTATACCAGCTATAATCCTAAACCCTAACCCACATGGGAAAGTTAGTAGTTAGCTAAATATAGAATAAGGCCATGTAGAATAAGGACTAATAAGTGCTTAATAAATACCAATTAAGAGCTAATTAACGATAAAATATACACAGATTACCATTTAATGAGCAGTTATTTAACCAGGGATAATCCAAAGTGTTTCCCGTGTTATTTTTTTTTTTGCGTTAGCATTTTCCAAGAGCATGGAGCTATAGACAAATGCTACAATAATACATCTGCTTGATTGGATGCTAAACTATTTCATTTCTCTTCTTGAATGTTTTTCAAGCTACAAAGACTTGGTCAAAACCCCGTTATTAGCTAACATCTCTGCTTATCTCTTTTTGTTATCTCTGGTCTCTCTATCAGATTTCTCTCTCTGGTCTCTCCCTCTGGGGTCTCTCTCTCTTTGTATATTTGGGGAAGAACCAGAACTGATTACTTTACCTTCGGATTCTCCACCGTTGCCAAACTACAACCAAGAAATTCGGCACAAACTCTTGACGTCACCAACACCGACCTACAACACCCGCCTCCCCTGCTCTCTGATTGATCTGTGCGGATTCAACCGGAGAAACTGCAGCCACTAGGATCAGACCCAAACGTATATGTAGGAAATGATAATGGACCAGGGTCATGGATCTATAATAATAACTGGATATGTTATTACTAGCTTAAAGCTGTCCCACCTATGGGCACAGGGGGCGCCCGTGGCACTGCAGACTAATTCATGCGGGCTACCCAGAAAAAACTCCCATAGAACTCAATGTAAAGCTGGACCTCAGCTGACAGAGAACCTACAGCTTTCATAAAGATCGGATTTTGTGGGGATTTTAGTGTCCCTTGTCATCCTGAACTTTTTTTCTTCTTAAATCCTTCAGTTTTCTTTAAATCCACACTTTACTGCCACAAAGTCTGCTCCTTTCCTTCCTGCTCTGACTCCGCTCTACCACCGCTCTGATCAGCAGCTCTGATTGGTCAAAGCGCGGTCGAGCCCCTCTGTGCATGTGCATGAGAGCCACACGTGCATATTTGGCGCAATGCATCATGGGAGCTCGTTCACTGCGCAGAACCGGGAGGACCAGACGATGCCCAAATATAGCCGAGTTCTACTGATATGTCAGCGCCCGTGAAGTCCCATGCGCTACTGAGCACAAGCCATTCATTTGAATAAGGCGCCATCTTGGATCACCGGGGCTTGACCAGGGTTTATAGATGGCTAATGCTAGGTTAGCCCTGCTCCAATGCAAGTGGTTTACAGTATTTTCTAATCATATCTATTTATAAATGGGCACTTTATTGTCCATGGGGTTTTAATTCTGTCCTAAGTTGATCGATTTGACTGAACTCTGGATGAAAAAGGACTACATTCGTGGTGGACCAGCAACACAAACCACAAGGACTTTGTGGGAATATTGACTCACTACACACAGATACACACAGTTACACACAGTTACACACAGGTACATGTAGATACACACAGATACACACAGTTACACACGTTTACACACAGATACACACAGGTACACAGAGAAACACACAGTTGCACACATTTACGCACAGTTACACGTACTTAGACATATTTACATACAAATACACACGGATACATACACACAGGTACACATAGTTACTTACAGATACACACAGGTAAACACACTTACACACAGTTGCACACTAACACAGGTACACACAGAAACACAGTGTAATCAGCCTAGGAGAGTGTGTCTTTATTGGCAATTCTGTATTTTCATAGTTGGACTAATTTAATTAATTAATTAATGTTCTTTTCAAAAATCTTTGGTCGTTGAGTTTCTTTTCAGAATCTGTGTTGTGCAGATGATTCAACAACTTTGAGGGGTAAAAAGAAGATCGCAATCCTGCTGTTTATATTGTGATATTTTTCAATGGACAAACATGAGAGGTTTCCATGGTAACGGTTTCCGTGGTAACGGTCTCCATGGGACCCAATTCAAAGTGATGTCTCAAGGGACCGGAACACTTGGATTTATCTAGAGAGAAGTGATCGGCAGTGGGACATTAAAGAAGCTATACCCGATTTTTTTTGTAAGTAGTTCATAAAAATGCTTTTTACTACATACAAGTTGTATCATAATACATAATTTAATTGAAAACTTGAGGTAATTGATTCAGCTGTGTAAGAATTACAAGCAGTGAAAAGTGCTGAGTAGAGTCTGAGCGGGCCGCTCGTTCTCCTCCGCTCACAGAACGAGCAGTGAACAGCCTGCGTCCTCTAGCCTCTACAGCGCTGCTTAACACCAGGACTTCGACTTCAAAATTCGAATATAATTCTAAAATAAAAAATGATGAACAAAATAATTGAATAAAAAAATGTGAACAAATATTAGACAACCCTTGTAATTCGAAATGTATTTAATGACTGCAAATAAAATAGTGAGCTCCCAAAGGTTTCACCGGGACGTGTTAGGCAGGTAACAGCTAAGCTAGCTAGCTGTTTCATGGTAACTTCCGGGTTTTTCGCAATCGCTTTTTGTCACTTTAAAACAGTATTTTTGTCATGAAAACGTTAACAGCAAATTCTGAAATCATCCGTGCATGTGTGTTAAGGATGTATATGTGTACTGTATTGTCCGATTGACGTTTAATGGTGTTGATTGATAGATATGTAGTTGTTTATTGAGCGTGGCTAGCTCCGCTAGCTCCGTTGGCTTCTCTACACAGACGAGTGATAGTGACAGGTGCTGATAGCTTGTTGTACTTGCAGAGTAATGGCAGTATTTTACACACCTGAATTACAAACAGAGATTGCATTGGGGCTTCGGTCATTATTGGTTTGAGAGTTGTTATCAAGAAAAAATGATCGGAAGAATTGCTGCTGCTGCTTTGAGGAGCTCTATAACAAATTATAATTAAATATTAGAATATATTCTAAGGTTTTAAATTAATACATTCGGACGCAAAACTAGCGGTATTCTTTTACTTATATATTGTGTTAGCAGTGCATTGCTTTAGTACCATTTCATCAGTGATTGTTGCACAGCTTACAAGAAGTTGTGCTAATGCTAATGTTAGCATATGTATCAGATCGCAAATAAAACTAGATGGCTCTGTGTTATGAGAGCGTAGGGGAAATGAGAAGCCATTGAGCGAGTTGGGGGGCGGTGCTAAACATTCAAACATTGCAGAAACGGGTATAGCGCCTTTAACCCCAGTGCCTTTTTACTTCTTGAGAGGACTCCAACCCTTAACCCTAACTTTTAACCTAGCTCTAACTCTAACCCGCAAGAGAGGCTTTAAAGAAGCTGATTCTCTACATGCAGTAATGTAACAGAGTTAGACATATATATAGAGTTTATTAAAGATAAGACTCCCTTTTCCCACTTAGCTGTGTATTATATAGAGTTTAAACACAAACAGGATGTGGAGGAATAATAATAGACAACAGGGACATGAGTGTGCTTGTAGTGCACGTTTAGCCGATTACCGGGAAAAAAATGAGGAATTACAGAAGTATATTAATAAGAGAGAATGGGGGATGGAGCAGGACCTCCACCACTTCAGAGATGAGTTCAGAGAGGCCTTTCTGAGAAATAACCAAGGGCGTAGGTTTGCGTGGGGACCATGGGGACATGTCCCCACCAATATTTGGTGAGGACTAAAAAGTCCCCACCAAAATGACATGATGTCCCGTGACCCGGACGGTCCGGGACACATGTCTTCCGTTTGTGCATACGTCGCGCCTCCTCCTCGCCTCCAGAGCAACAGCAGCAGCAGCAGCACGTGACCCGTTCCGTTCTCTGCAGTGATTGGCTGTCTTCTTCAGCGCCAAACTGAAGCACTGAGCGACTGTTTAATTTTTAAAAGTTAGCCAGCGTGAAGCAAGTGTTTTTTTTCGTTCCCTGAGCGTTGTAGCACGTGAGTAATCAGAGGAAAGTACTGTAGATCTATTACCATTCAAAGTACTTACGTTATTTCTAATCTGTCAGCGCACTGTTTAATGTTCCGAGGAGCTCACACGGCACAGAGACAGAACAGAACTGGCTCCAATAAAGAAACAGGTTGGTTGAAAGGCTGAAAAAATACTTATTGTGCTCTTACTATCCAAAATGTATAAGTGGGTGTGTTGTGTGAATCAGGATAAACTAGGGATGAAAATATTCCACGGATCCACGATTTACAACCTTTATCTGCTGATAATGTAATTTCTGTGAAATGTGTGACAGCGGGCACTTGCTGTTATTTGCTCTAAGCACATTCAAGAGATGCACTCGAATGTGCACGTCCTGGTGCAGCTGCTGCCGCTTTGTAATGACAGCCGCGGCGCTCAGTGAAAGCACAGCTCTAACATGGTACCGAGCTCGGACCATATGCAGACAGAACCATGTTGCAAGTGCGGGTCTCCCTCGTATCTCCCCCGTTTCTCCCCTGTGTCTCTGACATGTCTCTCCCCTGACTCTTCCCAAAGCGCAACCAGCGCTCCCGAAATTAAAGCTCGGATACGTAAATTTTCCATTGCGTTAACGATGCATGCTGGTTGTGTGCAAAACACACCACAACAGGTCATTTAAGTTTTTATTTTGCATACTTGAGAGCCCTGTGAGTCATTACTTGCCTTTTTGGGTTGAGAGTGGAAAAAAAAAGAAAATATAGAAAAATCCACACTGTTACTTATTGCCAAACTCTTGTTAACTCATTGTATTGAGAAATACTATGTAACTTTTGACATTGGCCAAGTTATATAAATGATTCTGCAGTTCATGTATATGAATGTCTGTTTTTGATTTTCTATACCTTCTTATATAATTTAGAAAAAATGCCACCTCCACAAAAAAAGATAAAAGATATCAGGAGCTTTTTTAACAGTTGGAAAGTAAGTAAGAGAAAGCACAAGTAATAGCAAATTATGAATTGTGATGATTAATCTTCTGTTAACATACATTAGGAAACTCAACCAACAAGAGAGAACAATATAGGGAATGTTGAGGTAGAAGCAACAGGCCCTTCAGTGCATCAGGCGAGGTTGGAATTTTGTAGGTATGCATGGGACTATGAATTGTTTTTAGAGATTGATCGTATATGTCAAACAATGTAGTGAGATACTCACTGTAGATTCTAATTCAATATTTTCTCCTCTGTTTTTATTTATTATAGGAAATTGAAAGATCAGAGCATGATTTATTTCAAGTATCGAGAGCAGTTCCTGAACTGTTAGAGCCTCAGGTGAGGGCTATTATGTAGATTTGGATTAGGTTTAAGTCAGTATAGAATGAACGCAACACAAAACTCAGAAGCTCTGATCCAATTGATTTTGTTTTAACTATTAGAAAAAATCCTTAACTGCTTCTCATTCAGTCTACAGCTGAGTTTAGTATAGAAGGCAACACACTATTGCAAATATAGTGTGTGATTACACAACAAATTCTGGGAGAGAAACTCTGGACCCCGTGTCAATGGGTGTAGACTCAGGTCGTAGTGAATGTCCCCACCAAGATTGGAACCAAACCTACACCATTGGAAATAACGGAAAAGAACTGAGAGAGGTGAAGGACATAGCTGCGCGTCAGAAGGTTAACATGACCAATCAGATTGAAGACCTGCAGAAGGAGGCTAAGCAGAGAAGGATTGAGTCAAACCGGGCGCGCAGACAGTTTCTGTTGGAGTTACGGCAAGCTCAAGATGCTTTAGATGTGAAAAATTAGGAGCTCCACGCTCTGAGAGAATCGATAGTGGACGTTGCCATAAAGACTGCATCGACTGCTGAAGTCGAGACGCAGACGGACCTCAGTCCTAAGCTGCTCCAGCTGCAGCTGAGCGCGGCTAGAGACAAGGACTTGATCCGAACACTGACTGAAGAGACCACAGCGAGAAGGGCCGAGCAGGAGGGTCTTCGAGAGCAGCTCAAACGAGCTCAAGAAGAACTCAAGGTTCGAGATGAACAGATCCTGGCCCTGCAGAAGGCCAAGGATCAGACCGTAACTGAAGTCAAAGATCAGTTAGAAGTAGCCACGACCAGAATGAGGCGTTTGTTGGGTTTGGCGCGAGAGCGAGACACGCAGTGGAAGGAAGCCAACAGAACCCTCAATGAAGAGCTCCGACAGACGCAGCTCCAGTTACCAGTGGCGGCACGGTGGCTGAGTGGATAGCACTCTCGCCTCTCAGCAAGAAGGTCCTGGGTTCGAATCCCGGCCGGACCAGGGAGTGGAGTTTGCATGTTCTCCCCGTGTCTGCGTAGGTTTCCTCCGGGTACTCCGGTTTCCCCTGCCACTAAAAATATGGCATGCGCCTCTGTTCGGCGACCCCGCTCCCATTTCTGTGTGGAGTGAGAGGACAAGTGCTCAAAAAATAACAATTGTAAACCGCTTTGTGACTCTGGTCTGTGAAAGGCGGTATATAAATAAAGCTTACTTACTTACTTACTTACTTACCAGAGAAAGATCGTCAGCTCAGGACTCTGACGGAGGTTAACGAGTCCATGACCCTCAACATCACGAGGGTAGAAGACGAGCTGACTCGCCTTAAACAGGAGATCCATCAGTTTATGAAGGAGCCTGTTCAGTTAGAGGCAGAGGTGGAGGCAGAGGTGGAGGTCGAAGTGGAGACCCAGGTAGAGACCGAGGTGGAGGCTGCAATAGAAAGCAAGGTAGAGACTGCGATAGAGGCTGCAATAGAGACAGAGGTAGAGGCCGCAATAGAAACTGAGATAGGGACCGCGTTTGGGACCGAGAAAGAGACCCCAATAGAAGTGTTAGTTAGCGGTGGAAGTGCATCTGAACCTAAGCCAGAAACTGTAGACATTAGACAGGTGCACAGGGCGCTAGGTGTGAACGTCAGGAGCCTGGTCCAACTGTTCGCTCAGAAAGACCATGACGTTCAGGAGGAGAAACAACGCGCTGAAGAACTACAGGAGAAGACGAAACAAAAGGCTGCAAACTTCAGCTGGAATCTCAAGTAAATAAATCCCTTTTGGCGACACGGTGGCTGAGTGGTTAGCACTCGTGCTTCTCAGCAAGAAGGTGGTGGGTTTGAATCCTCACGGACACATGGCTTTTCTGAGGAGAGTTTTCATGTTCTCCCCGTGTTTGCGTAGGTTTCCTCCGGGTGCTCCGGTTTCCCCTACCACTAAAAACATGGGCAATAGCTCCTCTCTCTGAGGGGCCAGGACCTCCCTGAAAAAAGAGATTCTGAAATCTCAGTGGGACATTCCTGGTTAAAAAAACAACAGAAAATAAAATAAAAACTTTAAATTGAGCATTCCATTGGCAACCTGGCAACCCCCTCTGCCAGGTTGGGTTTGAGTTGTCCACAAAAAGCTTTAAGCTGCAAAAGCAGCAGAATGTACTGGAGAGTTTGTTCAGCTGGAACACCTCTGGAGCTTTGAGGTGGGCAATACAAACACCTGCGGATGTTGCTTTGGTGATTCTGCACAAAATGGCTTCCAACGAGTCTGGGTTTCAGTCCAGACCGTGCTGGAGATCAGGGAGGTCCGGCGGGTTCAGAAGGAGCTGTGTGACTGAGGTCTTAGTCCGACAGAGCAGGACCAGACTCCTTATGGTCCCAGGTCCAGGCTCGACCTGAAGACCTGGTGAGATGAGTGTAGTCTCCAGTTTTCCTAGTCGGTTGGAAGGAAAACCTCAGTGGAACTTCTGTAGAACCTGTTGGTCCTCCTGGTGTAGATCATTCAGGGCAAAGCGACAGCCTCAGTTAGCTCATTTGAGTTTGGCGGATTGGTTCTGGCGTGTAAGCTGTAAGAATGTTCCACTCCGTGACGTTAGGGTTAGGGTCAGGACAATTAGGTTTAAAACAGTGCCATAGACTCAGTAAGAAACTATGACACTGTTTTAAGCTTTAGACTAGACAACAATGGACTGTACAAATGCAATTGTGGAAGACGGCCTTCTCTGGACTTTGCCTCCAGTAATAACTAAGGAATAATAAAAAAAATTCACACCAATTTAACTCCAGAATGTGTTATTATTTTCCACAAAGTTTCTCTCTCTCTGGTCTTTTTGTTTGGTCTCTCTCTTAGGTCTCTCTCTGGTCTCTCTAGATTATTAAATAGCCGAAGGAACAAATGATGACTCTTGAAACGTTCCGTTCGACAGTGTAGTGATAGGAGCCTGTTGCTACGGTTACTCCTCTGAGCGGCCATAGTGTCATGCAGAGGGTGTCCCAGGATACCCAGGATACCCAGGATGCCCTGCTTTAGAGCCCTCATCCTTCTCTCCAGCACAGCTCCCACAGAGTCCACACTTCTCCCCATCACAGAGACACATTTCCTGATTAGCCTGTCAAGCCGGTTACTTTCTCTGGAGGTCAGAGTGCCGCTTCAACACGCAACCCTGAAGAACACGTCACTAGCTTCAACAGACTGGTAAAAAATGTCCTTCTTTACAGTTGGAGGAGTGAGAAAGACACATCTGAGACAGCGCTGGTTCAGGAGGCTCCTGTGACCTCCTCCAGGGTCATTATGGTGAAATCAGCCCCAGCAAAAAATTTCTATTCAATTAATTTTTGTATAGCCCTAGTCTCGGAGACCCATACAACCAACACAGATCAGAGAATCAAATAGTTCAAACACAGGAAATGCAACAATAAAAAACACGTATAGTCTTTGGTACAAGGGGCAGATGACGATTGTCCATAAATGTGGAGTGTCCAGATCATCACTGTCCTTAGAAACCTCCTGCATCAGTAAGGAACTCTAAAAACCCAGTAGGAGAAAGTTAGAAACCTTCTCCCACTGGGTTTTTCCCACAGACTGTATATATTAATGAACCTAGTCACGCCTATTTCCGCCGTTCTAACTAATGGGCCAAAAATTGGGCTTTCATGGAGTGATTCAAAATGGCCACGGGGGCGGGAAAATGTGAAAAAACGCATCTGCGCATGCGTCAGCCGGCATGAGCCCCATTCGTTTAAACGAGTGACTTCAAAAATTCACAGCGAGTAAACTAGACTGGTCCAAAAAAATTCACCCCCCTCAGCATTGACACACATGTGGAACGGAGCTTTGGGCCAAGAGCCAACTTTTGGACCATCCTGTGAAGACGTTTTCGAGAGGTAAGAAGATGCTATATGTTTGCATTGGTTAATTCTTATTCCGGGTCCACCCCCATCGGCCCGGGGTGGTATGGCAAGCATGTCAGCGCACGTCATTTGGGCCACTTTTGAGCCGGGACCCGCCCCCACTGGTTTTGCCTTGTAGAAGAAATTAGCTCTTTGCTTCATGGAGAATGTGTTGGTCCCTCAAAAAGCCTTCATTTCTGTTTTACACAACGGTAAAAGGTGATGATGATGGTGAATCCAGCGCTCACATGACGCTGACCATGTGGAGAGGTTAGCTGCATCAGATGTGTTCTTGTCTTGGAGCTCAAGAAACACATTCTGTTCAAGACACAGGCTCGCCTCGGACTTCAGTCGCCTGGCCTCGTGTTTGATGCGTGACACTTTAAAATAGCAATATGTGAGATTTTCATGTCAAGTCTTCATTAAACGGCCCTTATCCATGGTCTTTTCGAATACTTCTTTAGCTGATAACAGTATTTCAGAGATATTTGGATTTCAGAATCAGTTTAACAGCCCCTAAATCTTGGTTTTGTTTTCATTTTGATATTCCGCCCTCCACTGTTTCCCCAATCAGAAAGTCTGTTATCCGGGTTGCCAGAACTCACGGCGCTGAGCTAATCTCACTGGTAAAGTAACATGTGGCCGCAGAACTAAAAAAAGTCTTGTTATGATTCTCAAATCATTAATGACAAAACAAGGAATACAAAGATTGTTATTTTTGTGAAAAAGGTTTTGGTTTCTTTCAGATATTAGGGTCCCAGCTGGAGTCGTTTGCATATCAAGCAACCTGAGTCAGGGAGAGTGGGAGGGGTTGCAGTACCACTTTTGGCCAGATTTTTTTACTTCAGAAACATGTGTGGAAAGAAAGATCGAGAGGACATTGGGGTTTTGTTTTTCCTGCTGTCTGTGCTCAGAACTCTCATGGAGCCGGTTTAGTCCGGTCTCTGTGTTGTTGTTTGAAATAAGTTACGTACCTCGACTTTAACCACCTCTGCAATAATCAAGTGGACTTTATATAATGGCAAGGATGTTTGCCTGATGAAACTATTAAAAAGAGGTTTGAAAAAGAGGGTAGCAACCCCCTCACTCTTTCAACACAACCCAACACACACACGACAAGACACAGGCCCAAACTCTCTGACCACACACCTCTCTCCCGCAACTCACTCTGTGCCTAAGTCTCACTTCTCCACATACTTCTTCAGCGCTTCATTTTTGAGCAACTTTTTCAATTGGAACAGATTTTATCATGTTTTAAAATCATCTGTCATGTCTCTCTCTGGTCTTCCTTGCTGGTCTCTCTCTGATGTCTCTCTCTCTCTGGTCTCTCTCTGGTCTCTCTCTGTTCTCTCTCTGTTCTCTCTCTCTGGTCTCTCTCTGGTCTCTCTCTGTTCTCTCTCTCTGGTCTCTCTCTGGTCTCTCTTTCTGGTCTGTTTCTCTGGTCTCTCTCTGGTCTCTCTCTCTGGTCTGTTTCTCTGGTTTCTCTCTGTTCTCTCTCTGTTCTCTCTCTCCGGTCTCTTTCCGGTCTCTCTCTGTTCTCTCTCTCTGGTCTCTCTCTGTTCTCTCTCTGTTCTCTCTCTGTTCTCTCTCTGTTCTCTCTCTCTGGTCTCTCTCTGGTCTCTCTTTCTGGTCTGTTTCTCTGGTCTCTCTCTGGTCTCTCTCTCTGGTCTGTTTCTCTGGTTTCTCTCTGTTCTCTCTCTGTTCTCTCTCTCCGGTCTCTTTCCGGTCTCTCTCTGTTCTCTCTCTCTGGTCTCTCTCTGGTCTCTCTCTCTGGTCTCTCTTTCTGGTCTGTTTCTCTGGTCTCTCTCTGGTCTCTCTCTGTCTCTCTCTCTGGTCTCTTTCTGGTCTCTCTTTCTGGTCTCTCTCTGTTCTCTCTCTGTTCTCTCTCCGGTCTCTCTCTGTTCTCTCTCTCTGGTCTCTCTCTAGTCTCTCTCTAGTCTCTCTCTCGTCTCTCTCTGGTCTCTCTCTGGTCTCTCTCTGGTCTCTCTCTGGTCTCTCTCTGGTCTCTCTCTGGTCTCTCTCTGGTCTTTCTCTCTGGTTGTTCCAAAGAGCAGTCCACGTAAGATGAGGACAAAGACTAAACAAAGAATGCAGAGAGACCCCACCTCGATACCGACCCCATGTCTACTCGCTCATAGACGAGCAGCTTCAAGACAGGTTTGACGGTTTTGTACATTACTGGCCCAAAAAGCTTGACTGTTGTAACTGTTGTCTCCTCGGGCCTAAAATGACAAAAGGAGAAAACAAACAGCCGAAGTGCAGCCACTGAATGACTCCACACTGCCCCCTACTGACGGTAACCCTCATTGACAACATGGAGAAAAAGGTTGTCCATACAAACAGACGAAAAACATCTTCAACAGAGATTTTTCATGGCTCAAACGCTGCAGCTGTTTTAAATCCTGACGCCAGACCAAGCTAAGTATTCCTTTTAGTTTAGGAATAGTTTTTAATCCATCCATGTTAACTGCATAATCCAAAATCCAATCAATAAATTGTGGAATTATCTAAAAACGCTCTCCATCTATGACAGAGCACGCACTGTCTCTAAGGCTTAGATGGTTCTTTTAATGAATGCCTGTAATAAGAACCTGCAGTAAAACACACATCGGAGAAACAGGAAGTGCTTTCACCACCAGGAGAGAAGAGATCAACGAGATCAAATAAGGAGCCGGCAATACAATCTCAAATCGGCTACATCTGACCACCGCACGAGAGAGAATCACATAATGGACCGAGACAATGCAAAAAGATGGAGACGAGACGTGATTGAAATCAGGAAGCGAGACGCCGGACCATCAACAGAGACGAGGGGCCTGCACCTTGGCTCACACTTTAGGGGATTAGGGCAAGTCTTCATGAGAGGTACCGAGGCAGATCTAAGATAAGTAAGCAAGTAATGTTTATTTATATAGCGCATATAAATAAACATTACTTGACCTTGGTCTTTTTACAGACCAAGGTCACCCAAAGCGCTCTACAATGTTCCGAGTTCAGATTTTGTTCCAATCATTCCACACACGGTGATGACGGAAGCGAGTCGCCGAACACACTGGACCCTCAGCCCCCAATCAACACCATCCATTCACTCTCTCGTTTACATTCATACCTATTGTGCATGTTCAAAGTGGTAGGGGAAACTGGAGCACCTGGAGGAAACCTACGCAGACACCGACCGGGATTCGAACCCAGGACCTTCTTGCTGAAAAGATGAGATAAGAGATAAGATAAGATAAGATATTCATTTATTGTCTCCCACAGAAATTCATCTTTGGCCAGAGGTTCACGGGCTTTACACCACATACATTTGCAAACACCACAACAAACATTAAACAGACCAAAAATAGACAAATAGAGGTAAGAGCACCATCAGCACCATCAGCACCATCTGCACCATCGGCACCATCGGCACCATCAGAGCAGGGACGTGCAGTCAGGGGAGGCAGGGGAGGCAGAGCCTCACCTGCCATTATTGGAAACTAATAATTATTTTAGTTTAAATATATAATTTATATCCACTGTCCTATGCTTTTAATGTATATTCGGCACGGTTCCCATCAGTTTTGATCATTTCTGAAGTCAAAATCGCCGAAATCCCGTTATTCCTATTCAAAGAGACGAGGTGAGGCAGCGCTCCTGCGTGCCTCACCTCAGACCGCTCCCTCACAGTGTGTGTGTGTGTGTCTGAGTGCACTCAGCTCGTGCAGTTGATATATCACCGTTTGTTTCAAATATCCTGCTTTAAAAACATTTTTTAAACTCCTCTTAGTGTTTAGTAGTGTATTGCACGTATGTGTGTACAATTTATATTTAGTTTAAGTCTTTTGATCGTAGATGAACACACAAGGAAAAAGCTTGGCGTGAGGCAGGCGGTATCTGTGCCTCACCGCTAGGGGTGATAGTGAGCATAAAATTGACAGATACCGGCAAAGTAGTGCTTTTTTCCGAAAAACACTGATTCAAACACTGCTCAAGAGTTCTGCAACTTGTTTAAATTATTGTTTATGTTCCTCGCGTCTCTCCCTTCTCCGTCTCTCTGCTCGCGCGTCTCTCTCTGCTCCTCGCGTCTCTCTGTCTCGCGTCTCTCTGCTCTCCGTCTCTCTGCTCCTCTCTTTCTCTCTCTGCTCTCTCTCCTCGCGTCTCTCTCTCCTCGCGTCTCGTCTCTCTGCTCCTCTCGCTGCTCCCCCTCTCTCGTCTCTCTCTGCTCCTCGCGTCTCCGTCTCTCTCTCCTCTCTGTCTCTCTCTGCTCCTCGCTCTCCGTCTCTCTGCTCCTCTCCTCTCTGCTCCTCTCTCTGCTCTCTCTCGTCTCTGTCTCTCTCTCTCCTCGCGTCTCCGTCTCTCTGCTCCTCTCTGTCTCTCTCTGCTCCTCTCTCCTCTCTGTCTCTCTCTGCTCCTCGCGTCTCCGTCTCTCTGCTCCTCTCTGTCTCCCTCTCTCTCTGCTCGCGTCTCGTCTCTCTCGCTCCTCGCGTCTCCGTCTCTCTGCTCCTCTCTGTCTCTCTCTGCTCTCCTCTCTCTCGCCTCTCGTCTCTCTCTGCTCCTCGCGTCTCCTCTCTGCTCCTCTCTCTCTCTCTGCTCTCTCCTCCTCTCTGTCTCTCTCTGCTCCTCGCGTCTCCGTCTCTCTGCTCCTCTCTGTCTCTCTCTGCTCCTCTCTCCTCGCGTCTCTCTCTCCTCGCGTCTCTCGCACCTGCGCTTCTTAAAGATGTTGTTTGATGCGGAGCAGAGTCAGCAGCTAGTTTTGTTGTGAGATTATTAAAAGAAGCTGGTTCTCTTATCTTTACAGTATATAAAGTTTGTGGATGTCATTGCATTGGTGATTAAATGCTATTTTATTTGAATAATGATTGTAAATCTGACTTTTAAAGTCAGTGCCTCCCCAATCACAAACCTCACCGCACGTCCCTGCATCAGAGACCTCGAGGACCAGAAAACAGTTGGTGACAGGACACAGGTACTTGTAAGAGTCCTCTCTCTTTGATCCCATCTGATCAAAAGATTGTTCAGTCCAAAAATACATGAAAGTGAGAGTGGTATAAATTATATAGTTATTACTGGTGACGATACAATTCTTTTCTTCATATATTTTGGCCAAATTGCCCAGGCCTATGAGAAAAGTGAAGAAAGGGGATGAGGGAGTTTACAGCTATTGAGAGAGAGAGAGAGTGTGTGTGCACCATGTGCACTTGTATAATGTATATAGTAACTGTAACCCTATTTTAAATTTAAATGTATTCCTTAGAAGTGTTTTGTATTATCTCTTTCTGACTGTTGCACTGAGCCAAAGCAATTTCCAAGTCTGTAACTTCCTGTTACTTACGTGGCAATAAAAATGATTCTGATTCTGATTCTGAGAGAGACAGTGAGAGAGGGGGGGGGGTGGGGGGGTCGCAGAGAGAGAGAGAGAGAGGGTCACAGAGAGAGAGAGGGAGAGGAAAGGAGAGGAGAGAGACAGTGGGGTCACTGCGAGAGTGAGAAAGAGAGAGAGAGAGAAAGAGCGAGACAGAGAGAGGTCACAGAGAGAGAGAGTGAGGGTGGAGGGGTTACAGAGAGAGAGAGAGAGAGGGGAGGGTCACAGAGAGAGACAGAGGGGGGGTCACACAGATAGAGAGAGAGCGAGAGAGGTGGAGGGGTTACAGAGAGAGAGAGAGGGTCACAGAGAGAGAGATAGGGAGAGGAGAGGAGAGAGAGAGGGGGTCACAGAGCGAGAGAGAGGGGGAGTCACACAGCGAGAGAGAGAGCGAGAGAGAGGTGGAGGGGTTACAGAGAGAGAGATAGGGAGAGGAAAGGAGAGGAGAGAGAGAGGGGGGGTCACAGAGAGAGTGAGAAAGAGAGAGAGAGACGGGGGAGGGGTTACAGAGAGAGAGAGAGGGTCACAGAAAGGGAGAGGAAAGGAGAGGAGAGAGAGTAGGGGGGTCACAGAGAAAGTGAGAAAGAGAGAGAGAGGGGGTCACAGAGAGAGAGAGGGGGGGGGGGGGTTACAGAGAGAGAGAGAGAGAGAGAGAGAGAGAGAGAGGGGGGGGGTCACAGAGAGAGGGAGAGGAAAGAGAGAGAGTAAGAGTCACTGAAACAGGGTTGTTCTACTGTTGTATCCATCTGGTTGGGACTATGGTTGGGACTATGGTTGGGACTATGGTTGGGACTATGGTTCGGACTTTGGTACTATGGTTGGTACTATGGTTGGTACTATGGTTGGTACTATGGTTGGTACTACGGTTGGGACTATGGTTGGTACTATGGTTGGTACTATGGTTGGTACTATGGTTGGTACTACGGTTGGGACTATGGTTGGTACTATGGTTCGGACTATGGTTGGTACTATGGTTGGTACTATGGTTGGGACTATGGTTGGTACTATGGTTGGTACTATAGTTGGGACTATGGTTGGTACTACGGTTGGGAGTATGGTTGGTACTATGGTTGGGAGTATGGTTGGGACTATGGTTGGTACTATGGTTGGACTATGGTTGGTACTATGGTTGGGAGTATGGTTGGGACTATTGTTGAGACTATGGCTGAGACTATGGTTGGAACTATGGTTGGTACTATGGTTGGGACTATGGTTGGTACTATGGTTGGGACTATGGTTGGGACTATGGTTGGTACTATGGCTGAGACTATGGTTGGAACTATGGTTGGTACTATGGTTGGTACTACGGTTGGGACTATGGTTGGTACTATGGTTGGGACTATGGTTGGGACTATGGTTGGTACTATAGTTGGGACTATGGTTGGTACTACGGTTGGGAGTATGGTTGGTACTATGGTTGGGACTATGGTTGGGACTATTGTTGAGACTATGGCTGAGACTATGGTTGGAACTATGGTTGGTACTATGGTTGGGACTATGGTTGGGACTATTACTGATAACTATATATTTCTTTTCTTCATATATTTTGGCCAAATTGCCCATGCCCCTTGAGAAAAATGGGGATGGGGGAGTTTACAGCTTCAAAACATACAGCTGCTTCTTTGTGAGTTATTTTTAGAACGTAACGTCTGCGTAGCACCAGGGACCGGAGAACCATGAACCATCTTTCTGGTTGTAACTGTAACTCACACAGACCCCAGGAGCTGCTGCTGCTGATCCTCCTGGAGCAAGCGTCATGTGACCTTGCTGGATCTGCATCAGAACAAAATGGCCGCTCTTTCTACAACGTTTACGATCGACAGCAGCTAAACAGATCTGGTTAGAAGAAAGCACACCGCACAGCAGCGACGTGTATTTCTGACTTTCTGACTCATGCAGAGAGGACTAGAGGGTCTCTGAGGGAGAGCAAGAGAGAGAGGGCCACAGAGAGAGAGAGAGAGAGGGGAGGGGGAGGGGGGTCACTGAGGGAGAGCAAGAGAGAGAGGGCCACAGAGAGAGAGAGAGGGAGAGGGGAGGAGGGGTCACTGAGGGAGAGAGAGAGAGAGGAGGGGGAGGGTCACTGAGGGAGAGCAAGAGAGAGAGGGCCACAGAGAGAGAGAGAGAGGGAGAGAGAGCAGGAGCGAGAGATAATAAGGAGAGATGAAGAGAGGAGCGAGAGAGGGCAGTGAGAGAGAGAGAGAGAGAAGGAGAGAGGGGGGGTCACCAAGAGAGAGAGGGTTACTGAGAGAGAAAGAGAGAGGAGGGGGAGGGTCACTGAGGAAGAGCAAGAGAGAGAGGGCCACAGAGAGAGAGAGGAGGGGGAGGGTCACTGAAGGAGAGCAAGAGAGAGAGGGCCACAGAGAGAGAGAGTAGCAGCGAGAGATAATAAGGAGAGAGGGAGAGAAGAGCAAGAGAGGGCAGTGACAGAGAGAGAGAGAGAGAAGGAGAGAGGGGGTCACTCAGAGAGAGAGAGGGGGATCACTAAGAGAAAGAATCACAGAGAGAGAGAGAGAGAGAGAGAGAGAGAGAGAGAGAGGGGGGTCACTGAGGGAGAGCAAGAGAGAGAGGGCCACAGAGAGAGAGAGAGGGAGAGGGGAGGAGGGGTCACTGAGGGAGAGAGAGAGAGAGGAGGGGGAGGGTCACTGAGGGAGAGCAAGAGAGAGAGAGGGCCACAGAGAGAGAGAGAGAGGGAGAGAGAGCAGGAGCGAGAGATAATAAGGAGAGATGAAGAGAGGAGCGAGAGAGGGCAGTGAGAGAGAGAGAGAGAAGGAGAGAGGGGGGGGTCACCAAGAGAGAGAGGGTTACTGAGAGAGAAAGAGAGAGGAGGGGGAGGGTCACTGAGGAAGAGCAAGAGAGAGAGGGCCACAGAGAGAGAGAGAGGAGGGGAGGGTCACTGAAGGAGAGCAAGAGAGAGAGGGCCACAGAGAGAGAGAGTAGCAGCGAGAGATAATAAGGAGAGAGGGAGAGAAGAGCAAGAGAGGGCAGTGACAGAGAGAGAGAGAGAGAAGGAGAGAGGGGGTCACTCAGAGAGAGAGAGGGGGATCACTAAGAGAAAGAATCACAGAGAGAGAGAGAGAGAGAGAGAGAGAGAGAGAGAGAGGGGGGGTCACTGAGGGAGAGCAAGAGAGAGAGGGCCACAGAGAGAGAGAGAGAGAGAGAGAGAGAGGGGAGGATGGGTCACTGAGGGAGAGAGAGAGAGGGGGGGGGGGGGTCACTGAGGATGAGCAAGAGAGAGAGGGCCACAGAGAGAGAGAGAGAGAGAGATAGAGAGCAGGAGAGAGAGATAATAAGGGGGAGAGGGAGAGAGGAGCGAGAGAGGGCAGTGAGAGAGAGAAGGAGAGAGGGGGGGTCACTAAGAGAGAGAGGGTTACTGAGAGAGAGGGAGAGAGCAGGAGAGAGAGAGATAAGGAGAGAGGGAGCGAGAGAGAGAGAGAAGGAGAGAGAGGGGGATCACTCAGAGAGAGGGGGATCACTAAGAGAAAGAATCACAGAGAGAGAGGAGAGAGCAGGAGAGAGAGCAATAAGGAGAGAGGGAGAGAGGAGAGAGAGAGGGTCACTGAGAGAGAGAAAGAGAGCGAGAGAGAGAGAGAGTCACTGAAAGAGAGAGATGATTACTGAGAGAGAGAGAGAAAGAGGGGGGTCACTAAGAGAAAGAATCACAGAGAGAGAGGGAGAGAGAAGAAGAAGAGAGAGAGAGGGTCACTGAGAGAGAGACAGAGAGAGAGAAAGAGAGAAAGAAGGAGAGAGAATGACTGTTTTTGGGGAGTGGTCATGGGTCTGGACCAGGGAGACCACATCACAGGCACAAGTCCAGGCGTCCCATCATCACACCATGAAACAGACAATAGGACAGCGGGAGAATAGCAATGAACAGACTACAGCTGAAGTCATAATGATAAGTCACAGATCAGTGAGGAGGCAAAGTGAGTCCATATGCAGTTTGACCGACAATCTGTCTTTTAAACTTAATCCAGTATTTCCAAGTCATCCCTGACCCTGAGTCTTACCTCCTGCTGAAGTAAAGAAGACTGCTTTAAGCCTGGCCATGGATAGAGGCTGTGTCTGCTTCTATGGATGAAGCTGTTCCAAAGTTAAAGGAGCTCTGCCATCAAGTGCTGTTTGAGACTTTAGGACCCACCAGGCGTCTGGCGTTTTGCGATCGCAGTGCCCGGTTTTATTGGTATACGAAACGAACATATCCCAGAGGTGAGAGGGAACCATGTCATTATTGGCTTTGTTTGTTAAAAGAATGATTATTTAATTCTAGAGGAAGCCAGTGGAGTGATTTTAACGCCGGTGTCATGCGCCCCCTCCTTTTGTTGCCAGTTAAGATCCTTGCTGCTGCTGTAATTTGGACGAGTTTAGGGTTAGAGGATTTAGGGCACGCTGCCAGCAGAGGGCGCTACAGACAAGCCTTGAGGTGACGCTGTGAAATCTCTGGTTGTGTTTATTCTGTGAACTAACCCAGACGCCGCGCTCTTTGTCATTTCCTTCACTACACTGTACATGTCTGCAGCACTTTCTGGGGGACTGCTGAAGGCTGCAGTACTTCCCTAAACACGCAGCTGGATCCATAGATACCTTCTTTGTCTTGTGTGTTTTATTTGTGGTTTAGCAAAAAAGATTATTAATATTCCTTTGTACTTTTATCATTAAATTATCCCATTTTAACTGTGACTGATGACTGCAGACTGGAGGACTGTAAAAAGAAAGTGTGGGGCCCTTCACCAGGAGCGGACAGAGGCACCACATCTATACACACACACACAGTCACACACAGTCACACACAGTCACACACAGTCACACACAGTCACACACACAGTCACATAGACACACGTATACGCACACACACAGTCACATAGACACACCCACACATACACACAGTCACATAGACACGCACACACATACACACAGTCACATAGACACGCACACACAGTCACATAGACACACACACACATACACACAGTCACATAGACACACACACACACATACACACAGTCACATAGACACGCACACACACACACACAGTCACATAGACACACACACACATACACACAGTCACATAGACACACACACACACACACACAGTCACATAGACACGCACACACACACAGTCACATAGACACGCACACACATACACACAGTCACATAGACACGCACACACACACACACAGTCACATAGACACACACACACATACACACAGTCACATAGAGAGACACACGCACACACACTCTCTCTCTCTCAAACACACACACGCGCACATAAACATGCACCCACGCAGACAAACACACGTGCGCGCACGCACGCAGATGCACACACACAAGCACAGAGAGACCTGGTCTGTCTGTGGTCCAGAGCTCTCTCTTCTGATGACAGCAAATGACATCTTTGTAAACCGAGGCCTCGGAGTCTGCAGGGGAAGAACGGAGAAGCTCCAGGTGGAAGTTCCCACAGTGTGTGATGGTGCGAGGAGCCATGTCGTCTGCTGCTGCTCTGGTTTATGAAACCCACAGTCAACACAACCATTTGCCAGGAGATGACTAGTGCTGTGCAAACCCCAACGAGAATTTATGCCAAAAGAAAGATGAGGGACATGAGACTGAACAATGCAGAACAGCTGAAGGCTGAAGCATCCTGGTCTTCATCAGTCCTCAGCCTCAGACTGAGAACCTCATGCGTGGTCTTCATCTCACTCTAATTTTCAGAGGGTTCACATTTATGTTTACAATGAGTGTGTGTTATTTATTTATTTTTTTTCAAATGGATTTCATGTAATGCTGTTTTTTTGTAAGCCAAAACACGCCCCCCCCCCCCCCCCAAAAAAAGATGCATCATTATCATGTATCATTTACAGAATTAAATCAAGTTTGTCCACAATAATCTAATTGTCTGTAAAAAAAAAATGTTATTGTTACCATTGTTGTGCGTGTATGTGTGTGTGTGTGTGTGTGTGTGTATTAGGGTTTATTATGAAAATGTAATGTTGCTTATGTCACGTAAAAAAAACAAAAAAAAAACAAAGTTGTAGTAGGTGTTCCAATCTCCAGCCTTTCCTCTCAGGGTCCACACAGCGGCTCTGCTCTGGCTCCTTCTGAACCCTCTCAACTCAAAACACACGCCCGCGCGCACACGGCTACACGCACGCGTATCGCTGCTTAATTGCGGGCCATGCAGCTCTTGATTGGTAACGTTGCGCCTGCGCAGTCGAAGTAGTACAGATCGTTAAATATGACAGAGTGCTCACACTGATACACCATTGCAGGGTTTCTGGCTGCGCTGCATTTCAAATACAAATGTACTCGTCCCAGCCCCAGAGCAGCACACTCAGCCATGACTCCACAGAGCACAGCCTGGAGTCAGAGTGTGGGTCTGTGTCTAGGTGTGACCTGTGACCCATGTGACTCCGCTGTGGTGAGGAGTGGGCTCTCTGTTCAATACACCATCTTGGAGAAGAAGTGGAAAGTTGTTGACAGTGCGCATGCGCTCCCGGGGATTAATGTCACGGCACAAAAGTGGCGCTGCACGGCTCGGTCTCCGGTAAGAGAACACAGCTGTTTACCGCGCACGCGGCGGCACGAGCCGGTAACTTAGGGGAAGTTCCAGGCCCGGGGTCTGGGCTCCGGGGCTCCCGTGAGCCCCACACGGAAATGAGGCGACCGTGGGGGCTTTAAGCTGTTAAATTGTGCTCATTTGCTGCGCTCTGGAGTATTGTTCGGTTAATGGCGGACGGGAAGCAGCTCTGCTCTCTCCCGGTGTTTGGAGGCTCCCCCCGGGCTCCGGGGCTCACTCCCAAGAGCACCCCAGCCTCAGCCCCCTCCCCTCGGCTCGAGCTCAGCACAAACTCCGCTCTTGTGTTCAGGCCGTTGTCTGCGGCCGCATGACTCCAGACTGAGCGCGCAGTCCGCGAGGCTGCCCCTGCTGGTGAGTGGCGCAGTGTGCGGCTGATTGGAGTCTGTGTGCGGACAATAGTGCGAACCCAACTTTTCACTGGAGCCGGGGACTCCCGGGACCCGGGGCTAAGGGACCGAGCACTGCCCACAGACTGCAGCCTACAGCCCCAGCGTGTTCTGCGCCTGTGGAAGTTGCGGATATCGGCCTGGTATTGCGCACGTTTTGGTAATGGCGCAGTGTGGATGTGTGAGTGCCTCCTCTTGATCCACTGCCACGAGCGCAACACACGGACTTTCCGACGTGTGCAGTCTGTGTGTGCGGCGTTTCCAACGTGTGCAGTCTGTGTGTGCGGCGTTTCCAACGTGTGCAGTCTGTGTGTGCGGCGTTTCCAACGTGTGCAGTCTGTTTGTGCGTTATATCTAATGTGTGCAGTCTGTTTGTGCGGTATATCTAATGTGTGCGGTATATCTAATGTGTGCAGTATGTGCGGGTTTTCTCTAATGTGTGCAGTATGTGCGGGTTTTCTCTCTGTGCTTTCCTCAAGTGTGCAGTCTGAGCAGTGTGTGTGCGGCATATAACGTTTGCAGTGTGGTGTGTCCCTCAGGTCCAGTGGGGATCAGGTCCGAGCCTCCCACTGGAGCACAGTTCTAACGCCTTCCTGCATGCGTTAGACCTGTGCCAGACCTGTGCCAAACCTGTGCCAGACCTGTGCCAGACCTGTGCTTTCTGGTCCGTCACCTGCTGGTCTCATGAATAAATGATGTTGGAAACATAAAACACTTTTTCATCTTGACTATTGTCCATGGTTTTTGTTGCCTAAAATAATTTGTTTTTAGTAGTCTTTTGCTTGTTTCCATGGAGATGGGAGAGGTTTATACCTTCAGTTGTATAACTAAAGTGACTAGACTGCGTTGCTATTGCCATGGTAACGACTCCATGTTATGGTGAACACTGAAACTCTTGTTGACTAATTGGTTTCCTAATTCTTGCAGTATTTTGAATACTTGTTGTTTCTGCTCTATCAGAATCAGGTGTGGGCTTAAAGGTTGAGCCGCTATTCCGAATATCTGTCGATTGGAAAAATGATAAGAATTGTTTCTGTCCCAGGTGATCTGTCTGAAAAAAATCTGTCACTTCTGGAGTCTCCTGGACAGGCTTTATAGGACCATGATGCTCCTGTGTTCCTCTGCCATATATGCCCTTGGGGCCAGCATCAGTGTGTTAAGATGTGGCACGGGGGGTCTGTGCGGAGACGAGCGGAAAGTAAATGAACTAAAATGAAAGCCCATTCCCAATTTCAGATGGAGGCGAGGGTCACGCCTCTGAGGTCTTTAAAGTCACGGTTGTTCATCAACTCAAAAACAGACCTTGAAATTAAGTTGTGGTTGAAACATGTGAGATCACAACTGATTTTAATCATAAAAACTGCACGTTCCCCGCACTTTGAAGCTCAGAAGTTTGAGACAAACTAGGGCTGGGCAATAAATCCAATTTAGGCAATTAATCGGTTCGTGAAATCGAATGAAAGATATTGTGAGAGTTTGAGCAGCACATGAATTATTTTTAAGGACAAAGTCTGTCTTTGGTGACTTTAATGAAAATCGATTTAAAATCAAATTTTTCAAAAGCAGGAAATAATATCGAGATTATACTTTTTTGCCACATCACCCAGCCCTAAGACAAACTTTTAAAAATGCACAAACCTCTTTGTTACAACCTAGTTGTCTGCTTCTACTTTGCCTGGGCATTCTTGATTTTTATTATTTTTTAGTTTTAACTTGAGATGAAGTGTGGAAAGCAGAGGACTGATGCTCTGTTCACTACTCGAGTATTCACTGGGCCCTAGGTGTTAGAAGTGTGATTTACAGTGCCATATTATCCATTCAACCTCTGCATATTCTGCATATTTATTTTATAATTTTTTTTTAATGTAATCAGAAATGATGGAATATAACCATATTCCTTTAATAAGGATTGCAAAATGTTATTGTAAGTTATGGGAATAAACAGGAATGAACTGGGGATTTTCAAAATCAAAGGTTGGCACTTTAGGAACTTAATTTTAGTGTAGAGTATATTTGAGCATAATCTTATTCTTGACTAAAACAAACACATGCCACTCATACACTTGAATGTCTGTTATTCCGCAATAACAGCCACACGGCACACTGCTATTGAGACCACGCCCCCTGCTGGCAGTCCGCATGCTTCCATCACTCACAGATTTGTGGAAGACGACCAAACATTTGACTTTTGGAGGCACACGTTTGAGCCTCTGGACTGAACAAATTGTAGGTTTGATGATATTATGGGGAACTTCTTACAAATAAATCTGTTGAAAACATTTTGCATTGATGTTTTCTTATGACTTCTGTTTATATTTATGCATGGATATGATATAGTTCCCCTACAATCCCATTATGTCAGTGGAAAGTTTCCAATATGATATTGCCATTTAAACTTTCCATGAACATTTTCCTTTGCAGCCCTACACTTACACAGACACATTCAACCACCTGTTAAAACAGATTTTATTTGTGTTTCAATAAATAAAGCTGCTACAAGACAAAAAGCTACCAACTAGGACTACGTTGAAATGGGCAAATATCTGGTATATCTGCAAAGTACTTTGTGCTCTAGGGCTAAAATAACACCAATCAGCTTTCAGCAAAATAAAGTGTTTTCTAATATACATCACATGCATGCTTCACGGGCTGTTGTGTTCTGATTTGTTTACAAAATATTTTGGGGCATAAAAATGTATGAAACCGGAAAAAGAAGTTGGTAGTGCAGCTTTAATGCATCTGGCCACAATGGCTGTCGCCATGCGGCGCCGCAGCTTTGGAAGTCCTGGTCGCAGAATCGCCAGTGAAGCGTGTGGTCTGTGACTGAGACAGAAAATCGTTTCAGATTATTCTTATGTCTGGACTGTGTCATGACTAAAAATCGCATGCGTCTCCTGTAGTCCGTAGCACGCTTTACTCGGCACATCAGCAGCTCAGCAAAAAGAGGTAGTCCCCCCAACTTTAGAAAACCTCTTTGGTTCAGTTAGACTCAGAACTGTTTCATAGCAGCTCCCAGCGTTATTATAAATACACATATTAAACATGGAAGTACATAATGGGTCTATTTGCTTCCAAACATCTCTTGGTTTAGCAGGTCACATCTCTGAATATCGGCTGTTTTTGGACAATTTATAGATCAAAATAGAGCAGGCATGGGCAATCTTTTCCTCCTGACACTGGAATGTCAGCCTGGTGTCGGGGGGCGGACCTAATTTCTAATGTTTTTCTCAAGCTTGATATTTTACACATAAATATTTTATTTTAAATATATGTTGTGGCAGAGCGAGGAGCGCGGCTGTGGCTCTGCATGCAGCACAGAGAAATGTTAGTCTTTTATATATTTTTATAAACTGAGAAGGGCTCAGGGGCATGATAGAAATGTCTCAAAGACCGCACCTGGTCCCCTGGTGAGTGTTCTCCCCCCACTAGCTTGGACTCCCTTGTCGCAAACACCGGTCACTGAGCGGAGGGCGAAGACTAAAAGATGGACCGTGTACCGGGTCCCAATGCTGTTTTTAGAACATGCTTCTGGTGACCCCTGGTGTAGAATGATTGATAATTGCCCCATTTACAGATTCCCCCAGGTGAGCTGTGGATGTCTGCAGCTCCTCCAGAGAAACCATGGGCCTCGAGTCTGTGATATGTGTTGTGCTTGTTAGAGCTGTGAGTTTGAGCAGACGGCAGAGTCTTTGTAGATATGTTTAGTGACCTCCACAGCTCTGAGGCCTCACAGAACAGCTGGAATTATTCTGAGAGTAGATAATACATCGATGGGCTACAACAAATGTGTGTACTTTTTGGAACATTGATTGTGATCAATCTTTGAATATGTTTGGTGCTAAAATGAGGTATAACATTCCATGGCAACACATGCTACGTTCACACTGGCAATGCTTGAACACAACGTCCACATGCACTGGACGCACATTCACAAAATTTCAGCCTAGTAGTTGTATATAGTTCTCTCCTGCGATGCCCCAAAACGCAGGGCGGATCTGGCGGGCGGGCTTGGATGGTAACGGGGTTAAAGCTGCACTAACTGACTTTATTTTCGTATTCATTACGAAAATGCAATCCATATCCATGCAGTGGATTGGGATATACGTCATTTTGAAGAATAAGTAGCGCAGGTTTGTGCTGGCGTGACATTATATTTTAGATCGAGTGAAAAAAGGAAGAATGTGTTTTGGGTCTCAGATTGTGACCAATCACAGCGGACCGCTGACCCCCGCTTTCTTGAGAAATGCCACAGGTCTCTCGTTAGCACAGACCGCTGAGTTAGCACAACAATCGGCAGAGGCTAACCTGAAACTTCCTGTGTCTTTGTTACTGCTTACACAGTGAAACATCCAAAATAAAGTCTTGTTCTGTCATTCTATGGTCACGCCATCCACGTGCAAAAGTGCCATTCCATATTGTGAGAAGCTAGCTCCGAAGCTAACAACAGCACAGAGCACAGGCTGCGGGGGAGAGGGTAGTGGGGGGCGAGCAGAGAGAGGGAGCCCATCGCTCGCGTTTGAAAATGTCTAAAAATCAGTTACTGCAGCTTTAAGTTTACGGCTTTTTGTGTGAAGTTCTTCTCCACAAATGCAGCCCGGCAGCGTCTCTGTGTCCCGAGACCTTCCAGAGACTTATGTATGTTATGTTATGTTCATGTCTTATCTTATATAAGTCGTATGTGTTCACAAAGCTGCACCTTGCCTGGCCTGCCAAACGATATGCTTTTTCAAAGACATATAGTCTGGGAACGAGCTTGATCTCAGCGAATTCCCGGTGGGCGTGGTTGACAGACTGCATCAACCAATTAGATGCACACAGGATATGACGCAGCAACTAGCGGCACCCAAGCCGTTTCAGTAAACACAAAACAAGGGATGGCGGCATGTCAGCTAGTGCAAATGTAAACGACTGCTGTCGATTTTGTAAAAAAAACTTAAAGATACGAGGAGTTATTAGCAACTCAAAGGTGAAAGGAAGTCCCGCCTCTCGGTGCGTGATTGGACCGATGTGGGTAAAATCGTGAAATGATAGGCTAGGAAGAGGTGTCCAGACGGTTCTTCTTTTGAACAGAAAGGAGGAGTGTCTGGCAGGCCAGGCAAAGCTGCACCCATAGCAGCACTTATTTATAGGGATGCACCAGTAGCGATACTGGCATGGGGTATTGGGTCGATACCATAGGTTGTACTCGCATCATAGGGCCCAATCAGGGTGATCTCCTAAAGTCTGCAGCGAGAAAGCGTTTGCCGCTAGCTTAGCCCGTTGTGTAAGACAAAACTGTCATGAGGTGGGTCCAAAACAAACACGCATAACACTAGCAACTTGATCAAACATCTGAAAACTATTATTGCAACAAAGTACAGCACCAGTGACTGTTAAAACAATTGCTAAAATGTGTAATTGTAAAGCATTTTTGTAATGTTAAAGTGAAAAATAAAACATTTTAAATTTCAGTTGTATTAGTTTTATGAATTCCCAGAGATAACACAATGCAGTACTCGTGTCGGCAAGTACACAAATTAAGATACTCATACTCGTACTGGGTTTGAATAAAGGGGTATTGGTGCATGCCTACTTGTTTACAGTCATGGGAGACTGAAAACATGAGGTATATGTTCACAAGCACTGTGGCCCCTCATTGTCAGTCCTGGTATAGTCCAGGTTTAGCTCCTGTTTTGGCTTTTTACGAGTATCTTCAGTCTTCGTGCTCTGAACGCTTGTGTCCCCGTGACCACTTTGCAGCCCTCTGTTTGGTTGCTGCACGTGTGGCTGCCAGAAAAAGTTGAACAATGTTCATCTCCTGCTTTTGCTGCGTGCATCGAGTCGTCGCACCCACCGCCTCTGCCGCAACACGGCATCTGCCATGCAGGACAAACCGGTGATCCCAGTGTGTTTCTGTTTTAATATCTTAAAATCCAGACGTGAAAGATGAGAATGACATCAGATGCCTTTATTCATGGGGTGACTCAACAGTTTGCAATAGGGATGTACCGATCCAGATTTGTTGTAATCCGATCCGATTCCGATATTCTTAAATATTGTTTTGCCAATACCGTTCCAATACCGACCCAATTTTTTTCCAATATTTTCAAAACATTAAAGAATATGCAACCAGTATTACTTTAAAATGTTTTTTTTTTTTACACTGTGCATTTGGAATGCTTGTGATCAGTGATTGTGTGTGTCTTTGAAACGGTAAACCTCATTCTCCCCATGTAAATCTTTACTCAGTCTGTAGGGGGCGCTAATGGGCCAATGTCATTGTTCAAACTGTCATGTGACCTAGGCCCAGGAGTTGAACAACCGAGTCAAGTGTAGTGAATATCAGAGTTTGTAAATGTGCTTCTGTTTGCACATACAATCTGTGAGTGTGTCCATAGTCTCCATTGGATAACATGGGAACTTCACACCTCTCTATGAAAATAACCACACTTTGGGGGTCTGTCACGTGCAGACCGTTTGACTAATTCAAATTCTATATGCAACTATTGATGGTCCATGTGTTGAGACGATGTGGAGCGATTTTCAGCCTGCGGCTGGTTTGATGTTTGAGCGAGGTGTACTTTTCAGAGATTTAACGATTTTCCCATAAGCACAGAATGGAGCATGTTTGTTGTCGGCACGGCAACAGGGTAAAAAATAATCATATGTTGTCATTGACTTTTTGAATCCAGATGACAAAACAGAATTATGTGCAAAATTTCAAACATTGAAAAACTAAATTGGATCAAGCCCATGTAAAATGTTGACATAGTCTGTAGGGGGCGCTAAGGAGCATTTCAATATTTCTACTTTCCCATGACCTAGACCCTGGAGCTGAACAATTTTTAAATTTAAATTTAAATTTTTTGCCGGTTCTGAATTTTGGGCAAAATTTCACAACTTTTCATCAATGTTCAGGGGGTCAAATTAAGGCTCAAAGAGCAGAAGAAAAAAGGAAGAAAGAAACCAAACCAATGAATTTTTTTTGAAAATCTTCACGCAAAAACTATATAGGTTTCCATAGTAACCTATAATACGAATGATACATAGTTTTAAAGCGAACGACAAGGCGAACGCAACTATTGGGTTCTCGGTGATTGACGAGCGCTGAGCGTCAATCACCTCGCCATCATGAGGTCATGAGGGATATTTTCAGAACATTAAAGAATATTATAATAATAATATATAATTATCAAAAAGCTGCCCTCAACATTCAGTATAACAACATTGTGACTTATGACAGTTACAACGAGTAATGCCTGGGCCCAGACACTGATAAAACAGTGAATAGCTTTGCTCCTGCTGTGGTACACAGTGAAATGAAGGGAGTTTTACATTGTATTTAGTTTACAGAAGGGCTTTGACTTCAAAATTCGAATATAATTCGAATATAAAAAAATATAGATAGTCGAACGAATATTAGACATAATGCCTGCGAATAAAATAGTTAACTCCCAAAGGTTTCACTGTGACATGCTAGGCAGGTAACAGCTAAGCTAGCTAGTTCAAAAACGCTCTGGAACTACATGAAAACTGAACAAAGAGTTCTGAACATCAGCGGTTACCCATTTATTTACCGAACTTAAATCCATCAGATCCTGAACGTTTTCATGACGCAAATACTGTTTTAATGTTACAAAAAGCGATTGCGAAATACCCGGAAGCAACCATTAACATGAAATGAACAATTTAGGACACAATAAATTAATACAAAAATAAACTTCGAACATGATTTTTGTGCAAAAGTTAAAGCCCTAGTTTACAGCAGCCGTAAAGCGTGAGCATGCTGAAAAGTGATGTCAATCGGCTTCATATTTAACAAATCCGATACTACGGCACCAAGTTAACGCTATCGGAACGTTTGACTATCTACGGAAAAAGGCTCCAGCTAGCTTATGTTCAAATCAGTGTCTACCGCTTCAGCAAATGCTATAGTGACTTCAGCAGTTCTAACACAGCATGGTGGCTGAAGAGAGCAAACCCTCTCACTTCCCAGCAAGAAGGTCATCGAATCTCTGTTAGGACCGGCTGTTCTCCTCGTGTCTGTGTAGGTTCCCTCCGGGTGCTCCAGTTTCCTCTACCACAAAAAACATGACTTGTACAATAGATCATATCCTCCTGCTCTGGTAGCCCTGCCCAAACAAAGCACTAGTGCCTCTGAGGGCTTCTGCTCCTCAGAGGCTTGTGACATTGGGGGTTGGTGGTGATCTAGTTGTTATACTAGATCTGTGGTCCAACTGTCCAGAAGAATGAATTCTCCAGTAAATTGTATTTCATTGAGAACTCTGAAGTAAGTAAATTAACATAGTAGAGCTGTTTCACAATTATGTGAAGCAGTTTTTTTTCAAAGGGTGCAAAATTACCCAGCTCCAAGCTGCTGTAACTTGCCTCCACAGAGCGTGAAATGAACGGACACTGATGACCATGTTTTGAATATCCTGAAAAGGGCACCATCATTAGTTTCTAATCAATTTCAAGACATAATGACAAAATTAATGTCTTTTTTAATTTTGACCTGCCTCCAACTAGTGGTTTATTTATCAAAACCTGACATGTCCACGCTGAAGTCATGAGTCATGTGCACTTACAGGATTAGAGATCGGCAACAGAACAGACCAAGTGCACTGTGGGAAATTGCGTGTAGCGGTTACAACAAGGAAATACGGCAAAATACTGTGGAGATAAGAACTGAGCACAAGTCTAGTGCAATCAAACAGTGACCACAGTAAACCTTGTATTGTGAGATCGTGTATGTAAACCAAGGAACATGTGACATGTAAAAACACCACTCACTGTTTAAAGCTGGGGTACCTGACTTTACATAACTGCTCATGTTCAACCTGGTATTTGAGCTGAAGTTCAAGGCTATTATTTCCTACAATCATCTGCTTAGTTGATGAAGAAAAGCTCATTTGCGTTTTGTGCTTGAGGAGACACCTGATCTACCTGCACACCTGTCACCTGAGCTCAGCCAATCACAGCATGCCTTTCTCTCTGTTGGCAGGTGGTTGCCGTAGTGATGGATGGGGAGCTGGACTCGACCGCTGCCAAAGAGGATGCCCCCTCCCCCGACACCAAAGAGGACTCTCCCATGGTACGGCATCCGTGGCACCAAGCCTCCACTGCATGTCTGCTGTATGTGTGCGTTGTGGCCTCCATCGAGGATCACATTGTTTTAATAGAAATGAGTCAGCCATTTTACAAAGTCCACATTTTTTTCTCTGTTTTCTCTGTTTGAATTGAGCTGAAGGCAATTAACAAAGACATCTGATAGATTAGTTGCCTCCATATCGGAGGACATGACAGAGGGTTTGAGGAAAACTTCAAAATATTCCTGAAGTACTTCCTGACGATATCTCCAGTCGAGGTCAGCCAAGAAGGCCGGGCTCTTGTAGGTATTTCTCAATCTCCTCCACAAGCTCAGGTTCCTTCCCTCCAGTGACGCGTTTCCACGTCTCCACAGGCAGATGCTGTAAGTGTGTCCTCTCTGCACCCGACCCTATGGATCCCTCTGCGCGAGGTGAGCCCCATGAGGGCAGGCCAACCACGTCCTTTCGGGTTGAGCCCGACAGAGTTCCGTGGGCAAAGGCCCTTCTGCACTATCATTGTTCTTCAGTTTAATACTGTTTTAGGAACTATTCTTTTCCCCATTTTTTTTTTTTCTTGCATCGCGATCCAATTGTTAAAATTCAAACCGCAACCGATTTAGAGTCCCGGTCTTATGCTTTATATCATTGGTATTGTAAATTATAAAACAAAAATTTTAACAAGTAAACTCAATATTTTGAGTATTCTCAACCTAACAAGGATTTGTCGCCTCCTCAAAGGATTTTTGTAATGTTTTCAAGCGTTATCTACCATTTATGTTTGGTGAAATTTTCATTATTATTAAAAATGGCGTGGCTTTTGCTGTGCACTCAAGCATTCTGAAGCTGCAATGATAACCTTTGATATCAGTGTTACAGCCTAGTATGAGCCCAGAGTCTCCGACACATTCAAAACAATCTGGCAAAGAAGCCTTGGTGTGTTATGGGGCTTCACCTGCCCATCACTACTACGGTTATAGCGATACACTAATCTCATGACACGATACACAATATTCATCTCACAATACGATATATCATGATATGTAGCCAACAATATAATATGATTCAATATAATTCAATACTTATAATTTACTGAAAGAAAGAGGAAAATTTGAAATCAAAACATCATTTATACAATTGTGTAAAAAATATAGAGGGCTCATAACTGCAAAACAACCAAGACGTGTGGTTTGTTTGCTTTGATTTGTTCACAACATTTTACTCTTGGGCACAAACAGGCAATATTTAATGCTAGGGAAAATGTAGGTGCCCCAGCTTTAATTTAGCACGTTTTATTTTCAGCGCTTTGGGAGAAGACACGGGGCAGACATGGACACTTCCTTAGTCTTTATAATCCAGCTCTGTTTCTTGGAGCAGCGTATTCATTGCGTGCAAAGACACGCACTTTCAGCACGTTACAGCTGCGACTTTGCTGAGCTGACATCAAAGTGGCCCAAAGTGGAGGCCGCCGAGTATCTGAGGAAAATAATCATCCCTGATTTCAATTCAAATAACTTCATTCATCCGTGAAGAACTTCCTTCCACAGTATATCACTTTAGTGTCGCCTGTCTTGCATACTTTGCATGTTGCTTTTGTACTGTCCTCGTTTTCTAATGAGAAATACACTTTTGACAAGTTTTAACTAGTAGCCACATGAACGCCACTCTGAAGTTTTATGTTATTGCTTGCACAGTTACCGTAAACGACTACTTCACAACCCTGATCAATCAAAAACCATGAACCTATACTGTTCATCGTAGGTTTTGGGCTGTGCTTCGTCCGAGCCGTCACCTTGGACCTGTTTGCCATGAGGGAGACCCGACCAGTGGCCTAAAGCCTGGGGCTTTTAGAACAGGGGTCAGCCACTCGCGACTCTTAAGTGCCGCCCTAGTGGCTACCTGAAGCTTTTAGAGTGGGTCAAAAAATGCCGGTCATGACCACCCTTTCTTGCTGTACGTGAATTAATTGAATTCAGTTATCTTTGTGGCAGTTTTTTGGCCTAAATATGTAGATTTTCATATGACAGCTTTTTGCCATGTGTGATTCAAAGAACATTAATTCATTTGTACATTGATGAGTACATAGACCCCAGGAAGAATAACTACTGTATATTTCAGTTGCTAATGGGATCTAAATAAAAACAAAAAACTTTTATGGAGCTTTTTCTTTTTCTGTGTGACTGGGGTCGCTTGGTCAGTCTGTAGTTTGAAGTATGAATTCTGATGTGTGTTCAGGAGAACGATGAGGACGATGACGTGGTCCTGGTGGAGGAGGAGGCCAAAGAGGGGCCCACCACGGAGGCTGCCAATGAGGCCCCCAGCCCCTCCGCATCTGCCCCGGGGCCCGCAGCCACACCCGCTGAGCCTATAGTCATCGACGACGAAGAGGAGCCTCAGCACAACTCCCCCTCAGCCAAAAGTCAGTCTCACATCAGCTCTTCACATTTCAGTCATGCATAAGTGCAATGGTGTTTACCCAAGCCACGGTGATCCAAGATGGCGCCCTATTCAAATGAAGGGCTCGTGCTCAGTAGGGCATGGGACTTCACGGGGACCAAAAGATTAGTGGGACTCTGCTATATTTGGGCATCGTCTGGTCCTCCCGGTTCTGCGCAGTGGACGAGCTCCCATAATGCGTTGCGCCAAATACGCATGTGTGGCTTTGATGCACGTGCACATAGGGGCTCGGCCAATCAGAGCTGATGATCAGAGCAGCGGTAGAGCGGAGTCAGAGCGGGAAGGCAGGGAGCAGAGTTTGTGGCAGTAAAGTGTGGATTTAAAGAAAACCGAAGGATTTAACAAAAAAAGTTCAGGGTGACAAGGGACACTAAAATCCCCACAAAATCTGATCTTTATAAAAGCTGTAGGTTCTCCGTCAGCTGAGGTTGGGTTGGTTTAGTTTACATTGAGTTCTACGGGAATTTTTTCTGGGTAGCCCACGAGAATTTAGTCTGCAGTACCACGGGCGCCCCCTGTGCCCATGGGTGGGACAGCTATAAGCTAGTAATACCCGATCCAGTTATTATTATAGGTCCATGCGTTTACCAGAGATCAGTCATGGTTTAGATAGTTCATTTACTTCAAACCTACAAACACAATATCACATATTATCTTCACACTAACACCGGATTGAAAAGGGGTTGGATGAAGCAGAACCCCCTCACCCATTCAATGCTTAAAGTGATTGTCTGGAGTTTGTCAGAAAGAGAGACAGAGAGGTACTTGATTTGAAAAAAACGACGCAAGCTCCCTCCCCCTTCCTTTCTGATTGGTCTACACCTACGTTTCCGTAACACTTTGAAATGTTAATCAGAGAACATATTAAACATATACATTATTAATACACATGCACGGAGGTTTTCAGAATTATTTGTGAACGTTTTAATGAAAAAAAATAGGTTTTTATGCACACAAAAAAGCGATCGCGGCAAACCAGGAAGTGCTATTATCATGAATTGCACATTATAGGACACATCTGCAGAGGATCTGATCATGGATATAGGTTCAGTATATACATAAGTACCTCAGCGTGGATGTTCAGAATTCTTTGTTCAGTTTTCATGTAGTTCCAGAGCCTAATAGAGGCTCAGCGAAAACAAACAACTGCACATGCGCGCAGCTGCGAGCATCAGCTTCGATGATTGACATCCCTTGGCATGACTCGATTGGTTAACCTCGACGGCACCGTGGATTCTGAACTATAGCTAAGAGCAGGGAAGGCGGGACTTACCTGTAATATTAGAATTAATAAAATGACTTATTTTATATCAACATTTAAGGCCAGGAGGTCAATTTAACACATTTCCTAAAATTTGTAATTCATTTAGAGTTACAGACTATCACTTTAAAGTAGTACTAGAATTGAATATGCTGCTATCCAGAATATATAACTACAATATGTGTTTATAATATTTCGGGTGTTCATTTTGACATGTTCAAATGAATTATATTAAAAAAACGGCTTTGAAGTGGCACCTTTAAAAAAAAACCCTAGGGGGAGCCAAAATAGCGGCGATGACGTAGGAGAATGACCTCTCACAGCAGCAGCAGTCTTAGCTGGAATCTGTGGGAGGTTTCACTGTCATCTGAACAAGGTATAAACATATTTTCATCAGTTTTGTACATAATAGTGTGCAACTCTTTTAACCTTTTAGCCTTATTTGTGAGATTCAAGCTAACTAGTGTTGGGCAAGTTAGCTAACTCTACTTGATATCATAAAACATGCTAACAAGGCTAATATTCGTTTTTACATTATGCCAGTCTCACTTTGGTTGCCTTAGATTTATTTACCACAATATACATTGTAATATCCATAAATGCTAACACCTATTAACGGTTTGTTTTCAACTTCTGCAGCTTTGTGTTCATAAAAGTAAAGTATTTATTTAATTCAAATTATTTTGATTAGCATTTATGGATATTACAATGTACATTGTGGTAAATAAATCTAAGGCAACCAAAGTGAGACTGGCATAATGTAAAAACGAATATTAGCCTTGTTAGCATGTTTTATGCTATCAAGTAGAGTTAGCTAACTTGCCCAACACTAGTTAGCTTGAATCTCACAAATAAGGCTAAAAGGTTAAAAGAGTTGCACACTATTGTGTAAAAAACTGATGAAAATATGTTTTTACGTTGTTCAGATGACAGTGAAACCTCCTACAGTTTCCAGCAAAGACTGCTGCTGCTGTGAGAGGTCCTTCTCCTACGTCATCGCTGCCATTTTGCCCCCCCCCCCCCCCCCCCTAGCGTTTCTATGCGGAAGTGAAAAAGTGCAACTCCAAAGCCGTTTTTTTAACATAATTCATCTGAATATGTCAAAATGAACACCCGAAATATTACAAACACATATTGTAGTTATATATTCTGGATAGCAGCATATTAAATTCTAGTTTCTACTTTAACACCCTCTGTCTAGATTCAGTTTTCTCCTGTCCTTTACGTAAAATGCGCAACTTGACACTGTAATTTTATGGGTTCTTTCCCCAGGTCCCCCCGGTGGTCCCTCCCCTGCCCCCTCGCCTGCTGCCCACACCGAGCCTGACTCGGAGATCCAAATCGCCAGTGTGACCACGCTGGGCTCCGGACTGCTGAAGGGGGACAGCAGCCCGGCAGGAGAGCAGGACCAGGAGAAGGGCCAGGACCATGCCCAGGATCAGGGCCAGGCCCAGGACATGCCTCTGAGGATCACCTCGGTCACATCTCTGCAGGAGGGACACTCGGACCCAGCTGCGGTGAGGCCACAGAGCAGATAAAGGACAATGGGCCTCATTCACGAACGGTTCTTAGGAACAGATTTGTACGTAAATCCTACTTACGAGGTTTTTACGAAGAAAGTGGCATTCACAAATATTTCTCGTAACCAGAATTTCTCTTGGGCAAGTACAAATCCTACGAGTCCTCAGGAGCACTCGTACGCATTCAGTGCCGACATGTTCACACGCCGGGGTTGTCCTCTTTGAAGTTGAATAAAAATACAACATTCCAGTGATATGTCCGTCATATCGATGTATGTATTTATTTATTTGTAGTAATCTTTATTAGTAATCTTTATTTATATACCGCCTTTTTCACTGCAGATCTGGCCTACTTTTTAATTCATTTTGAAATGAAATGTGCCAACGCTTTATGAAATACATTGGAAATCTTGCCGTGTATTAGTGACCCCTTCCTATTTATAAGGGGCATTTCTTTATCCACGGGCCACAGAACAATGGCATATATACTGCTGCTGCAGGAGGTTACTGGGTCCGCGCTGAGTCTCTGCGCTGGTCTCTCCTATGGATCTATACGGGTCTGCACTGGTCTCTCCCATATACGGGTCTGCACTGGTCTCTCCTATGGATCTATACGGGTCTGCACTGGTCTCTCCCATGGATCTATACGGGTCTGCACTGGTCTCTCCCATATACGGGTCTGCACTGGTCTCTCCCATGGATCTATACGGGTCTGCGCTGGTCTCTCCCATGGATCTATACGGGTCTGCACTGGTCTCTCCCATGGATCTATACTGGTCTGCACTGGTCTCTCCATACGGGTCCGTGCTGCATGCTCCTGGATCCATACGGGTCCGCGCTGGTCTCTCAAGTCTGGTCTATGCGGTCTCTCTTGGGTCCGCGCTGGTCTCTGCCCACCGGTCTCTCCAGTCAGGTCACTACAGTCTATGCGGTCTCTCCTATAGGTCCGCGCTGGTTTCTGTGTGCTGGTCACTCCAGTCTCTCCTCGGGTCTGCATTGGTCTCAGCGCTGGTCCGCGCTGGATCTCCTCCCAGGGTCCAAAATATTTTGAGATTAATCTCAAAACATTTTGAGATTCATCTTTAAAATAATACATAATATATTTTTAAATTAAGCTCATAACATTTTGAGATTAATCTCATCATATTCTTAGATTAATCTCATAATTTTGCTAGTTCGACTTTATTATCATAATATTTCGACTTTTAAGTCAACATTTTATAACTTTATTCTCAGTCTGGGTGACTCTTTTGCTCCGTGTAAAGGCCTGTTGCTGTTTTCTCTGCCGTCTGCACCCTGCAGTCCCTTATATGGGCATTAGTGGGCGGTTACTTATGCTAAGTACCTATGCTAATGAAGCACCTGGCACGCGCGCTGTACTTACGAGGAAATGGGATTCATCAATCTGAGAGAACAGCTGCGAACAATTCAGCGGCTTACGAGCGCGTTGATGAATCCCACGTGGGGACTTCTTAGAAATCTACTTAAGGACAACTTGAGAAGAAAGTTGAGTAGTTTCTTACGAAGTTATTCGTGAATGAGGCCCAATCATCTTTATTTAAATTATGCCTCTCACAAACTGAGTCACAGAGAGCTTCAGAATTGTTTATAATGTGCAAGAAAAATAAATGAGGGATGGTGTCAGGCTGAAGGAACGTGGGACTCCTGGGAGGAGTTCGGAGAGTCCATGGAGCATGACTATCGGCAGGCCTCAAAGAGACTGCCGATACTGCCAAACAATCCAGCGCCTCAGGAGGGGGAAGCAGTGCTATGCCAACACCGTGTACGGGGCGGGTGGAGAGCTGCTGACCTCGACTGGGGATATTGTCGGGCGGTGTAAGGAATGCTTCGAGGTTCTCCTCAATCCCCCCCTGGATGCAGAGGCTGAGGATGTTGGGGAGGATACTTTCATCTCCCTGAGGTCTCCAAGGTGGTTAGCAGCCTTTTTGGTGGCAAAGCTCTGAAAGTGGATGAGATTCGTCCTGACTCTTAAGTCTCTGGATGTTGTAGGACTGTCTTGGCTGACACGTCTCTGCAACATTGTATGGTAAAAGGGAGCGATGACAATGGAGTGACGGACCAGGGTGGTGGTCTACTTGAAAGGGGGGCTGTGTGTTCCATTTACCATGGGATCACACACACACACCATGGGATCACACTGTTGGAGAGGAGACTTTCGACCGATGGTCGAATTCAGGATGAACAGTGGGGTTTTTTCTCAGACTGCGAACACTGGACCAGCTCTATACCCTCCATCGGATACTTTAGAGGTCCTTCCTCTAGTAGAGGAGTATCTCGGGGTCGAGAGCCCATTCGAAAGGTAAACCTCACGATTTACTGGTCGGTCTACATTCCCTCCCTCACCTATGGTCATGAGCTTTGGTTGATGACTGAAAGGACGAGATTGCAGCCACTTGAGTTGGCTGGTGCTCCCATAGAGATAGGATGAGGAGCTTCATCACACGGGAGGAGCTTGAAGTAGAGCCGCTGCTTCTTTACGTGGAGATGAACCAGTTGTGGGGACTCAAGCATCTGTTTGGAATGCCTCCTGGACGCCTCCCTGGGCATGTCCCACCGAGTGGAGACCAGGGGAAGACCCAGGACATAGTGGGACTGTCTCTCTCAGCTGGGAATGCCTCAAGAAGTGTTTCGAGAGGGACGTCTGGGTGTCTCCATATAGACTGCTGTCCCTGCTACCCAGCTACAAAGGAAGCAGAAGAAAATTGACGTATGGATTAATTGAAAACTAAAATGAAAATAAAGTTTTACAGCTGATCAAAAATGAAGGAGCACATCTCCAAACGCAGCTGTAGTTCAACGGTTTTCTTCACATTCTATTAGTCCAAATGTCACAGCCACAGTTTGTTCCTCTCCACATATTAGCAGTGCACATTTGGTGTCTTGGACAGAAACTATTCCATCAAAGTATTCAATCAAAGTAATATAAGAAACCACTAAGTGATCTCTTAACAACGGCGTGTGCTTTTGCAGGAGGTGGAGCACAGTGAGGAGAACGGGCTGCACATCAGTAATGCCTTCAGTCTAGACCCGGACCTCCAGGGACCAGTGGTGCACAACGGGGATGCGGACCCCAACAGGACAGGTCAGTCATCCAGCACAAACGTACAATTCATTCATTCTTATTTTGATACTAAGTCCAGCAGATATTGGAACTAGATGAAATTTGACGCAGCAGTGAGAGGAAGCACCTATGGCATCTCAGGAGAAGAGCATTTAAATACCTCAAACATGTTTCACTCTAAAACAACGGTGCATTAAGAGAAAATGTTCTATAGGTATATAGATATTTCTATAGATATAGATAACAATAGATTATAGATAACAAAGGAAGACTGCTTAATGGAAATCAAAAGTCTCAACCCGTGGATTTCCTAATTCGCTCAGAATCAAATAGATAACCCAGGCTGGTCCACAACCAGAGCCTCCGTCAGGTCCAGGATGGTCTGTAGACCTCAGAGCATCAGTCTTCCATATGACAGACTCGACATAATGTCTCAGATGTGCTCAGTTGGATTCTGGTCTGGAGAACGACCAGGCCAGTGCTGAACATCAAGGCCTCCCAGGTCACTCACCCACTGCCAAACCGGTCATGAAGAGGATGTTGCAGGCTGCAGAAGGAACAAACTTTGTAAACATTTTACTCCAAGACCATGTGCTCGGTGTAAAGTTGCAGCTATAAAATAATCAAGTATTATATTGCATATCCTAATCGATTAATCAAGTCAATAAAATAAATAATATTTTTATTTAATTAATGCTTAATTAACAATATACAATATCAAATGACAAACCACTTGATGATATTTCTTATGCTAGAATACATAGTATTTTATACTACAATGATTACTTTTGTCCACTAGATGTCAGTGTTAGAAGCTATTCTGAGCTAGGACCATGGATCTATTATATTAACTGGGTATTGCTAGCTTGTAGCTGAATAACTCATGTGCTCGGGGGATTCTCGCGGTACTGCAGACTGAACCAGACTAAATTCACGAGGGCTACCCAGAAATTTTCCCCATAGAACTCAAGGCATATTAAAACAGCTCGACCTCAGCTGACAGAGAACCTACAGCTTTCATAAAGGCCGGATTTTGTGGGGATTTTAGTGTCCCTTGTCATCCTGAACTTTTTTTCTTCTTAAATCCTTCGTTTTTGTTTAAATCCACACTTTACTGCCACAAACTCTGCTCCTCTGGCTCTCGCTCTAACTCCCGCTCTGATGAACTGCTCTGATTGGTCAGAGCGCGGCCGAGCCCCTCTGTGCACGTGCGTGAGACCCGGTGTGAGACCCACACACGCGTGTTTGGCGCAACGCATTATGGGAGATCATCCACTGCGCAGAACCGGGAGAATCAGACGATGCCCAAATACAGGCGAGTTTCCCATAGATCTTTGCGTGTTTCCCAAAGTTCTTTGCGAGTTTCCCATAGATCTTTGCGAGTTTCAGGCAACTTCCGCTAATCTTTTCAGCCCCCATGCCGTCACAAAGCGCCACTGAGCACAACCATTCATTTGAATAGGGCGCCATCTTGGCTCGCCGGGGCTTGGCTAGGACAGAGGGTTCAGTCTGGCTCAATGTGCGACAGGGCTTCATTAGCAATGTGTTGTGCAGGACACGTCGTATGTTTGACGTAAACACATTATGCAACACATTTAGAATCCGTGCGAAGCGTGAGCTTTGACTGTGATTTATTTAACGATTTATTTAAAGTATACAAAGCCTACGCATTGCTGAGCTTACAACTTAGATTTTGTTTATCATTTCCATTATCAACCCAACAGTTGTAAGCTAACAGCTGTCGAGTTAGCCACAGGACGCGTCATTGGCCTACGTCAGTAAAATGACGACCGAGTTTCGAACCCAGGACCTTCTTGCTGAGAGCTATCCTGAGTGCTATCCACTCAGCCACCGTGCTGCCCAGGACAGGAGCAGTTACTGCTTAAACTAAACACAAACCTTTTACTCTTAAAACTCACATAACGACATGGAACCATCAACATCGCGCCTCAAATTGCATTAAAAGTGACATCTGTGTCTTAATTCGTTCGTATTGAAACTTTTGAAACAATTTCTCAACTGTGAGACTAATAAAGGTTTATCTTATCTTATCTTAATTTACAGACTTTATGTCTGCCATTTTTGTTCGATTCGGCTGCCGTGAGACGCGCATGCAAAGATTTGCATTACATCCTAAACAGCTGAGGCAGCACAACTCAACAACCGGCACAAACCGACAAAACACCATCTATACCATCTGGATGATCAGAAGAGGCCTGGGGGAATATCACATGCTCAGATTAGACCAAAATAGAACTTTATAATAAAAACTCTGTTGCTTTGGAGGGGGAAGAATCCCTGAACACAATACCCACTGTGAAACATGGGGGTGGAAACATTCTAGTTTGGGCTGCTTTTCTGCAGAGGGACTGATCTGTTTTAAGGAAAGGATGAGTGGGGCAAAATATTGTGAGATTGTGGACAAAATCCTCCTTCCATCAGCGAGGGCATTAAAGATGAACATGGCTCAGTCTTTCAGCACGACAATGATCCCAAACACGCTGCTCAGCAGTTGCGCCGTAAGAATCCAGTCTCCAGATCTCAGCCCTATAGAAGTCCAACAGCCCAAAACATCACAGTTCTAGAGATCTGCATGGAAGAATGGGCCAAAATACCAGCAGTGAGTGTGTGGGAATTAGGTTTATAATGTAATCAGACGCGCGTCACACCGTCACTGTTTCTGACAAAGGCTGAAGTCTAAACATGTGGTAATGAAGCAGAACGAGCTTCTTCACACTTTTGTCTCGTTAAAGCCTCAAAAATAAAGATCATGAACCTTTGACATTTCCTGTGTGTGCAGTTCTGTGGTCGTCGTCCGCACCGCAGATTGAGAAACCCCTCGGAGCAGAGTCCACCAAAACCCAGAGCAGCACCGGCCCTACAGCCCCTGCACGCACTGTCAAGGTCTGCATTCTCACACCAAGGGCCCCATGTCCTCTGTCTGCATTCTCACACCAGGGGCCCCATGTCCTCTGTCTGCATCCTCACACCAGGGGCCCCATGTCCTCTGTCTGCATCCTCACACCAGGGGCCCCATGTCCTCTGTCTGCATTCTCACACCAGTGGCCCCATGTCCTCTGTCTGCATTCTCACACCAGGGGCCCCATGTCCTCTGTCTACATCCTCACACCAGGGGCCCCATGTCCTCTGTCTGCATTCTCACACCAGTGGCCCCATGTCCTCTGTCTACATCCTCACACCAGGGGCCCCATGTATAACGCAGACCTTGTGATGTCACATGTATAACGCAGACCTTGTGATGTCACATGTATAACGCAGACCTTGTGATGTCACATGTTGCAGGTGACGTGTGCGAACTGTAAGAAGCCTCTGAAGAAGGGGCAGACGGCCTATCAGCGCAAAGGCTCCACCCACTTGTTCTGCTCCACCTCCTGTCTCTCCGCCTTCTCCCACAAACCAGCGCCCAAGAAGAGCTGCACCATGTGTAAAAAGTCAGTCACCTCCTGCTCCTCCCTCACCACTGCACCTCCTCTCACACTGCTTCTGCTTCTCCTCCCTCACCACTGCACCTTCTCTCACACTGCTGCACCGACTCTCACACCACTGCACCTCCTCCTTCACCACTGCATCTCCACTCACACTGCTGCTGCAGCTCCTCCCTCATCACTGCACCTTCTTTCATACTGCTGCACCTCCTCTCACACCCCTGCACCTCCTCTCACACTGCTTCTGCACCTCCTCTCACACTGCTTCTGCACCTCCTCTCACACTGCTGCACCGACTCTCACACCACTGCACCTCCTCCTTCACCACTGCATCTCCACTCACACCACTGCTGCACTTCCTCACACTGATACACCTCCTCTCACTGCTGCAGCTCCTCCCTCACCACTGCACCTCCTCTCACACTGCTTCTGCTTCTCCTCCCTCACTCCTGCAGCTCATCTCACACTGCTGCTGCACTTCCTCACACTGATACAGCTCCTCTCACACTGCTGCAGCTCCTCCTTCACCACTTCACCTCCTCTCACACTGCTGCTGCACTTCCTCTCACTGCTGCACCTCCTCCCTCACCACTGCACCTTCTCTCACACTGCTGCACCTCCTCTCACACCGCTGCACCTCCGCTCACACCACTGCACCTTCTCTCACACTGCTGCACCTCCTCTCACTCCACCTCCTCTTGAATCCCTGTGTTGTCTCCTCTCAGGGACATTACCAACATGAAGGGGACCATCGTGGCGCAGGTGGACTCCAGCGAGTCCTTCCAGGAGTTCTGCAGTACCGGCTGTCTGGGAGCCTACGAGAACAAGCAGAACCCGCCCAAGTCCGGGGTCAAGACCAAGTGTACGGTGTGCGGCAAACTCACCGAGGTCAGAGCTCTGTGTGGACTCAAGTGTCTCCGCTTCATCTGGAGCAGGGGTCTCCAACCAGTAGCTCTCCACCACCCCCCAAGTAGCTCCCCAAAGGATTTAGATTTTACATAAATATTCTGAATATTTTAAAACGTATTATTCACCCACTACTTTAGTAAATTAAAACTATTCGAAATAATGACTGTTGATGGTAACCAAGGCTCTCACCTGTCTCATTCTGGTCCTGAGAAAGAAGCTCTGTCTCATTCTTGTCCTGAGAAAGAAGCTCTGTCTCATTCTTGTCCTGAGAAAGAAGCTCTGTCTCATTCTTGTCCTGAGAAAGTAGCTCTGTCTCATTTTAGTCTTGAGAAAGTAGCTCTGTCTCATTCTGGTCCTGAGAAAGTAGTTCTGTCTCATTCTAGTCCTGAGAAAGTAGTTCTGTCTCATTCTGGTCCTGAGAAAGAAGCTCTGTCTCATTCTTGTCCTGAGAAAGAAGCTCTGTCTCATTTTAGTCTTGAGAAAGTAGCTCTGTCTCATTCTGGTCCTGAGAAAGTAGTTCTGTCTCATTCTAGTCCTGAGAAAGTAGTTCTGTCTCATTCTAGTGCTGAGAAAGTAGCTCTGTCTCATTCTGGTCCTGAGAAAGAAGCTCGGTCTCATTATAGTCCTGAGAAAGAAGCTCGGTCTCATTCTAGTCCTGAGAAAGTAGCTCTGTCTCATTCTGGTCCTGAGAAAGTAGCTCGGTCTCATTATAGTCCTGAGAAAGTAGTTCTGTCTCATTCTAGTCCTGAGAAAGTAGCTCTGTCTCATTCTGGTCCTGAGAAAGTAGTTCTGTCTCATTCTAGTGCTGAGAAAGTAGCTCTGTCTCATTCTGGTCCTGAGAAAGAAGCTCGTCTCATTATAGTCCTGAGAAAGTAGCTCTGTCTCATTCTGGTCCTGAGAAAGTAGCTCTGTCTCATTCTGGTCCTGAGAAAGTAGCTCGGTCTCATTATAGTCCTGAGAAAGTAGTTCTGTCTCATTCTAGTCCTGAGAAAGTAGCTCTGTCTCATTCTGGTCCTGAGAAAGTAGCTCGGTCTCATTATAGTCCTGAGAAAGTAGCTCTGTCTCATTCTGGTCCTGAGAAAGAAGCTCTGTCTCATTCTAGTCCTGAGAAAGTAGCTCTGTCTCATTCTGGTCCTGAGAAAGTAGCTCTGTCTCATTCTAGTCCTGAGAAAGTAGCTCTGTCTCATTCTGGTCCTGAGAAAGTAGCTCGGTCTCATTATAGTCCTGAGAAAGTAGTTCTGTCTCATTCTAGTGCTGAGAAAGTAGCCACGTCTCATTCTATTCCTGAGAAAGTAGCTCTGTCTCATTCTAGTCCTGAGAAAGAAGCTCTCTATATGAAAAAGGTTGGAGACCCCTGATGTGGTGAATCACACTGATCATGTCTAATACAAAAACAAACTTTTGAAATGATACATTTAGAGAATATTTAAGACCGTACTCAACATTCTGACCTGCAAAAGTTAATGCATTAATTAAATTCAAAAAATGACATCATTAACAAAATATAATCGCACATCAGTACTGTCAAACGAACCTCATGCACCACTGCAGGAGCAGGACCAGTAACTATAAACTAAAATAAAATAAAATCTCTAACTTTAGCATAAAAAAGAAGCAAGTATATAGCTTTAGAATCATAAGAAGTTAGTAAAAATTCTAGTGCAAGAAATATAGTTGTGTATACATCTGTACACATGTGGTTCTATATTTCACATTCTGACCTTATTCCAATTATTGCTCAGATGCACGACATGTGAGGTCAGGTCGGCAGTGTTTGTTATTCCTCATTGTTTGTTGTACAGTCTGACAGCAGCAGGAAGGAAAGAGGTGCGGAACCTGATCAGACAAAAGCCAACTTCCTGATGACCATTTGTTTGACCATATAAGGACATGACGCCAGAATCACCACTACAGACTCTCATATAAATAATTACCCTTTTAATGCAAAACCAGCGCACACCATTTTCAATTCTGGTGCCATCTAGTGAGTGGGAGTGTAAGTGCAGGACTTTTTGGCCGAATTGTATTTAATTTCCTTAACAAAAAAACACAATGGATTTAGGTGTGTTTTGAATCCTTTCGAGAATCTGGCTGTGTTCACAATGCTCCGGATCTAAATACAGAATATATGAATGTAACAATTAGCCTTAGCCTGTTTATTGGATTTAGTTTTTTTAGTTTCATACAAGCGGCCAGCGTATGCCTTGTCCTTCAGATCCGTCATGAGGTGAGCTTTAAGACGGTGACCCACAAGATCTGCAGTGACACATGCTTTAACGTGTATCGTCGTGCCAACGGCCTCATCATGAACTGTTGTGAGCAGTGTGGGGACTACCTGCCCACCCGCAGCCCCTCGCACCACGCCCTGCTGGTGGACGGCCAGCAGAAGCGCTTCTGCTGCCACAACTGCATCAGGGACTTCAAACAGGTGAGATCAAACACTGCTTTATGCTCTTTCACTGGAGAAATGTGCTGGGGCCTGGGTCACATGCTTTACAGACACCACAGTAGACATTAAACAGACATACACAAGTCAGAGCACCATCAGAGGCCTATAGGACCAGAGAAAAGCATAGTTAACAGCTCCAGACACCCCCCCCCCCCCCTCCCTCCCCTGACCTCCGCAACACTGACACACTTCCGAACCGCACTCAAAACACGTCTTTTCAGAAAGACCTATTCACTGTGAACCTACATTCACCGTCCATATTAACTGGTTTTGCTTTTAACTTTGTACCTTTCTGTAAGGAAACCTTGAGTGCCCAGAAAGGCGGCATTTAAATAAAATTATAATTATTATGTCTCTGTCCTTGCAGCTCTGTGAAGTGTCTGAAATCCTTGTCCTTTTGGTTCCAGGCTCACAATAAACTGGCGAGCTGCGTGACGTGTAAAACGCTGATCAAAACGGGGGAGGTCCTGCACAGCATCGTGGCCAACGGGACGATGGGCTCGTACTGCTCCATCACCTGCATGAACAAGGGCAAGACCACGGCCAGCGTCCAGAGTGAGGCCCTGCTTAGCTCTCATCAGTGTATGTTTGGGACGAGGGCTGGGAATTGGCAAAAATGTGACGTTGTGATTCTTAACATATTGCGATACAAGTATTGTGATTCGATTCTATGATATATTGCGATTCCTGCCCTTCTTATTATTCTAAGACGTCAGAAATGCCTGATGCTATTGAACAAGGTGGACGACTTGATTTTCTGCACTTCTGTATTCTGTCTTGCTGCATTGCTCTGCACTCCGCCCCTTTACTGTAAACGTGCTCACATTAAAGGGCACACTTCGCCACAGAAGTCCTTTTCCAAGAATGACTGAAGGCTGGTGAATCGTCCTCATTTCATTGATTTAAAAAACCAAGTATAAATATGGAGTGGTCCGACTCAAAGCAATAGTGGTGATGAAAATAATGTTTTCTGTTCAGTATTTTGATATTTTGCATTTTACAGTCGATACAGTAGAGCAAATTATTGTTTCACTTTAGTGTTTGCTGAGTTTCTTCTGGTCCTTTCCATCTGAGGTTTCTGTGACTGCTTGTTGTGACTCTATGACGTCTTGTCTGTAATGAGGTCCTGAATCTTCAAGGATAACGTTTTTGCACTTCCCTTCAGTTCATGTACAGACCTTAATATAAGCCACAGAGACAAGGGTCTTATTTTCCTCCATGTTTATAAAGTCTTTGAACAATATGAGGAACATGAATCACAATAAAAATGAATCACAATACAGTCTGTTTCGCAATATGTTCATCACAATAATTTTGATTTCTGGCCCAATTATTGCAATGCTATCGAATCGTCACATTTTTGCCAATTCCCACTCCAAAGCAATATTAACATGGACAAAAGCTGAGTTTGATTTTCCCCCATGTCCTCCTTTTAAAGAATCACATTCACTAGAAAACAGCATGCAACAAAAATAGGAATGATTGTAGTCTGAAGTCTGCACGATGTGAGACATGGGAGTCTTCAGTCAGAAACATTCAGACGACACCACCATACACTTGTCTCATCCTGATCATGCTAGAATAGGTCAGGAATGTGAATATGCTGAATTGTAAGCCGGTGATGTGTATGTATGTGCGCGTGTTTGCGTGCGTGTGTGTGTCTGTCTGTGTGTCCGCAGACGCAGAGCCAGTCTGTCACTTCTGTAAGCGGAATGCCTTGCCGCAGTACCAGGCCACACTGCCAGAGGGCGCCGTGCTGAGCTTCTGCAGCTCCCAGTGTGTCACTAAGTTTCAGGTTGGTCCACACCACACACATCAGTTTACACTGAGCGCAAATACTTCCACTGCGCTACTGTTTGGCCCAAAACCACTCAGGTTGAAGGACAGGACAGCTGTCAATCAACCTGAGGCCGGAGCAGAGTTCTGAAAAAATGTACCGTATGCCAGGGGTGTCCAACCCTGTCTCAAAGGACAGGTTTCAGTTCCAACCTGGGCAGGAGCACACAGAGACCACCCATTTCCTCAATCCAGTCTGAACCTGAAGACTTGGGTGGAGGGTGGTGTGCTCCTTTTGGGACCGGTTTGACACCTCTGTCCCTTGCAGAAAGCTCACGCACACCTGCGTCCCCGACTCACTGTGCTCCCAGGTCAGTGTACATCAGCTCATTGGTTTGAACCACTTCCTCAGTCCTCCAGGACACGGGTGGGTCCTACCGGATCCAGCACCAGAGTCTGAGTCTGTTAGGGAAGGAAGTTAAGTAACAATACTCCAGAATCTCCAGATAACTTCAAAATCAGAGCCAGGATCTTGGCGCTTGGTAAATTTTGGGGATGATATTGTGCTCACCCTACATGTTCTTGTGTTTGCTGTTGCAGAATACGGCTCTTCAAAGTGGCACGAATGGTCAGACAGCGCCCTCTGCAGACAGCACAGTGCAGCTCAAGTGTAACTACTGCAGGGGAGTCTTCAGCCTGAAGCCGGAGGTTCTGGAGTGGGAGGTGAGCTCTGCCACATGCTTCTGTAGAGTACAGTGACATACTCACTTCATACGCTCTCATACTCTGTCTGTCTGACTGTAGTCACCAACGGTTACAACCCGACACTGCCACACAGGCCGCGGGGAAATGCAGTGGATCTGGGTGGGAAACACAATTTTTTAGCATTTTCAAATGGTATTGTGAAATTTCATAACACTTTGAAGCAACTTTTGTTAAAGTTAAACTCATCATTCTATCAATGTGCAGAAGCCAGTACTTTTCCCTTGTTTTGTCTATCTGAAGGCCAAGCTACATGGCACTGTGGCAGCTGCTGATTGGAGGTCTCCATGCCTCCGCTCTGTATAATACATTTGCATTCTGTTGTATCTGTGATCGTGTGCTTTGTTCGTGCTGTCTCTACCATCGACAATAAAACATGTCTTCTGTCTGAATTTAAGACGCGATCCCAGACATGTCATCTTCTTCAGTATGATCGGGGATTCAGCCTCACTGTAATATATGTACTGTGCTGGTGTCACTTTAGCAATCTGCCGTTAATAAATACAGTGCCTTGCGAAAGTATTCGGTCCCCTTGAACCTTTTAACATTTCGCCACATTTCAGGCTTCAAACATAAAGATATAAAAATGTAATTTGTCAAGAATCAACAACAAGTGGGACACAATTGTGAAGTGGAACAAAATTTATTGGATAATTTAAACTTTTAACAAAAAAACCCCTGAAAAGTGGCGCGTGCAATATAATTCGGCCCCCTTGCGCTAATACTTTGTAGCGCCACCTTTTGCTGCAATTACAGCTGCAAGTCGCTTGGGGTATGTCTCTATCAGTTTTGCACATTGAGAGACTGGAATTCTTGCCCATTCTTCCTTCCTCGAGCTCAGTGAGGTTGGATGGAGAGCGTTTGTGAACAGCAGTCTTCAGCTCTTTCCACAGATTCTCGATTGGATTCAGGTCTGGACTTTGACTTGGCCATTCTAACACCTGGATACGTCTATTTGTGAACCATTCCATTGTAGATTTGGCTTTATGTTTTGGATCATTGTCCTGTTGGAAGATAAATCTCTGTCCCAGTCTCAGGTCTTTTGCAGTCTCCAACAGGTTTTCTTCCAGAATGGTCCTGTATTTGGCTCCATCCATCTTCCCTGTCCCTGCTGTATGTCTCCCAGGTGGCTTGTGGCAAACTTTAAACGAGACTTTTTATGGATATCTTTGAGAAATGGCTTTCTTCTTGCCACTCTTCCATAAAGGCCAGATTTGTGCAGTGCACGACTGATTGTTGTCCTATGGACAGACTCTCCCACTTCAGCTGTAGTTATCTGAAGTTCATCCAGAGTGATCATGGGCCTCTTGGCTGCATCTCTGATCAGTCTTCTCCTAGTTTGAGATGAAAGTTTGGAGGGACGGCCGGGTCTTGGTAGATTTGCAGTGGTCTGATACTCCTTCCATTTCAATATAATTGCTTGCACAGTGCTCCTTGAGATGTTTAAAGCTTGGGAAATCTTTTTGTATCCAAATCCGGCTTTAAACTTCTCCACAACAGTATCTCGGACCTACCTGGTGTGTTCCTTTTTCTTCGTGGTTCTCTCTGCGCTTTAAACAGAACCCTGAGACTATCAAAGAGCAGGTGCATTTATACAGAGACTTGATTACACACAGGTGCATTCTATTTATCATCATCAGTCATTTAGGACAACATTGGATCATTCAAAGATCCTCACTGAACTTCTGGAGTGAGTTTGCTTCACTGAAAGTAAAGGGGCCGAAAAATATTGCACGCCCCACTTTTCAGTTTTTTATTTGTTAAAGTTTAAATTATCCAATACATTTTGTTCCAATTCACGATTGTGTCCCACTTGTTGATTCATGACAAAAAATATTTTTTTTATATCTTTATGTTTGAAGCCTGAAATGTGGCGAAAGGTTCAAGGGGGCCGAATACTGTATATTAGCTGCATACAGGCATAATAATGTTACCAGTGGACATTCTGAAATTACAGTGTTGCACATGGTTGCAAGACTGTTGAAGCCATAGAAGGTCTGAAGGGGTGGCCTCTGCGCTCAAAAAGACCTGAGCCTCCTCAGCAGTAGAGCCTCCTCAGAAGGTAGAGCCTCCTCAGCAGGTAGAGCCTCCTCAGCAGGTAGAGCCTCCTCAGCAGGTAGAGCCTCCAGCAGTTAGAGCCTCCTCAGCAGGTAGAGCCTCATCAGCAGGTAGAGCCTTATTCTTGAAGAGGGCGTCTGTATGAGCCCAGTCCAGTTTGTGGTTCAGAAGAACACCCAGCACTTGTAAGAGTCCTCTCTCTGTCCCTTCCCTGTTCACGTGGACTGGAGGCAGTGACTGGAAACCCAGCAGCCTGGAGCTGAAGCAGTTTTGGTTCATATCGACGGACTCAAGAATGGGGCGACTGTGGCTCAGTTGGTAGAGCATTGGCCTTTGAGCCTGAATGTTGTGGGTTCGAGCCCACCACAAGACCTACTTCATGACTCCCACTGATGACTTTTGTCGTTGTGTCCTTGGGCAAGACACTTAACCCCACTTTGCCTGAATCCCCCACTGGAAGATCAAGGCTCTTGTGGACTCACCTCCTGCAGGAGGATCAGTGAGGGGCTGGTGTACTGGGTGCAGCTCTGACTGCCACCCCTGACCCAGAAATGGATTAAGGGGAAGATAATGGATGGATTCGAGAAACATTGCATCACTAGTAATGAAATGGTAAAGTCCTTGGAATATCAAAGAAGGTAACATGGGTGTGTCACAGCGGCAGACAGAGGAACCAGCGGATAGTGTCTCAGGTGTAAGTTAGTGTACCTGACTTTATGCCTGTGTGTCTCAGGAGAAAGTGTACCAGTTCTGCAGTAAAACCTGCTGCGAGGACTACAAAAAGCTGCACTGCATCGTGACCTTCTGTGAGTTCTGTCAGGAGGAGAAGACTCTGCACGAGACCGTCAAGTTCTCTGGAGTCAAGAGGCCATTCTGCAGCGAAGGTCAGGAACATTCTGCAAAAACACAACTGCTCATTAGAAACAGACTTGTTTGTGTTCCTGATATCTGTGCGGACGGAGCTCTTTGATCTAAGTGCTTCCATCTCAAACTCTTCATATTGTTAGGATTGTCGTAACAAATTGATTAATCGCAACTATACGATTAGTTGTCAAGTAATTTAGCAATTGTCTCCACACTGACCATACCATACGCTTTTTATTCCCAAAATCCACTGCGCTCGCAGTGAGCACTAAAGCTGGGCATGCACCGTTTGCTAAAGCTTAAAAACTAAACATCGGCAATAGCAGCTCACACACCTCTGTCTCGCTAAAAATGTACTTTTGAACATAAAAAGTCACCGAGGTCCAGAGAAAAGGATCTCTGGGTCCGGACCTGGGGACCCCTACTCAATGAAGTACTCGCTTTAGCTTTGTGTCAAATGTATGAAAAAACATACTCTATATTCTATGGATTTAAAGAACTGTTCAATCAAAAGAATAATTGTCCGACTAAAGACTAGGACCACACTGGGCCCTACTCAAGACCAGGACCTGTGTCTCCCATTTGTGGATCTGTGTGTACCTGTGTGTATACCGGTGTGTGTGTGACGTTTGTGTACCTGTGTGTTGCAGGCTGTAAGCTGCTCTACAAGCAGGACTTCATAAAGCGTCTGGGGCTGAAGTGTGTGAGCTGTAACCACTGCAGCCAAATGTGTAAGAGGGGCGTGACCCAGACCCTGGGGGGCATGACCCGTGACTTCTGCAGCGACACCTGTGGACAGAAGTTCCTCGAATGGTACAACAAGGTGGGCTGTAGTTTACACTTACTGATCAATTATCATCAGGAGCAACAGCTCTACTCTGAGCTCCTCACATTTTCTCTAAAGGAGCACTCAGCCACTCTGGTGAACGATTGTAATCTGTATGGATTTAGAACTTCAGTCTCGAGTTCTCCCTGTGAATATGAAGATAACCTCACACTGACTGAGCCAGTCTCATAACACTGGCGACATCTAGTGGTAAAATCTGAGACTGCAGACACTTTATTGAGAAAGAAAATAAAATATCAATAATAAATATCATAAACCATTCTCTTTTAATGTAAAATGAATTAATTTCCGGATTAGTGTGTAAAGTTTTTTCATGTCAATTATCAATAAAACCTCAATCTCTAAAGCTTTACCTCTTCAAGCACCACACAAAAAATGAGCTGCAGACATTTGCACTAAAACTCATCGTGTGTGTGTGTGTGTGTGTGTGTGTGTACCTGTGTGTGCCTCTCCCCAGGCGGCGCGCTGTGACTGCTGCCGTGTGCAGGGCGAGCTCACAGAGTCTGTGATGTGGCGCTCGGAGGTGAAACAGTTCTGTGACCAGCAGTGTCTGCTGCGCTTCTACCTGCAGCAGAACGATCCCATCATGGAGACGCAGAAGGGCCCCGAGAACGCCAGCGCAGGTGCTTTACCCACAATCCTCTCTGTCACAGCTTCAACGTTCAAGTGTTCTTCTAATAAGACAATCAGCAAGAAGGTCCTGGGTTCGAATCCTGATCAGAACGGGGCCTTTCTGAGTGGAGTTTGCATGTTCTCCCCCTGTCTGTGTAGGTTTCCTCTGGGTGCTCCAGAGGTGCACCAATAAAAACATGTACATTAGGTGTGAAAAGATGATGTCGGTCGGTGGCTCTGATGCTCCAGTGTTGCTCGTCTTGCTTCTGTCATCACTGTGTGGAGAGAATGTAAAATGCGCTACATAAATAAAGATTTCTTAATTATTAGAACAGTTTAAGCCTTTAACCATAAATATGCTTCCTGAATGTGTTTGACCTGTGTGTCCTGCAGGGGTCAACATCCAGAGCGCCAAGCTTGGGGTATGTACTGGTCTTTCATTATCTTTGTAAATCATAATAATAATTATCAGAATCTTCATCACACTGAGTCTAAAGAACGCAGTAGAATATGACAGAAGGAGGTGAAAAAAAAACAGAAAAAGTTTAGAGTGGAGGTGTTACTTTGAGAAACAAAAACTTTTACGACTGTGCACTATGGAAAAAGGTAATATTAATGTGATCAGGGATTTATATTTTTATCTTGAATGTTGCAGAAGCATTTTGTTCCGTGTGTTTTGTGTCGTTTTATTTTGGAATGAAGAAGATGTTTATTTTCTTTATTTTAGAGTTAAAATACAGAACTGATTAACAGGAAACTAAAACAGATGTGACAAAAGCACTTTGACAAGTGTTTTCCGAATGTTGTGGCTCTGCAAAAAACTTGACGTCAGACGGGCCCCTGTCGATGTAACTGAAATCTACTTTTCTAGAAATTAGACCTGGTTTAGGAGAGGGCTTTGGAACAGGGTTTGTTGATGGTCACGGTGAGAAGTTTAGTGTCGTCGATGGTACATGACCAGGTCAGACTGGTACAGACTGTTGTGGACTTCACTCACCGTGTGGTCCAATTGAAAATGGCTTTTGGTCAGAAATAGGGGTGGGAACCTAAGGGTACCTCACGATACGATACGATACAAAGCTCACGATAACAATATAACGATATTATCACAATAAAGATTTTATCACAATATGACGATTATCGATATATTGGTCAGAAATATACAGTATGCCAATTTATGGCATAAATAAAAGAATAAATACACTTTTTTTCATGATAAATGGAATGGAGATGCGTAATGTAGCCAAATATTAAAGGCACACCGTGTAACTCTTGGCCACTAGGGGCGCTAGACCTGCAACTTTCACGTTTAGCGCCACAAGCAACTCAGCACTGTCGCAAAAGTCAACAAACAGTCAGCCGGTGTCTTTTGAGTGTGTATTCAGACAGCATGCACTGGTGTGTGTGTTCAAACTGTAGAGACATGCCTACAGATATTGAGAGACTCTGCTGTGGTCAGCCTCCAGACCGCTGCATTAGTAATCTACCACACATGGACTTCTATATCCTGGATGAGGGAGTTCTGCGTCTAGCTCGTGCTGCGTGGAATGACATCGTTGCAGTCGATGACATCCAGGAACCAGGTGAACAGCAGCGCTCATACAGACATGCAGCTTACAGCACGATCCCTTTCGCGTTTCCTCTTTTTAGCCTCCTCCGAAGGTTTAAAATTTTTCCTTGCCTCAGCCATGACCAGGAGTCGAGCAGGTGAAAAATGAGTAGCAAAAGCCTTAGCTCCATGAGTATATCAGCGCCTGTAGCCGTAAAGCAAGTCTTTCTTCCAAGTCACGTGACCTGGTGGCAGACGGTCCGTCTGCTCGAAACTTACATGGGCGGTATTTCAAGAGGGCAGCCCCGCTCGGAGCATTGCAAGTGTCAAGCGCTGTATATTGGCCCAAGTATTCATATAAAATAACTCATATGTGTCAACTCTTTAGGTCACAAAGTCCGCGGTGTGCCTTTAAGTATTGATACCAATTCAAAAAAGAAAAAAATCGATACTTGGCAAATGCATATTGATAATCGGATCGCGGAAGAGAAAGTGTCGCGATATATCGAAAAATCAATATATCGTCACACCCCTAGTCAGAAATTTTTCTTGCTTTTGATATTTGTGTTTAGTAGTCTGGTTACCAATCGCCATAGCAACTGCAGTGTGTGTGTCGTCCTCTCTATCTGTCCTCCTCTCTCTCTGTTTATCTCTCTCTGTCCTCCTTTCCCTCTCTCTGTCCTCCTCTCTCTCTCACTTTGTCCTCCTCTTCCTCTCACTGTCTCCTCCTCTCTGTGTCCTCCTCTCTCTCCTCCTCTCTCACAGTGTCCTCCTCTCTCTCCTCCTCTCTCACAGTGTCCTCCTCTCTCTCCTCTCTCTGTGTCCTCTCTCTCTCCTCCTCTCTGTGTCCTCTCTCTCCTCCTCTCTCTGTGTCCTCCTCTCTCTCTCCTCCTCTCTCACAGTGTCCTCCTCTCTCTCTCCTCCTCTCCCACAGTGTCCTCCTCTCTCTCCTCCTCTCTCTGTGTCCTCCTCTCTCTCCTCCTCTCTCTGTGTCCTCCTCTCTCTCTACTCCTCTCTCACAGTGTCCTCCTCTCTCTCCTCCTCTCTCACAGTGTCCTCCTCTCTCTCTCCTCCTCCTCTCCCACAGTGTCCTCCTCTCTCTCCTCCTCTCTCACAGTGTCCTCCTCTCTCTCCTCCTCTCTCAGTGTCCTCCTCTCTCTCCTCCTCTCTCACAGTGTCCTCCTCTCTCTCCTCCTCTCTCACAGTGTCCTCCTCTCTCACAGTGTCCTCCTCTCTCTCCTCCTCTCTCACAGTGTCCTCCTCTCTCTCCTCCTCTCTCACAGTGTCCTCCTCTCTCTCCTCTCTCTCAGTGTCCTCTCTCTCTCCTCCTCTCTGTGTCCTCTCTCTCCTCCTCTCTCACAGTGTCCTCCTCTCTCTCTCCTCCTCTCTCACAGTGTCCTCCTCTCTCTCTCCTCCTCTCCCACAGTGTCCTCCTCTCTCTCTCCTCCTCTCTCTGTGTCCTCCTCTCTCTCTACTCCTCTCTTCACAGTTTCCTCTCTCCTCCTCTCCCACAGTGTCCTCCTCTCTCTCCTCCTCTCTCACAGTGTCCTCCTCTCTCTCTCCTCCTCTCTCACAGTGTCCTCCTCTCTCTCTCCTCCTCTCTCACAGTGTCCTCCTCTCTCTCTCCTCCTCTCTCACAGTGTCCTCTCTCTTTCCACCTCTCTCACAGTGTCCTCCTCTCTCACAGTGTCCTCCTCTCTCTCCTCCTCTCTCACAGTGTCCTCCTCTCTCTCTCTCCTCCTCTCTCACAGTGTCCTCCTCTCTCACAGTGTCCTCCTCTCTCTCCTCCTCTCTCACAGTGTCCTCCTCTCTCTCCTCCTCCTCTCTCACAGTGTCCTCCTCTCTCTCCTCCTCTCACAGTGTCCTCCTCTCTCTCCTCCTCTCTCACAGTGTCCTCCTCTCTCTCCTCCTCTCTCACAGTGTCCTCCTCTCTCTCTCCTCTCCTCTCTCACAGTGTCCTCCTCTCTCTCTCCTCCTCTCTCACAGTGTCCTCCCTCTCTCTCTCCTCCTCTCTCACAGTGTCCTCCTCTCTCTCCTCCTCTCGCACAGTGTCCTCCTCTCTCTCTCCTCCTCTCTCACAGTGTCCTCCTCTCTCTCTCCTCCTCTCTCACAGTGTCCTCTCTCTTTCCACCTCTCTCACAGTGTCCTCTCTCTCTCCTCCTCTCAGTGTCCTCCTCTCTCTCTCCTCCTCTCTCAGTGTCCTCCTCTCTCTCTCCTCCTCTCTCAGTGTCCTCCTCTCTCTCCACCTCTCTGTGTCCTCCTCTCTCACAGTGTCCTCCTCTCTCTCTCCTCCTCTCTCACAGTGTCCTCTCTCTCTCCTCCTCTCTCACAGTGTCCTCTTCTCTCTCTCCTCCTCTCTCACAGTGTCCTCCTCTCTCTCTCTCCTCTCTCTCTCTGTGTCCTCCTCTCTCTCTCCTCCTCTCTCACAGTGTCCTCTCTCTCTCCTCCTCTCTCACAGTGTCCTCCTCTCTCACAGTGTCCTCCTCTCTCTCTCCTCCTCTCTCACAGTGTCCTCCTCTCTCTCCTCCTCCTCTCACAGTGTCCTCCTCTCTCTCCTCCTCTCCCACAGTTGTCCAGTGGGGTCAGTGTTGGTGTTGGAGGACTTCTGCGAGACGTGAAGAACAAAGCTGTGCTGTGCAAACCGCTCACTCTGACCAAAGCCACGTACTGCAAACCACACATGCAGAGCAAGACGCTGCAGACAGGTACCTGCTCCTCCTCTGCACCTCCTCTGCTCCTGCTCCTCCTCTTCCTCTGAGCCTGTTCCTCGCACAGAGACTAGAGGACTGAGTTAGTTGGTTTAAATCTTTTCGAGGAGACAGGAAGTACTTTGAGATTGATCTCCGTGTCTCAGATCATAGGGTTCTGACTTGTAGCTTTTTCTTCCCTGGACCTTCATTACAGAGGACAACTAAAAAACAGATATCTCTTAAAATGATGGAAACATTTGTGGAAATGAAGAAAATGAGAGCATCCTGTACTTTATGATCTGACAAAGATGTGATCCGTCCACATGAACACAGTCAGAAAAAAGAGCGCTGAACCGAGACGAGGATCTTACTTTTGACCGTTTCCATAGTTACAGGAGGTTTTTCAGTTGCGCTCCACCACAATGTGAAAGTAGAGGCAGTTTTGAAACACGGGAAGCGTATTTCATATGTTTGCAGCTAAAATATTGAGGTCCTCCTAAAATTGTGAGACTATGTTTTTACTTATGTTACTATTTGAATGTGTTCTTGTTTTGTGAAGCACTTTGAGTGGCCCTGTGTATGAACTGTGCTATACAAATAAGTTGCCTGATCCTCAGATGTGGACGACGGTGTGAAGAGGGAGTATGTGCCCGTGCCCATCCCAGTGCCCGTCTTTGTGCCCATGCCCATGAACATGTACTCACAACTGACCCCAGCACCACTCACACTGCCTCTGCCGGTAACGCACACACACCCCCGCAGCACACACACACACGTACAGACCCACACATGCGCAGACACACACACACGTACAGACCCACACATGCACACGCACAGACACACACACCTGCAGACACACATGGACCCACGGACACACCTGCAGACACACATGGACCCACGGACACACCTGCAGACACACAAATGTAAACACGTACAGACACGATCACTGAAACAGCCTCTGACCAGTGCCTTAGCCTCGTCCTCACACCTGTGTGTTCTTCAGGTCCCCGTGCCGGTGTTTGTGCCCACCAACTTCCAGAGGCTGCACCAACAGCGCAACTGCAAGGAGACCAAACCAGGTACCAGCCCCACTGAGGGAGGAGGGGACCCCAGAGTTCTCACCACAAACTTCGGGTCAGGCCAAAGCGCTGTGACCCTCAGTGACCAGCGCTCATCTCCACTGGACATTCTACTACAGATAAACAAATAGATCATAGGAAAGGTTTCGACTGCACATTTCACATGAACTATTGAGCTAAAAGATGAAGAGATCGTTTATTGGTCCCACAGTGGGGAAATGTCAGTGTTGCATCACCCATTACATGTGGGTCTACATTGCACATTCTGACATTAGTTCAATATACATTTATAAAACCTGACCTGAAAACCTGGTCTGGTACAGATCTAGACCAGCGCTGAATCCAAATCCATAATAAATCCTCCTCAGTTGATAAATGTGTGTGTGCAGAGGTGAAGCAGGAGCGCGCAGAGGAGGACCTGGACCTGGACCTGGACCTGGAGACTGACTTCTGCCCTGGTACGGCCTCCTTCAGAACTGCATGCTCACACTCTTATTTGATTTATTTTTTTAATCTCAAAGGTCTCATATTTTGCTCTTCTTCAAGTCCGTCCTAAATCATTTGGGTGATACACCATACAGCACTCACTTGAATCTTGAATCAGACCCTAATTATTTAGTAAACGGCTCACTCCACACTAAACTGCATCCATGTGTTACATTTTAATCAATGACACAAGAAAGTCCCGAAATGCCCGCAGCCGTCACTGCTGAATGTTCACAGACCCACTACTGTTTTGTTTCCAGCTTGTTTGTCCAGTGGAGGGCGCTCTACTTAAACACAGATTCATTCACGCCCGTATTATTAACAGCGGTCCAAGACGTCGTTTTGGACGTAACAAAAGTGGACACGATTTTGTTACGTCCTAAACGCCTAGTTTGTCTGCAGTTATTGAATTTTTTTTTTGCATAATGTAAAATCTATAATTACATATTGATAATAGTTTTATCTTCAACCATTAAACATTAAATAGTCTTCTCTGTCCTGTTCATTCTTCCATTCACAAAGCCTCCAACACGACATGTCCTAAATGTAACAATTATGTCCCCAAAGTTCAATACAATTTTTTTTTTTTTTAAAGGGATCCATTTTTCTTGAAATAGTTTTAGCGGCCCTTCTGAGATTATACTATGTAGATATAGGCTACATAGTATAACATTTTTTTCAGGTACAAACATTTTTAGTTCATACATTTATTTTATTGAAGTTAGATCGACCAATGGTACAGTTGAGTGTGGAGTGAGCCAATTACAGCAGAATACGTTAGTTGCACTGTACCTCATTAGTGTCTTTTATGGTGGGAATAACAGGGGTTTGAGTCCGTCCAGTTTTATGGTAACTGTAGTTCTGGTTGATGAAGTGTCACTCGCAGATGACCAGATTTGTGGTGGATTTTCAGAGTCAGATCCTGTGAATAAAGTCCAGCCACATACGCCGCATTCTTCATCTGTGGTGTCTAGCTCTCTAACTAAAGCTTGAGGGAATCAATGAAAAAACTTCTTTGGGCATGTGTAGGAAGTGCCAACGAGCACTTTGATTATGTTTTAAAGCAGAGAAATGTCGAAAAGCGTAACATGGGACTTTTAATCAAGATTATTTGTCCATAAAGGCTCTGTTCCATCCGGAGTCCCACGGCTGCTGTTTCAACCTCAAACAAAGCAGCTGTTATTGGAAGCATTAACTTAAGCTGATGTTGGTGAAAACGCCGAGAACATCTGGGTCTTCATTGAGGCGTGTGTGTTCCCCCAGAGTCCTGCAGAGCCGATGCCCCAGCCCCCGCTCCGTCGGAGGAGGAGGCCGCCTCGCCGCACCCTCAGCCCGCCTCCCTGGTATGTGCTTTGTCCACTGCAGCTGATACTTCAGTTTTCACTTCAAAGGACGAGCAGTACGACAGTGGCTCAGTTGGTAGAGCATTGGCCTTTGAGTCTGGAGGTCCTGGGTTCTAGCCCACCACAAGACTCCCACTGAAGTCTGCTGTCATTGTGTCCTTGGGCAAGACACTTAGGCTATATCCACACAAAGACAAAACGCTTATAATTTCAGAAACTTTTTCTGTAAACACGGAGTTAGCTCAGTAAATGTGTGCGTCCATATGAATGTAGTCAATACGCCTGAAAACGCTGTGAAACTATGCCAGACCTGTTGGTGGCGCTGTGACGCAATGACGGGATCAAGCCCAAACTTCCGTGGGCATGCGCGGAATTTTGTAAACAGACAACATGGCGAGTGGGCGAGCTGGTACTACATTAGTATGGACGGACGATGAGGTTGAACTGTTGCTTCGGGTCGCACTGGATTACAAAACCAACAAGCTACATTGTTGTTGTCATTATTTTTTGAGTGCGGCGCATGCGTGCTTTAACAAGAGGCGGGGCGATGACGCAAGCGTCTCAGATACATTGCGGAGAGGCAGTAACCACGGAGCGGCATATACGGAGTTTTGAAATCTTTTCACTCTGGGACCTAGTTTCAAAAATGTTCGTTTACACCCCCCCAAAACGCCGGCCTCGTATGGACGATACACTGGATTGATAAAGTATTTTTGCGTTTAGGCCTGAGCTTGACTTCGTGTGGACAGGGCCTTAACCCCTCTTTGCCTGAAGCCCCCACTGAAAGACCAAGGCTATGCCACCTGCAGGAGGGATCAGTGAGGGGCTGGTGCTGTGTGCTGGGTGGCATCTCTGGCCACCCCCACGACCCAGAAAGGGGTAGAAAATGGACGGATGGAGGACGTGCAGCAGTATTCTGTATGGCCTTTGTTTATCCGTTAACCACAGCTCCATGTGTTCATCAAAATTAATGTCTTCATGAAGAAACAGCCTCTAAAGGGGTCTCCAACCTGTGGCTCAGGAGCTACCAGTAGCTCCCCCAAAGGATTAAAGAGTTTAACACACGATCCTAAATAGGGATGTAAATCGTGACCGTTTATCCAGTGGTTGACCGTCACAGCGTTAACCGGTCAAAGCTGTCGGTTAAGAAAGAGAAAAAGGGGAGAGGGGAGGTCTCTTCATAACGCTATTTTAAGCCCGTCACCGCTCGCCCACGATGTGACGAGCGGGTCTGTCTCCAGCTGTGCGCGTCAATGTATCAGTAAACTCCGGGCCGACTCTCACTCCGCACACGCACACATGCACACGCACACACGCGCGCACACTTTCGATCTGTTCTCTTCCCTCTGTTACCGCCTGCTAGTTGCACACTGGTGCAGGTCAGAACTACATCGGAGCTTATATTTACACAAACATACACACACATACAGTGCCTTGCGAAAGTATTCGGCCCCCTTGAACCTTTCAACATTTCGCCACATTTCAGGCTTCAAACATAAAGATATAACATTTTAATTTTTTGTCATGAATCAACAACAAGTGGGACACAATCGTGAAGTGGAACAAAATTTATTGGATAATTTAAACTTTTTTAACAAATAAACTGAAAAGTGGGGCATGCAATATTATTCGGCCCCTTTACTTTCAGTGCAGCAAACTCCAGAGTCCAGAAGTTCAGTGAGGATCTTTGAATGATCCAATGTTGTCCTAAATGACTGATGATGATAAATAGAATGCTCCTGTGTGTAATCAAGTCTCCGTATAAATGCACCTGCTCTTTGATAGTCTCAGGGTTCTGTTTAAAGCTCAGAGAGAACCATGAAGACAAAGGAACACACCAGGCAGGTCCGAGATACTGTTGTGGAGAAGTTTAAAGCCGGATTTGGATACAAAAAGATTTCCCAAGCTTTAAACATCTCAAGGAGCACTGTGCAAGCAATTATATTGAAATGGAAAGAGTATCAGACCACTGCAAATCTACCAAGACCTGGCCGTCCCTCCAAACTTTCATCTGAAACAAGGAGAAGACTGATCAGAGAGGCAGCCAAGAGGCCCATGATCGCTCTGGATGAACTGCAGATAACTACAGCTGAGGTGGGAGAGTCTGTCCATAGGACAATATTCAGTCGTGCACTGCACAAATCTGGCCTTTATGGAAGAGTGGCAAGAAGAAAGCCATTTCTCAAAGAAATCCATAAAAAGTCTTGTTTAAAGTTTGCCACAAGCCACCTGGGAGACACACCAAACATGTGGAAGAAGGTGCTCTGGTCAGATGAAACCAAAATCTAACTTTTTGGCCACAATGCAAAACGATATGTTTGGCGTAAAAGCAACACAGCTCATCACCCTGAACACACCATCCCCACTGTCAAACATGGTGGTGGAAGCATCATGCTTTGGGCCTGCTTTTCTTCAGCAGGGACAGGGAAGATGGCTAAAATTGATGGGAAGATGGATGGAGCCAAATACAGGACCGTTCTGGAAGGAAACCTGTTGGAGTCTGCAAAAGACCTGAGACTGGGACGGAGATTTATCTTCCAACAAGACAATGATCCAAAACATAAAGCCAAATCTACAATGGAATGGTTCACAAATAGACGTATCCAGGTGTTAGAATTGCCAAGTCAAAGTCCAGACCTGAATCCAATCGAGAATCTGTGGAAAGAGCTGAAGACTGCTGTTCACAAACGCTCTCCAGCCAACCTCACTGAGCTCGAGCTGTTTTGCAAGGAAGAATGGGAAAGAATTCCAGTCTCTCGATGTGCAGAACTGATAGAGACATACCCCAAGCAACTTGCAGCTGTAATTGCAGCAAAAGGTGGCGCTACAAAGTATTAGCGCAAGGGGGCCGAATAATATTGCACGCCCCACTTTTCAGTTTTTTATTTGTTAAAAAAGTTTTAATTGTCCAATAAATTTTGTTCCACTTCACGATTGTGTCCCACTTGTTGTTGATTCTTGACAAAAAATATTTTTTTTATATCTTTCTGTTTGAAGCCTGAAATGTGGTGAAATGTTGAAAGGTTCAAAGGGGCCGAATACTTTCGCAAGGCACTGTACATGTATTGTACACACACCCATATTGGTCTGTCGCGCTCCTGTGTCACGCAGCCCAAAGGATCCTCGCAAATACGCAGCTTCAGTCAAACCAAATGTTTGTGCTGATGGTCCTTGTCATTAGATCAGCTCCACACACATCACTTTTAAACTTTAGCGGAGACCTGCGAGACGCGCCACTCGCTGCTCTGACCATGTGGACGAGCCGTCTTTTGTTTAAAAATGCTTTAACCCGCAGCACAGCAGAATGGGAAGAAATGGGAAAAAACGGCAGTTCTCTGTGCGCAAAAGTGCCGAAGCTGTTGCGGGTTTTGGCGCCGCTGTCTCAGCTCTGATCCAGTAGAACGCAGAGCTGCACTTATGAGAAGTACGCGGCTCGAAATGGCTGTTATTTCAAAGAACGTGGACTATTTTAAACTACGCGGGTTAAACGGTTTCAACCAGTTAATGAGGCTTGGTGGTCGTCATGAAAATTCATAATTTCTTACATCCCTAATCCTAAATGATTCACTTTTGAGTCATATTGTAACCCTAATGCATCGTGAATGACGCTGTCTGGTATAATAGTATATTGTGCATGTGTGTTCCCTGTTTGGCTGTAGTTATTATACTTTTATTTGCTCTCTGTTTTATAAAAGTACTTCTCAATAGAAAGGTTTAGAGACCCCTGACTAAACAGTTTATACAGTAAGGCTGTGAACAAGACCCAGGACAAAAACTGAAAATTATAAATGTACACATCTAAAATAAATAAATAAATTACATATTTGGTGATAGTAATAAATGGTATAAACGTATGAAGTGTGTGTTCTCAGGGCTGTAAGAAGCGTGCGCTGGAGGGCCCCTCTCCCCGCTGCAGGCTTCCGCTGAAGAGCCGCTATGGCCTGAGCGCATGGCGGCGCTGGGCCCAGGCCTCTGCCGGCCAATCGGCACACTCCACACACAAGAGCGACTCTACAGCGCCCCCAGAGGCCAGCGGGAGCGCGGACTGTAAAGAGGCCAAACCAGGTGAGCCACACACCATCACACGGGGCACTCACAGGTCTGGATCGACGGGACCAGGCGAAAAAAACTCATTGAGAGGAAAAAAGGCAACATAAAAGTTAATGGGACAACATCACCGACAAGGAGTCAGATTACAGACATGTCGGCGCTCGTGTTCATGGACCCTTTAGAGCCGGGACCCGCTCCCACTGGTCTGTGCTCAACCATTTATTAGGCCATGTGTGAAAAAGCCAAGGAGTGAAAAAGTGTTGAGTTTTAAACAGTTGTAAACTCAGACTGATGGAGCAGTGGTTAGCAAAATACAGCCCTTTAATATTTTTGTTGCAACTAATTTGATTCACTAGGACTACTTGTTAAGTTGTGTTTGAAGAAGAGTCTGATAAAAAATGATATATTTTAGTTAATTTGTAATTTGATCCCAGATATTACAACGTTTTGAGGTGGGGTCACAGGGGGAGGTGTGGGGTCACAGGGGTAGCAGCATTTATCATGGGGGGCTAAAAGGTTTGGGAACCCCTGGTCTAGAGCAGAATGCCTTTGTACTTTTCTTGAGGGTGTGTTTCTCCTCTCTCCAGAGATCAGCAGCAGAAGCAGCAGATGGGAGTCTGACCCGGTGCACATCCCGTCAGAGCGCCTGAGTGAGGCTCTGTGCTCCTTCGTGAGGGAGGCGTGTCGGCCCAGCGGGGTGCGCTATAGTGCAGACAGCCTCTTGTACCTGTGCCTGGGGCTGCAGCAGGTGGGTCTTTCTGTGGAACTACGGTGCACTCAGCGCTCATGTTTCACTCTCTTTTTGACACTTTGACCCTTTGATTGGCCATAAGAAGCTCTCTGAGGCTTTCTGTTGAACCCCTGGTCTCAGTAGTCACTGCTTGTAACTAAACTCTTGTAGACAGAGGTTAGAGAAGCAGAGGGCCGTGTCTCAGATGTCTATTATCACATTATCTATAGCATAAAAAAACAAAACCTTTCTAGTCTTTAAAGATTGGCATTTTACGTAAATTGGTAGCTCGAACTTTGGCCAAGTTAAATTGAAGACCTTTTTGACCCTTTAAGCGTCAAAGGCTGGTAGTTGTTGCCCTTTATTTAATGACTGGTGAACTATCAGTTCAAGGAGCGCCCCTGAAATGATCTTGATCATTGAAGGTCTTTAAATCACATATGGCCACCGACCAGTGCTATAAGATGTGATAATTGGATTTGTGACTTTCTTTCCATCTCAAATTGTTTCATACTAAAGATATTTCTAGTTTAAAGTATGCCTTTATCTCAAACTACTTTAAAGTTATAGCCATATAATCCTGGTATAAAAATTGTATATTTTCTTTTTAAAAAAAGATTCTACTACGGTCAAATCTAATGCAAAGTCAATAAAAAGGCGTTGAAAACAAGGACGCACATTTGTAACATTTGTCTCTTGACCCAATCACTGCAAGTTAGAATTTAAAGGTGACGTATCTTTGAGTTTTTTTAGCCATGTTACAACATTTAGCTAAAACCAATGGGAACAATCTACACTTGATCAGTTACACAAACGCCTCAGCCCGCACCCTTTTGTCTGTCTCCTTTTCAAACAAACTTACACGATCCTAACTCATCCTTACAAGAAGCTAAGTTCTTGCCACTTTCTGTGTGCTGACGTCAGGACTGCAACCTCCCACTTCCCTAGTCGAGGAGGAGGGGGAGGAGGAGGAGGAGGAGGAGGAGGGGTAAGAGGAGGGAGGGAGCGGGGTGAGGGTAGGAACTTCTGTGTGTGGACTGTAGTAGTGGCAGGACAGAGATCAGAGGAGCACTTCCTGTTGTGGGCACATGGCTCTGAGCTGGGACACATGCAGCACTGCTCTCTCTCCCACATCTCTCACATGTGAGTATAATATACAATGTATATATATATATTTTTTTATTTAATCTACTAACACCATCTCTACTTTATGCATGCACCCAATTTACTAGAAAACCATTTTGCCTTCCCTTTCCAAGCCAAGTCTGAGACAGGAAAGGTCCAGGCCTACATCATGGGTTATCCAGGTCTAGGCCTACATCATGGGTTATCCAGGTCTAGGCCTGCATCATGGGTTATCCAGGTCTAGGCCTACATCATGGGTTATCCAGGTCTAGGCCTGCATCATGGGTTATCCAGGTCTAGGCCTACATCATGGGTTATCCAGGTCTAGGCCTACATCATGGGTTATCCAGGTCTAGGCCTACATCATGGGTTATCCAGGTCTAGGCCTGCATCATGGGTTATCCAGGTCTAGGCCTACATCATGGGTTATCCAGGTCTAGGCCTACATCATGGGTTATCCAGGTCTAGGCCTACATCATGGCTTTGAAATTGTTTTATTAATTGAACTGCAAAGACATGATGCTGTTTCACCTGCTCGTGCTCTTTGGTATCTCTGCTGTTATAGCTTAGTGAGGGATCAAATCGCTCTAAAATGAGAATCCTCATATCTCCTTTTTAAATTCTATAATATATAATGTATTTGTGTGATGCTGGTTTGAGTATTACTCCAGAACAGGCCTCATGTATACACACGTTTTGTTTTGGGCTGGTTCTAAAATTAAGAAATTCTAACAAGCATAATAAAGAAACAAGTGTAAAATACTTGTGCTTGTTTCTTAAATGCTTATAATCAGATGAAGTGGACTAAAAGTAGTAGTGGTGGTGTGCAGTTTTCGATCTCGGGAGCAGAGCCGGCTGAAGGCTCTTTTTTTGTGTTGGTTCCAACAGCAGTGATGTGTCCAGTGATTAGAACCTTTGCTGTTCACATCCTGAGTCATGCTGCTGAGTACTTTGATATGAGGACACGTCACACGACTCAAGTCTGTTTTTAAACCACAGATGAAGTGAGGTGAGTTAAAGGCTGTTGTCTCTGTCTCTGCAGCACCTTCAGTCCAGAGGGCGAGAGGACGAGCTGTTCGGAGACGCCTGCTACCAGCCCTTTGTGGACGAGCTGTGCCAGGAGCTGAAGCGCTGGAAGCCCCATGTTCTTCCCAATGGTCAGTCCCTGCCCTCCAAACTTATCAGACTACACAAAAACCATTAAAGGACAACTCACCCTCAAATCCACTTTTTTTTTGCTGATAAATGGTATAAATGAGTGTCCAATAGTGTTGTCTACATATCCTGCTCATAATTTTGTCACTTTGGTGCAAATTAGTTAACTTTCTGCCTAAAACAGTCTGTGAGGCGCCATCTGCTGGCGACCTGTATTACTACATTTGAATTTTGAATCTGGCGCCAAAACTGGCGCGGCAGCAAGACCTGACGTCTGAAGCAAGACCTGACGTCTGAAGCAAGACCTGACGTCTGAAGCAAGACCTGACGTCTGAAGCAAGACCTGACGTCTGAAGCAAGACCTGACGTCTGAAGCAAGACCTGACGTCTGAAGCAAGACCTGACGTCTGAAGCAAGACCTGACGTCTGAAGCAAGACCTGACGTCTGAAGCAAGACCTGACGTCTGAAGCAAGACCTGACGTCTGAAGCAAGACCTGACGTCTGAAGCAAGACCTGACGTCTGAAGAAAGACCTGACGTCTGAAGAAAGACCTGACGTCTGAAGAAAGACCTGACATCAGCAGCCCCCCGCCCAGAGCAATGTAAACGGCCCAGTCTCGTTCACGCCCCTTTAGTCCTCCAGGCTACGCCCATTTAGAGGAAGATTTGAACAGGAAATGTGAGTAACGTAAGCTCCGAGGAGCGGGGGTGAGAACCACTTTAAGTTTTCTATAATTCTATTTTGTGAATAAAAATGGTCCCACTCTATCTCCGTGGCCTTAATGCAGCGTGTTCAAACCATCCATCCATTTTCTCCCGCTTCATCCGTTGCCGGGTCGTGGGGGCAGCAGTCTAAGCAGAGACGCCCAGACTTCCCTATCCACACACACTTCCTCCAGCTCGACCGGGGGGACCCCAAGGCGTTCCCAGGCCAGCTGAGAGACATAGTCCCTCCAACGTGTCCTGGGTCTTCCCCGGGGCCTCCTCCCGGTGGGACGTGCCCGGAACACCTCCCCAGGTGTTACGAATTCACTCATTTTGGTCAGGGCCAAAAGAATAAATTGATTTTTAAATTAAGTTATTGTTTTAAATACCTAATTTTAGAATGTAGTTTATCTGAGAAAATATTATGCATGTTATACATCACCTATGTGGTTGCTCTAGTGGCATAAAGCATTATGGTCCATTAACTAGCCCATGTTTTTGGGCTAGTTGCTAATGGCTAACTGAGCACCAGCGTTGACCAGTGGGGGCGGGTCCCTGGCCAAATTGACGTGCACTGACATGCTGCAATACCACCCCGGGCCGATGGGGGTGGACCCGGAATAAGAATTAGCCAATGCTAACATATAGCATTAGCAGACCTCTCAAAAACGTCTTTACAGGATGGACCAAAAGTTGGCTCTGGGCCCAAAGCTCCGTTCCACATGTGTGTCAATGCTGAGGGGGGTGGATTTTTTTTGGACCACTCTAGTTTACTCGCTGTGAATTATTGAAGTCTCTCGTTCAAGTCTCGCCAGCTGACGCATGCGCAGATGTGTTTTTTCATAATTTTCTTGTGGGCGTGACCACTCGCGGCCATTTTGGATAGCTTCAGTAGAGCACAATTTTTGGCCCATTCGTTACAACGGCGGAGATAGGCGTGACTTACGTTCGTTAATTCTTTTCTGTCTATGGTCTTGACTTAAATAGGCACATGTTGGTGCTCAGTGGCTTGGTCCTCCAGTCTTGCAGGGGGCACTGTCCTGTGAGAATCTTTGCTGTTCACATCCTGAACACTGTGATTGTAACCAAGGATCTGAGGACACATTCTAGTGCTGCTCAGGATTAAAGGTGAGGTGTCTGGACGGTCCATCTGTGGATCAAAGACCAGCCCTCACGGTGGGGTGGGTTGCTGAGTTATGAGGCGTTCAGACCCGATCATGCGTTGCGGCGATTTTCAATTCAAAGTCAATGGTGACGTGCGCTCGTTCTTGGAACGGCATGTGCGTCTCGGGACGCACTGACTGCGCGGTAGAGGCGCAGGAGCAGAAAATCGACACACGCAGGAGATAAACATTGCTGAAAATTTTCCTCGATCCTGGTGTCATTTATTCATCAAGCAGAACCTCCCCTTTAAGGACTGGGTTATGGTCCTCTAACCATGCAGTGTTTTTTTTTCTCAAAGTGACTGAGCCGGCTGTGTGGCTGTGTTGCAGGATCTCTGTGGAGCCGTGTGGACGAGCAGGCTCTATGGAGTGGCCGGCTCCTGGGGGCCCACTCCCCGGCCTCGCTGCTCCGCTCTCTGGTTTACCTCAACACTAAGTACCTGGGGGCCCGCAGCGTGGAGCAGCACCTGAAGCTCTCATTCAGCCAGGTGTACTCTCAGAGCCCGGGCCAGAGCCCGGGCCCCCACGTGCCTTCAGTCCCTCAGGACACTCCAGGTACTGCAACTTTACAATAGTCAGTTTTGTAGTGCTTTTCATGTATACATGAAAAGCACTCAGTAAAAAGGGTTCAGGCTTAAAGGATCAGTCATTATTGATCATTAAAAAAAATAAAGTTTTACTTTTTTCCATCAGTTTTATTAAATATAACTTCTAATAAATATATATATTATATAATTTTAAAACAATAGTCTCTGGTGTTGGGTTCTGCTCGTGTCCTGTGATTAGAACTTCTTGCTGTTCACATCCTGACTTCTGTGCTGACATAAATCTATGAGGACACCTGTGGAAGCTGCCGCTGCAGGCTGACGCCTGTGGAGGCTGCTGCTGCAGACTGTTAGACTCACTGCTGCTGTTGTTCCAGAGCAAAGCCAGCCCAGGAAGAGGAAACTGGAGGAAGAGAAGTGCTGCTCGGAGCTGATGAGGCGCATGGAGCAGCGCGAGCAACAGCTCTACCAGCTCTACAGGGACAAATGGTGAGAGATCATTGATAATACTCTACAGGAACAGACAAAAGCAAATGTCTTCTTGGTTTGAAAATGAATCTAGTTTGACCGAATAAGACGAGTGTTTTAAGCTCATTTGAACCAAAATGGGCTCAGGTCTGTAGACTCACATGGCTCAAGTCTCGTAGAGTGTGATGTGGGGTTTGACACCTTCAGGTCGGCGACAGACTGGGGTCTGAATTCTAAATGAGTTGGGAAACATCATCCAAATTTTCGGTTAAATTTTCTTTATCACTGTGCCGGGTCACTCTGACCTGAGAGCAGACTAAAGGCTCACGGTGCAGACACGAGGAAAGTATCAAATTGAAAGTTGGTAACAGTCAACATGATTTACACTGGTTACCATGACAGAATGTTTTGACCTTCCCATACCCGTTTGTGATGTGGGTTACGATGGAACCCAACGCTTTGGAAACATTTGAATAATTGTGTCCAGTGATTAGAATGTTTTGCTGTTCACATCCTGAGTGATCAATGCTGAATACTGTACTATGAGGACACTGTTTATAAGTCACATTAAAGACGTTTTTGAGGTTTCTGAGACCTAAGCCACTAACTGCGTGTGGTTCTTCTCGTCCTCAGCCCGCCGTGTGTGCGCCACAGCGACGCCCTCCTCTACCTGTGCCACGCCCCGCTGTGCCCGGAGCAGGACGCCGCGTGGTTCAGCGAGACGCCCCTCCAGCCCCAGGCCCTGGAGGATCTCCTGAGCGCCGCCCTGGTGGTCCCCGAGCTGTGCGCAGAACCAGAGGAGTCAAAGGAACCAGAGGAACCAGAGGAACAGAGGGAGCAGGGGGAGAGGCCAGCAGAGCAGACCTAGCCCCGTCACCGTGGCCTGGACTCATTTCACACACACACACACCCGGACAAGAAGGATGTCGGGACGGGGCTCAGTGAAATGTCCGCTATTGTAACCGCACACAGAAACACACACTTCTGCAGAGTCTAGTGTCGGGACTGAGGAGGCCAGAGCGCGGCCGAGTCTGTCCCTTAAGCATAAATAGTCCAAACCTCTGTTCAGACTCCTACAGGACGGAAAGCGGAAGCATCAAGAGAGCGGCTCCCTAACACTCTCTCCGATCGGCCCCCCCTCCCGCTGCGCTTCACGTGGGCTGAAATCTCGGACTTTTACTCTACTGTATCATAGCAGGGTTCACGGTCGAGCCATGGAGTGTCTGCTGCTACTTTCACATTGTACCTTTTACGAGCCGCACCAGGCCCACATCAGAAGTGTGTGTGTGTCCCGCCGTGTCGTGACGCAGCAAAAACCAGCAGAGGACTTTGCGGCTGCGTACTAGACGTGAACTGTTCTCATTCTCTTCCACGCCATCGCAAACCTTTTTTTGGGGTAAAAGACTGGCTCTGTCTATTGACGTAAGAGTGGGGCGGGTGGAGGCTCTACGTCTGACTTTAGTCTGGATGAAACGGAAGAAACTTAATGTGGTCAAAAGAGAGTTCGAGGTGAAGTTGGCCACGTTCTAAGTTCTTGAAGTTGAGGACGGTGGCCCCAGGCAGGCTCCACGTAGTTTTTGATTTTTAAATTTAGTAATTTACGGGTCACAAATGGTTAGAACAGGTAACTTGGTTAAGAATGTGGCTTTTAAGTCTGCTGTTGCCGGTTACCATCCCCCACACACTACACACAAGTCAACGGTTCATTTGCAAAAACTGATTTGTTTTCCTCCGGCTTTTCCCACTTTCCTGGTCCATTAAAGGCCATTCATGAGTTACAAGCTTCCACATGTTTTGTTACTGGCAGTACAAGAGTGAAGCTTAATTTATATCGCACTAAAATCTTTTATTCTTCAGTCTTTGAAATATAGTTTCCAAACGTCACGTCTGTTTTTGCAAATGAATGAGTAAAAAGCATCTATGGAGCCACTGCTGGAGGCGTCTGGGGAGAGGGAAGTCCTTTACTTTGACTGCATCAAAGCCTCTGATTACAACTTCCACACAACTGTACTTCTTTCTTACTTCAATGTTTATGAGTTATGAATTTGTCTTTTTGTTTTTAATAAATCTCAAAACTACAAATCTGACGCTCTTGATTTCTTGGTCACAGCCGTAGATGGAGCTCTGGAATGTGGTGTTCTGTGGAAAATTGATTCTTAAAAAGGAAAATGTTGTGATAATGGGTCTGAGGGACCTACTCGAGTAAAGTATAGATAGTCATTACAATGTTAACCTAAAAAAAAAATAGTTTTAAGGACGGAATAATCTTACTCCTAAATCCTCAGCTTCATATCGAAATAAGTCAATCTTCTCCTTATTCCATTTCTGGGTCCGTGAGGAGGTGGCATTCGGAGCTGCACCTGGCCCCTCACTGATCCTCCTGCAGGTGTTCGGTAGAATACTTTGAAAATACTTAATACATAGCCTGGCCTTAGCCGTCCGTACACTCTCCACAATGATATCATGCATGTAACGAAATATAATTAGTACTGTGGTGTGGTACAACCAGGCTACTGAAAACATTACCTAAAATAAATGTGGTGTAGTACCTGTTATACTTTTTGTAACGATTGTAAATTCCTGTTTATTTACAAAACTTTTAAAGGTACATTTCAAAATATTTTAATCCACAACCTCAAGTGTAACCATAAATAACTTCTAAGATAAGCTTTTTATGAAAGAGTCAAAGTGCTTCAACAGCTGCTATAAAACAACCACAAATATATTTTTTATTTGAGAATATATTCCTGTGATTTTCAGAAAGTAACTATTCTAAATACTAGACTTAAATTAGTAACTAAGGGAATACAGTTACTCAGAGTATTCCGAGTATGTAATGGGATTACATGTATCCCGTTACTCCAACACTGTGAATGACGGTACAGCCTGGTTCTTTCAAGGCTGGGGGTTCGGGCAGTGGGGTTCGAGCCCACCCCAAGACTTTCTCCATCGACGCCCACTGATGTCTGCTGTCCTTTGGTCCTCTGGCAAGACGCTTAGCCTCTGGGAAAACCTGAAACCACAGTGGGGCGGCTGACACTTCACCCCCATTGCCTAGAATGTGTGTGTGAATGGTTGGTGGTGGTCGGAGGGGCCAATGGCACATTCTGGTTGCCTTGCTTCTGTCAGTGTGCCCCAGGGCAGCTGTGGCTACAGTAGTTTATCACCACCATGTATGGAGTGAAAGAATAATGACATGTAAAGCGTCTTTGAGTGTCCAGAAAAGCGTGATATAAAACCGATGCATTATTATTATCAAAGTGGGGTTAAAGTAAGTAAGTAAGTAAGTAAGTAAGTTTTTATTTATATACCGCCTTTTCACTGCAGATCTGCGTCTCAAAGCGGTTTACAATTGTTAATTTTTGGGCATTTGTCTCTCACTCCACACAGAGATGGGAGCAGGGTCACCAGTACAGGAGGCACATGCCAGAACTATTGGACATATTTTTAGTGGTAGGGGAAACCGGAGTACCCGGAGGAAACCTACGCAGACACGGGGAGAACATGCAAACTCCACTCAGAAAGGCCCTGGTCCGACCGGGATTCGAACCCAGGACCTTCTTGCTGAGAGGCGAGAGTGCTATCCACTCAGCCACCGTGCCGCCCGTGTCTTGCTCAAGGACTCGCGGACATCAGTGGGATTCCCTCAGACTGAAACGTGAGAGTAACGACTGAAAAGAAGTTTATGTTTCTCAGTATAGACCTAGCCTCAGCGCCTTCTGCTGGTGAATAGCAGACAATCTGTTCTGAATTCCATATTTTCCGCATCTGTAAAATTAGGTCAAATAAAAAGGATTTGTAAAATTACCAGAAAATATGACATGAAAACATGTTGGGCGACAGCAGAGACCTGGGCAGGGACTGAATGCTCTTGTGGTTTTACCAGATTATTTAGTGGTGCTAAACTAAGCATTTGAGCCATGCTTCCCGCTGGTCGTTTCCAGGATTACACACTGAAGCTGCAGATCTCTGGAGCTGTGATCTTTGGGGCTGTTGCCGGGCAACACAGACTTTGAACTCTCCACAGATTTTTTATTGGGTCGAGATCTGGAGACTGATGCTGCTGCACGTTCACGGAATCCTTATGAAGCTCTTTGTTGTCTGGATGTGTGTTTGGGATCATGTTGAGGAAGGTTTATGTCCAAAAGCTCAGGTCCATGGCCTCATCTTTAAAGTGTGTGATATCTTCATGTTGAATTACATCTAAATCTTTGTCCCCAGAAAACAGGTCACATCCACAAATCTGCAAATCATTTTTGACAGTTACAGTATTATTAAAAAATGAGCAAGTTATGGTTAGTGCTCAATCTGTTTACAAGTCACACATTAACACGTGTCAATGGTACTTTTTTATACTTTACTAAAGATTATGAAGACAACTGTTGCCAAAGACGTTTGTTTATAACCTCGTCATCCGCCGTGATTAAAATCAGATTGTCCATCAACAGTCCATCCAGATGTTGTGTTTTATCTTCAGAGAGAAAACAAACCCATGGATTAGACTTTAAAGCTACACAGAGGAAACAGTTGTGTTTTCTCAGAGCTGCTCAAACACCCACAGCAGCTGAAAGTGTTTTATGTATTTCAGACAACTGTGGTGTGCATGTTTGTAATGGTCCTCTGTGAAAAGAATCTTAAATGTGAGGAGTCCATGTTTTAATTTGTGATGTTTGTGTCTTTCTTTTTCAGAGGCCTCTGGTGAAATGAACTTTAACTTTCCCTGCACCAAAACACACCCTTATTCTTCTGCTTCACCTCCATCACCTCCAGCTTCACTGTGGATGACAATATGGACAACAACAAACTTACAAATATTCTAATTTGGTTATTGTTTATTAGTCGTGAACACCTCTGCAGAGATCTGGACACACGCATTATCTCCGAGGCTCCGGAGCTTGTGTGTTGCAGCCATGGATCCATTATAATAGCTTGATAAGATATAACTAGCTTGGAGCTGTGTGCTCGGGGGAATCTCGCGGTACTACAGACTAAACTATGTTATTTTTTGTTCAAAAATTGATGTTTTCTGAAACACTGACCTAAAGACTGAAATGAAGGCAAATATACAAGTATTAAAAGACCCAAAGATTTATTGTCAAGTTTTTCATCCTTAATTATAGAGTGGGGGTGGGGGGTGAGGAGTGGGAGCACAGGGAGGGCAAGTAAAGAAGGGAGTTCAGCGTCCTGATCGCCTTCTCCCTGAAGGCATTACTTTGAGGGGCTGTTGAGGGTGCGTAGGGCCCCAGGTAATTCTGACGGCTTTGGGAGTGAGACAGGTGGAGTGTCCTGAAAGCAGGAAATCCACAGACCTTCTCAGTTTCTCCCACAATGCACTGGAGGCTCCTGCAGCAGGTGGCAGAGCTGGCATCGTGCTACACAGTGATGGAGCTGGTCAGGATGCTCTCCAGTCTCTCTGTAGAAGTTGCACAGAACCGAGACTGGGACTCTGACGCTTCTCAACTTGCGGCGAAAGCCCAGACGCGGATTACGTTTGTGGACCAGTGATGTAGTGTACATGGTCCAGGAGAAGTCCTGTGTGTGCACATCAGGAACTTAGTGCTGGTCCCCCTCTCCACAGGGGGCTGCTGATTGTTACAGGAGCATGGTGGACCTGCACTCTTTGAAAGTCCAAAACCAGGTCTGTTGTCTTGTCCACATTTAGAGAGAGATGGTTCTATGTGCAGCACATGGGCAGACTGCTCTCCTCACTCCTGCAGTTTGCCTTGTCTCTGTTGCTGAGGAGTCCCCCACTGCTGTGTCATCAGCAATACTGATGCAGATAGCAGCAGCAGTTCTTGACGCTGGAGAGTGGGGACTTCTTTGGTGCTGGAATGATGATGGTGTCTTTGAGGTGCACTGGGACCACAGCTGCAGAGATGAGTTAAACATGTCAATGTGAAGACTTCAGAATATTCATCAACCTTTCAGTGCACACCTTGAGTTTCGTCTGCATCCGGCCTTTTGCGTAGATTGATCCTACTCAGATCTGAAGCTTCAGCATCTGGTCTTCTGGAGGGTGGACTTTTGTTCCAACTGATTAACTGGGAACTGATTAAGAGCTCTGGGAAAACGATGGTCCTCGTTCTGTAGCTTAGGTCCTGGATCTACAGCCCGTCCGTCCGTGTGGAGCGGATCCCTCTCTCAGTGTGGATCTCCCTGAGGTTTCTCACTTTCTCCCACTGGGTTTTAGAGTTTTTCCATGCCGATGCAGGAGGGTCTGTTGGACAGTCAGTGTCTAACAAGAAGGACTGTGGTGATGATCCAGGACACATTCTACAACACGTATGGACATTTATCAGCATTCATGGACATTGGTCTCTCCCTATGAACCAATACATAAGTGTATTTTGTGTGTCTTAACTGTTGAATCTCTGATCTGTGTTGGTGATTTCAATGGTTCTGTTAAGTCTTCTGAGATGACTACTGTTGTGATTTAGGGCTATACAAGAATAGATTGTGTTGTGTTGTGTGTAACGAGCAGATAGAAATGACAGATAAAAACATGTACCTTTAAGAGCCGCCACTTACAGCAGCTGCCACTTGCTGATCACCGCAAACAATGACTCCCTCAAAGTAAGCAGATTCTGTCGTCCTGCATACACATGTTGTGAATATTTAATAAACACATTTACGTTAAAAGCTCTTTTTATACCTTGAAGGCTTATTAAAACCATAGTTTTCTGTTTCATCCACAGCCATGTCTGGCACACGTGCAGGGCAGGAGGACGAGTTCATTTGAAAGGTTTTGTCCGTTACATGGTCCACCATCGGCCATTCAACAGAACAATGACAAAAGGTATCGCTGCAAACCTTGACCTTCTGTAGATTGAACAAACAAGGATTAATAGGACAATCGGTAAATCAAAACACATTGAAATTACAAGGTTGCTAACATAAAAAAAGACAATGATTGACCTGTGTTTGAGATGAAAACAAGGATATCAGCCTCCTCCTCCACTCCCCTCTCCACTCTCTGCTCTCACTCTCTGACCTCACGGGAACAAAACACATTTATTCACTGGACTCCATGTACAGATAGAATAGACTTCTGTACCTGTGCTGTATTTTCTTTGTTTGAGCCATTTTCAATGTTTTTCACGTCCTGCTTTCTGTCTAAAAAAACTCAAAAACAATAAATAAATAAGTGATTCCTGTGACTGTAATGTGACTGTAATTCATCAATACTCACCTTGTTTCCCTGAACAGCAAAGACACCTGCAACAGTAGCTACGCACCACACAACAATCCACACACAATCTTATACAAACATTTGTCTTTTTAAAGGGGATCAAACAAGGATCCAAAAATGTACAACACAAGAACAATGACAAACTCAACTTATTCAATATTTTTTTGTTTTTTTGTTTGGTTTTTTTCAAAAGGGATCAAACATGGATCCAAAAAATGTGCAACGGCAACAACGACAAACTGAACGTGGTAAAATATTTTTGTAGTTTTTTTCAAAGGGGATCAAACAAGGATCCAAAAATTATCTAAACTATTTCCAAAGTGATACTTAACCCTTCACCGAGACACAGCTCTTGGGGATCCCAGCTCTGCTCCTGCTCCTCCAAAGAAACAAAAGACAGAAAGGATCAGTTCTTAAAAATAGAAGGAGTACTTGTGTGTTATCGGTGGAATAGGCCTCTGCGGCTCACATGACCTTTTCTGCTCCTTCCAGGGCAGCTCCCGCTCCTGCAGGTACGCCTCCATCTGCACCACCCAGTCCGGGACAGGTCCAGGGAACAGCGGGGCAGGCTCCGGCTGCGGAACAACAGGATCAGGACGAGGAGGAGAAGACTTTCGTTTGCATTTACGAAAGACAGGAGGAGACTCAGGGGGAGGAAGAGGAGCAACAGGGCGCCAAGCAGAAGGAGCAGAGGAAAGCTTAGGGCGCTTGGCAGGAGGAGCAGAGGAGCGACAAGCAGGAGGAACAGAGGAAAGTTTAGTAGGAGGAGCAGAGGGGAGCGGAGCAGGAGGAGCAGAGGAGCGGGAGGCAGGAGGAACAGAGGAAGACTTAGCAGGAGGAGCAGAGGAAAGCTTAGCTGGAGGACCAGCTAAGCGCCAAGTAGGAGGAGCAGAGAAGCGCCAAGCAGGAGGAGCACAGGAGCGCCAAGCGAGAGGAACAGAGGTAAGCTTACGTTGCTTACGAGAAGAGGCAGAGGAAAGCTTAGAGCGCTTAGCAGGAGGAGCAGAAGAAGGAGGCAGAGCAGGAGGAGCAGAGGGGCGGGCAGAGGAGGGCTTAGCAGGAGTAGGAGGAGGAACAGAAGGGCGAGGAAGGAGAGAAGAAGAAGAGTAGTGAGAGACCCTCCCAGAACCAGGAAACTTGGCAGAGCTGCCAGGCATCGTGTGAGCGAGTGAGGACTTAGCTTAAAAGCAGAGTCCTCAGCAGGAGGTGTGGAGGCCTGATGGAGTCCTCAGCAGGAGGTGTGGAGGCCTAATGGAGTCCTCAGCAGGAGGTGTGGAGGCCTGATGGAGTCCTCAGCAGGAGGTGTGGAGGCCTAATGGAGTCCTCAGCAGGAGGTGTGGAGGCCTGATGGAGTCCTCAGCAGGAGGTGTGGAGGCCTGATGGAGTCCTCAGCAGGAGGTGTGGAGGCCTGATGGAGTCCTCAGCAGGAGGTGTGGAGGCCTGATGGAGGAGGAGCAGAACATGTCAAACATCACTGATAACAGCTGCTTCACTTTCACAGGAGATAAAGAGGAACCATGATGCATTATTTGTGGCCATTCATGGTGTTTTGGGAGATGTTGAAACCAATTCAAATGTGAGGAGTTCACCAATAACTGGCCGACCTCACTGTCACCACCATTTATTCATGTGTTCATCTTCATCTCCTTCATTCATCCATTTCTGGATCAAGGGGTTTCAATCAGAGGTCTTAGTGCTACTATGACATCATACTAGTACAGGACTGAGACTGGAGCTTTCAGACAGAAGGGGCGGAGTTACATGTTTGTGCCAGAGGTTCAGCGTGGATGGATCTAAAAACCACTCCAGGTCTGTTTTTGACCAGGACAATGTTGCATCATGGTCCATAGAAGTTGATTAGAGTAAAGATTGTGGATACAGGTGGATCAGGTCGCTTGAAGAATGAGATGTCTTCAAGTTTCAAATAGATGTGTTTCTTTTGTGATAAATGTTACATTGAGTTTGTCTCAACAGATAAAGTCTTGTCAAAGTCAATGATTATTCCACATTTCATCTTTTGTGTAGAAAGAGATCTGGGAGTCGTTGTTTGATGCTTTGGGCTGATTGGCTGAAAGAGGATGGTCCTCTCTTATTGACTTTTGTAAAGTCAAAAACACAGACGTGTGAAAACTAGTGAGAGAACCAACGTGTTTAAGAGCCAGGGACGAGTTAGAAGAATGTATTTGCAGAGTTCTTTGTGCTTTGAAAGTCACGCTTGTAGATGTTCAAGAACCATTTGGACTATGGCAGGTCTGCCAGGCTGAGTACATCTTCTCAAGAACAGACTTATTCAAAATCACATGGATTATAATCTCCATTTACAGAGGAATAGTTTCACTGAACTGGCTGACATGTGATGGGAGACAACAGTAGATACATCACTGCTGCGGCTGATAAGGACGTTTTTATGAAGCACAAACCTGTCTGTCATGTGGCTTTGTCATTTTAGACTCATCCTCAACATGTTTATGGCACAGCTTTCATGTAGCTTGAGAACTTTTCATTTCCTACACTTATTATGATGACTATACTCTCTGTATACCTTCTTTAGACATGGATCAAAGTGATCTTTGTTGCTATTTGGCTACTGTCTGCGTGTGAGTAATACAGGTCAAACCCATAGGGACTAAGGTGAACAGGGAAAGTGGAAAAGCTCACGTTTTTTCCTCACAAAAGTCTGGTAGTTGGAGTCAGGAGTGGGTCAGCAGCAGTCTGGGTGGAAATGGTCTGCAGTGATGGTTCCTGTTTGAAGAAATCGTCGAGTGAAGTTTGACAAAATGAGTTTGTGTCTCAGCCAAAGTTTTGCACGGATGCAGTGATTCAAAAGATGCACTGGCCCTAGCAACGCCCCCTAGCAACAAGAAGGCAGGTGCGCGTGCTCATCTCGCATGCACGAGCTGCAGTGATTCTAAATATGCTTATACATTTTATTTCGGACATGTGAAGAAGGTTCCACATGACATTTGACACATGATAATGGCTCCCTCTGCTGGTGAGCCTCTGCGGCCTGCGGATGCTACCATGGACAGCTCAGTCATCAGATGCAACAAGAAACCTTTTACAAATTATACTTTTATCTTTGCAATTGTACCCAGCTCAATTTGGGTCCAAAATGGACTTTTTCTTACCAGCACACTGATCAAAGAGGCAGGTTAAAATGTTGCCAGACATAGGTTGATATTTCATATCTTATTAGCCAGCCGATGTTAGACTAATAACTTTGTGAAGTAACTTAACACTAACTGGAAAAACACATGTTTGAAGAACTAGCATGCATTAAAACAAAACAAATTGATCCATGGATTAGAATTTCTATTAAAAAATGTACAGTCCATATTGATTCAATTGAATGTATTGTTCTCGCTTTAACTGATGTTTTGTTTAAGAATCAGTGCAATAAGTTCCTACCTCATGGACACAGATAATGAACCTGCCAAGGTCTATGAAGAAGAGCTAAGCTGTGGTCCAAATCATGAGCCTCTAAACAAGTGTCTTCTGCACTAAACTTACATTTGGAACATCCCTCTTTTTATGAATTATTCTTTTTTTCTTTGTAACTGTATCAACAGGACACTTTGTGTTTAAGGTTGACTTTCTTCTGCTGTGACTAAGGTGAACGGGGAAAGTGGAAAAGCTCATGTTTTTTCCTCAGAAAAGTCTGGTAGTTGCTGCTACATGTCTGAATACTGTAGAGACTGTTCTGTTCTTAATGATCTTTGATTGCCTTGGATGCGACTTAGCTTTAGGTTCTTTTTATTCATCTCATGAAAATGCATAGTTATACAACATTCCAAACATTCAAAGAAATCAGAAGAAATCATTTAAACATTTCCATGATCAGAAAGGAGCAGATATTTTTCTGCCCCCTCTTTTAAAAAACAAAATGAGATGGTTTTGCTGCTGATTCCTCTGCCTTCTTTATCAGAACATACTATATATATAAGCTGGACTTGGCCTCTATAAATCTGTCCAGTAGAGGGCGCACACTGACTGTATAAATAGCTTCGAGTCGCCTCTTTGTTTACCTCTACACTTCCGTCTCAAGGCAAGGCAAGTTTATTTGTATAGCACAATTCATACACAAGGCAACTCAAAGTGCTGAACAAGACAAAATAGCATTAAAATCATAAATAATCACAGAACATTAAAGAAGGTCCTTCATTCGTCCCACAATGGGGACATTTCGGTTTGATGCAGATACATACTCATATACATACACAAATACATAAACACATCAAGGCAAGCAGCAAACATCACTTCCACGCTCCTTACAGGCAATGTGGGTTAAGTGTCTTGCCCAAGGACACAATGACAGCAGACATCAGTGGGAGTCGGTGGAGAAGGTCTCGTGGTGGGCTTGAACCCACGACCTTCGGGCTCAAAGGCCAATGCTCTACCAACTGAGCCACTGTTAAAAATAAAGATAAAATATAAAATCCCTCAGTTGTATGCACAGCTAAACAAAACTGTTTTTAACCTGGTTTTAAACATTGTCAGAGAGGAGGCCTGTCTCACATCTTCAGGAAGACTGTTCCAGATTTTAGCAGCATGAATCTGTCTCCTGTGTGTGGTCGCGCCAGCCCTTCTCCTGCTCCAGGTATTAGTGTTAGTATTAATTCTAGTATTTGTATGTTGCAGCCACTCATGTTAGTTGTTGTTGTAGTGCCGTGGTGTGGCATTGTGCCCCGTGAATCCTGCTTCTATAAAGCCATGCTGTTCTGTCGCTTTGGCGTCTGGCCGCCCTCGTTGCTGGGGTCCGAGCGTGTTGTAGCCGGCTGTGGGTCTGGGCCTTTAAACAGTCACCCGTCAAGAGTGCGTGCTCAGCAATTACTGTACAATACAATACAATACAATTTATTCTTGTATAGCCCTAGGTCACAACAGAAGTCATCTCAGAGGACTTAACAAAACCATTGAAATCACCAACACAGGTCAGAGAATCAACAGTTAAAACACACGGAGAATATAAAGCACACACAGAAGAAAATGTCCATACATGTTGTAGAATGCTAAAGTGTCCTGATCATCACCAATCCTTTCTGTTGGACACTAACTGTCCAACAAGACCCTCCTGCATCGACAAGGAAAAACTCTTAAAAAACCCAGTGGGAAAAAGTGAGAAACCTTGGGGAGAACTAGGGAAACCCACAGGGAGGGAGACCCATATGAGAAAGGGATCCGCTCCTCCGGACGGACAGGCTAATGATCTAGGACCTAAGCTAGCTACAGAACGTGGACCAGTGGCCGCTGAACGTGGACAGGTCCGGTGCAGGACCGAAGCACTCCCAGGCGGGTCGGGCGGGGCAGTCCGCAGGTGTAGATGGAAGAGGCCAGGCTCAGAGGTCCCGTCATCGTACCATGAAACAGACAATGGGACAACGGGTGAATAGCAATGAACAAACTACAGTCAGAATCCTAAAAGAGCTAAACAGATAAAGTAGGAAGGAGGAGAGGATAGTGCTCAAGTTACCATACTTCTCCCAGCAAACTGACTCCCTATGCAGCTTGACTGACACTCTGAGGAGTTTAGCCTTCCCCGAGTCTTACCTTCCTAACCATATGCTAAACTAAGGAGGACTGTTTTAAACCTAGCCTTGAATAAAGAGATTCATGGATTACACACCAGGTGTGCAAACCGATCCAAGCAAACCTAATTATATATTATATATCATATACATACATCATCTGTAAAGAAGTATATAACGGCTCCAGAAATGATTGCTTGGATAAAAGGCCGACGCTCTGACTGATGTTTAGTTGACATTTATTCACAACAAAGCCACCTAAAGCACCGTGAAAAACTACGGTGCATAAAAAACATATTGTTAGCAAAATACACACATATTCAACAAACTTACAATAAAACAATATACAATTACTGTGTGCGCCTTCTATCTAGACTCTCTGGAGTTGTTAGTAGTTTTTGCTGTTCATATCCTTACTTTCTGCTCTGCACGAGGTTACCTTGTCCATCCTTTTCGCCATTCTCTCGCTCTGTCTCTCACGTAAAGGCCAATCCAATGCGCGCATGCGCATATTGCACAGGTAATACAATATCTCAAGTCCACCACAAGGGGTCAGAAGCGACACACAATAAATACACTATTATT